CTCCCCCTCCCCCTCCCCCTCGCCCTACCCCTACCCCTACCCCTACCCCTACCCCTAACCGCAGGCGGCCCTCGGCCTCGACGGAGCGGAGCTGTGCGGCGCCACCATCGCCGTCCGGCGCGGCGGGAGCGACGCCTCACTCGCTGCAGAGGAGGACGCTTCTCCCGCGCCGTCCGCGGCGCGCCTCCCTCCCCCTCTGCCTCCGCCTCCTCCGCCACCCCACGCCTGCAGCTGTGCGCAGGCTGACGGCTCGGCGTGGACTCGGGTCGGGTGTGTGGAGAGGAGTCGGGCGGACCAGGCGCCGGACGAGCCCACTGCTGGAGCGGAGGGTGGTGCGGAGGGTGGTGCGGAGGGTGCCGTGAGCGAGTGGACTCGGGTCGAGTCTGTGGCGGAGGAGGGCGTCCCGCGCCACTACGACTGCCGCATCGCCGCCAGCGGTGGAAGGGTTCTCGCACGCGACCCAGCCGCCTCGCCACGCGCCACGGCAGCAGCAGCAGCAGCAGCAGCAGAGCCGCCCGCCTCATGGCAGGAGGAGCCCCCACCGCCCCCACCGCCCCCCCCTCCACCTCCGCCGCCGCCGCCGCCGCCGCCGCCTCTCCAAGCCCGCGCCTACCCCGCGCGAGCGGGCCGCCCCCACCCCCCATCGCCGCCGCTCGGCCCCCCCCACACTCCGTCGCCGCCGCTCGCCTCTCTGCTGTGCGTCGGGAGCCGGGACCCAAACCCGCTGCTGTCGCTGCGGCTGCCGCTGCCTGGCTCGTTCGAGATTGGCCGCGACGAGGGCTGCGACGAGACCATCGGAGAGTGCGCCGCCATCTCGGCCTCGCACTGCAAGCTGCACCTGCGGCTTGGCGGGGGCGGAGATCAGCCGGCCGGAGAGCGGGCGGTGGAGGTGTGGCTGGAGGACCGCTCGACCAACGGCACATTCGTCGGCGGCGCCAGGCTCGGAAAGGGCAACACGCGCCGCCTCGTCCCCGGCGAGCGCTTCTCGCTGCTGCACGACGGCCCGTACGCCTTCGAGCTGCGGCTCGGTCCGCCCCGGCCAGACAGCGACCCGTCGGAGGAGCTGCGCAAGCTCAACTTGCCCGACGGAGGGCCGGGCAGGTAGGCTCGGCCAGCAGGGGGCGGGGGAGGGGCGGGCGGGGCGAGAGGTGCGCCGAGGTGCGTGTCCCGCCCCTCGCAGGTCCGCCCCGCGAGCCGGCGTCGACGGCTGCTGGCGGTGCGGCTGCTGCGGCAGCGCAAACTACCCCCGCCGCTCGACGTGCTTCCGATCCGCCTGCGGCTCCTCCCGCGACGCGCGCGGGACCGCCCTGGTGCAAGCGTACCTGGACAGGCTGCAGAGCTCCTCCGACTCCGCCCCCGCCTCCAAGACCACCGAGGGTCGCGGCCATCCACGCGCTGCCCCCGCCGCTGCTGCCCCTTCTGCGTCTGCTGCCCCTGCTGCCTCTTCCGCCTCTGCTGCCTCTGCTGCCTCTGCTGCCTCTGCTGCTCCTCCGAGAAGGCTGCGAGAAGCCTCCGAGAAGCCTCCGAGAAAGCGACGGGCTGCTCCTGCTGCGCTTGCTACGCCTGCTGCGTTTGCTGCGCCTGCTGCGCCTGCTGCCGCTGCTGCCGCTGCTGCCGCTGCTGCCGCTGCTGCCGTCGCCGCGTCGTCGACGGAGCCGCGCGAGGAGCCGCGCGTGGAGAGCGCGGGCCCGGCGGAGCACGGGGCGCGGCGCAGCAAGCACGAGCGCGTGGTGCGCTCGCCTCCACACGGCCTCCGCTCACGGCCTGCCCTGCGGCACAGGACAGAGCGCGCGCAGCCGCCGTAGCGAGAGTCCACGGCCCCCCCCCTCGCAGGCGCGGCCGATCACAGAGTGGAGGCAGAAGCCCTACAAGCCCATCCAGAGGCGGATGCTGCCCGCGGACGGCGACGAGGCGCCGCGCCCCAAACACCGATTCCTGGCGCGGGAGAGGAGGCGTCGCCTCGACCTCGGACGTGTCCTCCTAGGCGACCAAGGAGACGGTGCTTCCGGCGGGAGCGGACCCGCTGAACCACGTGCACCCTTCAGCGCGGTGCTCTCGCCCCTGCACGCTCACGCGAGCCCGCCACCCGCCCTGCACCCCCACACGCCGCGAGGCGCAGGTACACGCGGCAGAGCTGGTCCTCATATCTCCCCATATCTCCCCATATCTCCCCATGTCTCAGGTACACGCAGCAGAGCTGGTCCGTCCACCAGTACAACCGACTCAACGAGAGCTTGCGCGGCGGCAGCTCCGGCGGTCGCTCCGCTCGAGGAGGGGCGACGCACGGCGCGGAGCTGGCACGCCGGATGCAAGCTGCGGCGGCGCCACCGCCCCCCGACGCCCCCCTCGAGTCGGTCGACTGGCCGCTCGAGCCGACCGCGCCGACTCTCGGCCGGGAAGCGGGCGGTGCGACGGACGTGCCGATGCTGCGGCTCTCCGGGCCGGCCCCGACGCTGCGAGGTTTCCGACGGCTGCTGGAGGCGTGCGCGGCTGTCGTCGGCCCGGCGCGCGTGCATGAGGCAGCGCAGCAGGGTGGGCAGCGCTTGTGGCCCATCTTTGTCCTCTCGCGCGGCCGGCCGGAGACGGCGCATCTGCACTGGGGTACAGAGCACGCGCTCGGCGGGGAGGGCGAAGGCGAGGGCGAGGGCGAGGGCGGGGGCGAGGGTGCGCTAGTGGTGGCGGTGGTGTCGCCGGAGGAGGAGGCGGAGTATCGGCGCTGCTGGCCTGGCTCGCTGCTGCTGGCGCTGCCTCAGGCGGGCAGGCCGGTGGGGTACGCTCGGCACGTGCTTAAGCGGGCGCTGCAGTGGCGCACGCCCTTCTTCTGGATGTGCGACGACAACCTCTCGACGTTTGTGCGCATCGAGCGCGGGAGCGACGGCCTGGCGCGGAGGCACACGCAAGGCTCGCGCTGCACCACCTCGTGTGTCAGCACGCCCTTGGGGCGAGATCTGTCCCTCACGCGGCACTCGTGACACGTCAGGTCCGCTCTTTCGCGAGGCCTTCATGCACGTGCAGCGGCGCGAGGGCATCTCGTCCATCGCTCTCGCGGGCTTCCTCCGCTCCAACGGCACCGAGACGTCCAAGACGTACACCGAAGTACTCGACAACGTCAAGGTGTACAAGTGCTGCCTGCTCAACTCGCTGCAGTGCGCGGGCGTCGAGTACGTCGCGCCGCTCGCCAACTTTGAGGACGTCGCCTTCAACCGCGAGCTGCTGCTGCGCGGCCGGCGGCTGCTCAAGGTGCAGCGCTACGCGTACCGTGCGCACATGGCGGCGAGCGGGGGCTGCGCCTCGCGACGAGGCGACAGTGCCGGCGGCGAGCTCGTCCACCCTTCGTACCGACACGAGGAGCTGAGCGCCGCGGATCTCGCCACCGTCGCGAGGCTGGAGGAGTGGGTGCGCCGGGACGAGGCAAAGCCGATGCCCCGGCGGCTGCAGCGGCGCATCGACCTGCAGGCCGCCTCCCGCACGCAGCCTTCGCATGCAACAAAGGGCGAGAGGCGGCCGCGCCGCCCTGCCCGCCGCCGCTCTCGCCGCGACGAGGAGGAGAGCAGCGAGGAGGAGGAGAGCGGTGAGGAGGGAGAGAGCAGCGAGGAGGAGGAGGGCAGCGAGGACAGCGGCGGGGAGAGCGGTGAGGCGAGCACCGACGAGGAGGAGAGCGAGGAGCAGGAGAGCTCCTTCGAGGTGGGAGGCCGTGTCGTCCTCGAGTATTCCGACGGCGCGCTGTACCCGGGCGAGATCTTGAGCTTTGACGGCGCGTCCCGCTTGTACACGGTGCGGTGCGATGACGGCGAGCTGTTGGAGGACGTCTCGCTGCACGAGATGCTGCGAGAGGAGGAGCAGGGGCGGGCGGGCGGCGGGGAGTCGGGCGAGGAGGCGGGCGAGGAGGCGGACGAGGAGTCCTCGGACGACGGAGGCTTCGGCGGCGGCGAAGGGACGGCGGAGACAGCGGCGGCGGTTGCGCGGGCAGAGCGTGTGACGGAGGTCGACGGCCTCGTGCTCCACCTCTCCTCGAACGCCACCGGGTACAGGGGCGTCGCGAAGAGGCGGGGCAGCAGCCGGCGCGAGCGGTTCCAGGCATGCTTCCGGCGCAAGTCGATTGGCTGCTACACGACGGCGGTCGAGGCGGCTGTGGCGTACGCGCAGCGGGCGGCCGTTACGCAGGCGATCGACTGGATGCTCCAGCAGGTCGTGGCGGAGGTGAGTGAGGAGGGCGAGGACGGCGAGGACGGCGAAGAAGAGGGCGAGGGCGAGGAGGCACCAGTGCCGGTGGCGGAGGAGGCGGAGGGCTTGCGTCTGCATCTGTCAAGCAACGCCGCCACCGGCTACAAGAATGTGCGGGAGTCCTCTGGCCGCTTCGAAGCGCGGATCTGCCTAGGCGGCTCGGGACGGCAGATCGCCATCGGCCGCTTCGACACGGCAGTGGAGGCGGCGGTGGCGTATGCGCGGAGGGTCGGACAGGCAGAGGAGGCAGGGGTGGAGGCAGCGGAGGAGGCAGCGGAGGAGGCAGCGGAGGAGGTAGGGGAGGAGGCAGCGAAGGAGGTAGGGGAGGAGGCGGCGGAGGAGGCAGCGGACGGGGCGTCAGAGGCAGTGACGATGGAGGAGGCAGCAGAGGCGGCGGCTGGCGCTGGCTATCACGACCCCAGCCAGCAGGTCTTGGGGGCCGACGAGCGGCGGCGGCTCGAGGCGACCGTTGGCTACGTGGTATGCGGCATCAACGGCTGCTGCCTACAGTATGGCCACTGCGGCGAGTGCCTCTTTGAGCTCAACGGCCGACGCTGCCGCCAGCGGCCCACCGCGCCGGCCCCGCCGGTGAAGCGGCGCCGCACGTCGGCGGCAGGGCAGCCCTCGACGTCGGACCAGAGCGGGGATGCGCCGCTGGCAGCCGAGGCTGCTCAGCCGGCACCGGAGCCGCCGCCTGCGGCACCGCGTCTCGCAGACGTGAGCGTGTACGAGCGCGGCGCGGGGTGGCGGAAGCCGGTGGACACGCCCTGCGCGGAGTGCGGCGGGTGCCACGACCCCACGCAGACGCTGCTGTGCGACGGGGACGGCTGCGATCGCGCGTACCACCTCTCCTGTCTCAAGCCGCCGCTCGAACACGTGCCCGCAGGGAAGTGGCTGTGCCCCGGCTGCACCGAGCGCTGGAACGCGAGCGAGGCGGGCTCGCGCGAGCTGGCGCGCAGCCTGTACGAGCAGGAGATGCGCGAGGCGCGCAACCTGCGCCGGTAACCCTTCCCGGCGGGGTCATGCGGAGTGTCTCTGCACGCGTACGTACATATGACGCGCCGTCTCTGAGTACAGATGTACAGTACGTTCTCATTCTCAGCGTCGCTTCGTTTGTGGGGAGTCTGTGGAGAGTCTGTGTGGAGTCTCTCGCACGGCGGTCCACGGTGTGTGGCGAGACGAGCGTGCGATCGCCGATCGAGTTCGAGAGAGTCGCGCCGGTCGCGGACTCGTGTGCGCTATAGAGATTAGAGATAGAGTCTGCTGCACGGCGCGTCGGCGTACAAATGCGCTCTGTGGTTGTTTACTTACAACTTTCTCAGTGGAAACCAACAATAGTCAATACGCGCGCTGGCACGGACAGCGCCGCCCCCACAGGCACTCTGCTTGCGCCGCCACGCCCGGTCCCGTGGCGCCAGAGGTCACCGCCAACGCGCCCCCGGGCAAGTAGAGGACACGCTAGCCCTTCTTCATCTGCTTGCCGGCGCGGATGACCTCGTCGACGAGCAGCAGCTGCGCCGCAATGACGGCGGCCGAGTCCAGCATCTGCCGCTTGACGCGGAAGTTGTCCCACAGCCCGGCGGCGCACGGGTCGAGCGGCTCGCCTGTCTCCACGTCGAGGCCCACCTGGCCGGAGGGAGGCGTGCGGCGACACGTCACGCGCAGGCACTCGCTGGCAGGCACTCACTGGCACGCGGCGGTCGCTGGCATGTCTCGTTCAGTGTGGGCGCGCCGGTGCGGCGGGGTTGCCAGAGGCGGCAGGCGGCGGGCGCGGCGGGCGCGCGACGGCGGGACCGCGGGGCGTGGGAGGCAAGGGAGGCAGGGGAGGGAAGATGTGTGTGTGTGTGTGTGTGTGTGTGTGTGTGTGTGTGTGCGCGCGTCCGCGCCTTTGGCGAGCCCGCCTCCTGCTCCTCCTGCAGCTTGAGGAGCGCGTCCTGCGCGTCGTAGCCGGCGTTGTCCGCGAGCGTCTTCGGGATGACGAGCAGCGCGTCGGCGAAGGTCTGCACGCCGAGCTTTGCGCGGCCCTGCACCTTCTTGCGGTACTCCATCAGGTGCGCGTGGCAGAGCACCTCGATGCCGCCCGCGCCCGGCAGCAGCTGGCCGTCGGTGACGGCGTTGGACACGGCGCGCAGCCCGTCGCGGACCGCCTCCTGCGGGGGGCGTGTCGTGGACGTGTCGTGGACGTGTCGTGGACGTGTCGTGGACGTGTCGTGGACGTGTCGTGGACGTGTCGTGGACGTGTCGTGGACGTGTCGTGGACGTGTCGTGGACGTGTCGTGGACGTGTCGTGGACGTGTCGTGGACGCGTCCCCGGCGGCGGGTGGCGGGGCCGAGGGGCCGCTCTCCTTGATCTGCGAGATGACGTGCGGGTGCGCGCCCTTGATGAGGATGGTGCACCTGCCGTGTCGCGGGCGTGGCGTGGGCGCGGTCGCGTGCAAGGGGCCGGCCGGGGTCGGGTGGGCGGTGGCGCACGAGAAGGGGTTCGAGACGCCCTCGAGGAAAGTGTACGTCTCCTCGCCCAGCGTCTGCTCCGACACCTCCTCCGCGTACCCGAGCACCTGCACGCGGCGGGGCGGGGCTCGCCGCATGCCCCGGCCCACGCTGCACACACGGCCCCTGCCGTGCCGCTCATATTGACGGAGGGGTCTGGAGGGGTCTGGAGGGGTCTAGGGGGCGCCCAGGAGGTGTAAAGGAGGCGTGCAGGAGGTGTGCAGGAGGTGTGCAGGAGGTGTGTAGGAGGTGTGCAGGAGGTGTGCAGGAGGTGTGTAGGAGGTGTGCAGGAGGTGTGCAGGAGGTGTGCAGGAGGTGTGCAGGAGGTGTGCAGGAGGTGTGTAGGAGGTGTGCAGGAGGTGTGTAGGAGGTGTGTATGGAGCGTCGCCTCGGGCGTCATGTCGTCGATCGAGTTGACCTGCTCGCCGCCGCACGCGAGGGTGATGCGCTCCATGTTGCGCCTGCGCGGGGGGCGGGGGGCGGGTGGGTGCGGGTGGGGTGGAGCGGGTGAGTGGGGGGGTGCGGCGCGGGTGTGTGATGGTGTGTGGTGTGCGGTGTGTGGTGTGGTGTGGGTGAGGTGTGTGGAGGGTGTGGGAGTGGTGTGGGCGATTGGTGATTGAGTTGCGCGGCACCGCTTTGCGCGGCGCAGCGCGAGGATGCCCTCCTTGGCAAGGAGGTCGAGGGCGAGCGGGTCGATCCCCTTCTGGTTGATGACCACCATCGTCTCGCCCTCGCCGCACGCCTTGCGCTTCAGGTCGATGATCAGCTTTGTCTTGTCGTCGACCCACTTGCGCTCCGCCTGCACCATCTTCTCGCGCTCCTGCTCACACGCGCACACACCACGCAACGCTCAAAGACGGGACCCCTCCCCCTCCCCCTCCCCCTCCCCCTCCCCCGCCATCCCTAGCGTCGCTCCGGTGAGCGAGAAGTAGAATCCCGACGTCGGGCTGGCGGCTGCGGGCTGGCGGCTGCGGGCTGGCGGCTGCGGGCTGGCGGCTGCGGGCTGGCGGCTGCGGGCTGGCGGCTGCGGGCTGGCGGCTGCGGGCTGGCGGCTGCGGGCGGGGGGTGAGGGGGGTGAGGCTCCTCTGCGTTGGAGTAGTAGAAGCCCGAGTTGACCTCGGAGCGCATGTACTCGAGGTCGTAGTTGATGGTGAGGACGCGCACCTAAGAGCAGCTCATTGAACGTGAGAGGTGAGACCAGAAGACAAGACAGAGTGCGCTCGAGGTGGACAAGCGCCTTGCTGAGCTGCTTTGGCATGCCGGGGTGCCTCCCGCCATGGTCGAGGACGAGGCCCTTGACGAGGCGAGAGTCGGTGCCCGCCTGCAGGAGCGAGGAGACGCGCGTCGGGAGCGGGCCGAGGAGCGGGCGGACCGGGAGGAGAGCAAGGGGAGGAGAGCAAGGGGAGGAGAGCAGCCAGGGGAGAAGGGCAGCATCCGGGGGAGGAGCGGGGGGGGGAGGGGAGCAGGCGGCCGGGCAGTGGGGTGGAGCGGCTGGCAGCCGCGAGCGGGTGGGTGCGGCGTGGGAGGGGGTGGTGGGGGGGGGGGGGTGTCGGGGCAAGGCGGGGATGTGGCGGGGCGAGGGGCGAGAGGGCAGGAGGGTGGTGCGGAGAGGGCAGGGGAGGCAAGCGGGAGTGGAGGAGGGTTGCCTTGTGCTGCATGTGCATGATCTCGACCATGTGCAGGTCGAGCGGCGTGTCCGGCTTGCGGATCGTCAGCACCGCGTCCACGCAGATGGCGGTAAACATGTCCGCCAGCTCGCGGTGCATCTTAGTGCGGAGCGAGCACTGCGCAATCTGGAGGAGCAGGTCGCGGTCGGCGCAGTCCTTGGCGAGCGCGGTCCGGTCGATGTACTCGAGCAGCGACGTCTTCGCCAGCTCGATCCCCTCGCACAGCAGTCGCGGGTGCACCCCGTCCGAGAGGTGGCGCTCTGCCTGCTTCATCATCTCGCCGACGACGAGGACGGCGGAGGTGGTGCCGTCGCCGGTGATGTCGTCCTGCGCGGTGGCGATGCGCGCAATCATGCACGCGGTCGGGTTCTGGATCTGCATCTCGTGCAGCAGCGTGTTCCCGTCCTTGGTGAGCTTGATGTCGCCCGCGCCGCCGACAAGCATCTTGAGCGTGCCCTTGGGACCGAGGTTGCTCTTGAGCACGTCCTGCAGGCCGCGGGCCGCGTTGATGTTCATCAGCGACGCCTGGCCCGACTTGAGCACATCGGCGTTCGGGTTGAGCTGCTGGGTGGCCGCCATTGACACGTCGCTGGGCGAGCTGCTGGCCCAACGAGCGGCAACGGAGGCGTTGGTACCCGCTTTGACGGTAATTCTTTTATTCCCCTCACCATGTTCCCACGATGATCCTGGCTGTTCTTCACCTTTCTACCTACCTACCTACGATGAGTTCAAAGACGTCATCGCCTATGGCGTCTGCAAACGGGCATGCCACTGACGCCGCAGGTAGGTGCGTCGCCATCCTCACGGTGGCTCCGTGGCCGCCGCCTGCTCCTCCTGACCTCCTCTGGTGCCATGTCTGCCTCGATGCCCAGCTCAGCTCGGATGTGACTCGGATGTCTGCGGCAGCGCGCACCGACACCGCTCCATTCGGCTCCTTTGACGCGAGCCGCGTTAAGGCGAAATGCTCGCAGAGTTCGGCCAGACAGAGGCACAGAGCCTTGCGCGCTTCGAGGTAGTTGCAAGTTGGCGGGTGAGTGAGTGTGAGTGTGTACACACACACACACACGTAGTTGGCGGCGCAGATGAGCGAGATCGTCATCGGCGAGGTCACTCAGAAACGTCCGGGCCTCGTCCTTCGCACAACGGTTGTGGCAAAATTGTCTTTGGCGCAACGAGGTCTCACGGCCTCGACGACACGTCTGGGAGGACGCCGGCACAGCGCTAGCCCATTCAACCCCGCCCTCCTCGTTTCGACACACAGACCTATGCTCCTCGCCGGGATGCTCCTTCCTCCCGCCCTGGCGCTTTCAGCGCCCTCCGTGGTCCAGCAGCGCAAGCGCGCGCTGCTGTCGTCGGTCGCGACCCTCAAGCGCAGCCCGAGCGCTGCGGCGAGGGATGCGGTCCTGGCGGCCGTCGCCGACCTCGAGGCGCGATCCATCTCGTGAGCAGCTAACCCATCAGACACCACTGCTGCCACTCTCGACAGCTCCGTGCGCGTAGGCGTGCAGCGTGACTAGCGCGCCGCCCGACGGCCGCTGGGCTCTCATCTTCTCGACGCAGGCGGAGCTGCCCGACGCGTCACGGCCGCGCACCTCGAGCCCGGTGCAAGGGCTCATCGACGCAACCTACGCGGCGTTTTTCAAGGTGGCGCCGGCGCTGGCGGGAGCGCAGCAGGATGGCCGCAGCGGCGCCTCCAACGAGCAGGCCCTCTCGCTCGACACGGGCGTCGTCGAGAACCGCGTGCGCATACCGCTGCCGTTCCTGCCCTCGATCCTCGAGATCCGCGTCGACGGCCGCGTGGCGGAGGCCGGGGCGGCGGAAACGGAGCCGCTGCTGGATGTCACCTTCACCGAGTGCTCCTTCGCGCTGCAGCGCAGCGGCGCCCGCTCAAGCGGCGGTGCCTTGCGCATCCCGCTCCCGTCCCCCGTGGGGACGCTCCGGACGACGCACTGTGATGATGAGGTGCGCGTCTCCAGGGGCGGTCGGGGCGGGGTGTTTGTGCTGAAGCGCTTGCGCGCGGCGGCTACGTGATGGGCCCGCGTGTGGCGTCATGGGGAGTAGATATGCCTTTTGAGAAGCGGGACCACAGCCAGACCACAGCATCCTGCTAGCGCGCCCACCCCCCACGCGCAGGAACCCGAACCCTGGGTAGAAGCGCGGGTTCATGCCCAACGCCACTGGCGGCGTCCTGCTCGCGTGCGACGGGCCGGCGATCAAGCAGTTCATCCTCAAGCTTGACGAGGACCGGCGCGCCGCGAGCCAGGCGCCGAGTTTTGTGCTGCGCGACCTCGACGAGCGGACGCTGCTGCTGCGCGACGACGAGCCAGCGCTGGTCGAGTTTGTCAAGGCGAAGCTCGACGAGCTGCAGGCGCGCCCCGCGCCCGCCCGCCGCCACCCGCGCGACGTACCGCGGCCTGCCCACTCACCACGCCGCGCCGCGGCTACAGAGCGCCAACGCATACGAGCGCAGCGATGTCGACGTGCAGTCAGCGCCTCCGGAGAAGGGCCACGGCCCCCGCAAAAAGAGCAGGAAAGACGGATAGCCCGGTGTGCTAGTGCAGCGCGATGGATTTTAGGATGTGATAGGGATAGGATTAGTGATAGGGATAGGGGCCCCCAGCTGAGAGAGGCGGGAGCCGCAGCAGGAGGCTCCTGCACGTGCTCCTGCAGGAGAGGTGTGGCCGCGGTGTGCGTGGGGCGCGGCGTGGGAGGGGTGACGCAATACCGCCAACACTGTGACGACGATGTCGTTACCGCAGTGGTGACCACAAGCAAAATTGGTGGGGTCGTGTGGGTGGTTTTTTCTCAATTCTCGCCTGATTCTCGCATCTCCGACGGGAGATCATCTCGGTGTCGAAAAATATCTCGTATATGTGTTATCTCTGCGAAGCTAGGATCGAAAACGACGCGACGGCCCCTGGCCCCGCTCGCTTAGGGCTGATTGGCTAGACGAGAGCGGCCTACCCGTCCAACGGGGGGCAGTCTGACGACCGGGGCGCGAGCTCTGACCGCCGTACTCACCGGGAGCGGGACGCTGTGTGGCGTGCGAGACGTGAGATCTGCGGTGAAGGTCGGGGACGGTGGGAGCCCCAATCTACAATGCTGTCTTAAGGTTGCTCCCGGCCCACAGTGGGGATTTTGGCCTACAGTGTGTACAGTGATCGTCTAGGAATCCTAAATGGCCTGCAATGCCGTATCTTTGTGTCTAACTTGTAGAGCACCTTGAAAAACTAGTATATCTTGGGGTGAAAAGTTTCTCGATGAGGTGGGGATCCGTGGTGAGCAGATTCCCAGATTCTCCAGATTCCCGCCCTCGAAAACCGCCCATTTTAATTCATTTTGGCGTTCCGGTGCCTACAAAAAATATCCGATATGATATCGAGCTGACCACAGGGTTTGCGGCGATCACTGTCCTACCAGCGGGCACAGTGGGCCGCGGACACCCGTGAATGACCTTAAGGTCCGACAGGTTCGGCACCAGGCACCGACTCGGGATACCGGCGGGCGGAGGACCCTCCCAGCTCACAGCTCACAGGACACAGCTACAGCTCAGCTACAGCTCTCTCTGGAGTGGACCACCCGCGAAACCCGAAACGGTCTTCGGGTGGCACGGCCCCCGGTCGTGTGCGTCGAAAGTAGGGGCCAATATTCGAGAGGCGAAAGAAAGAACACAGACTCAACCCAAGGGAGGGATGGGAGGACGGCACGCCGCCACCACACAGGGATTTTAAGGAGAGGGGTGTGATGCGCTAGCCGTCGCCCACCCTTGGGCGTCCGCCTCTTCCGATCTCTCTTCGCAGTCTCTCGCCCCCGATTCTCGCTGCAACCTTCATGCCACCCCGCGGTCGTCCCACTCTCGTCGTTCTCTCTCTTGTCGCTTCTTCCTCTGTCGCGTCGCTCTCCTCTGCCTCGTCCTGCGACGGCGCCGCCACCTGCCGCTCCCTTGCTCTCGCGGCTTCTCTCGCCTTTCGGCGCAACTCTGCCCTCCTCGGACCTCGCGGCATATTTTGGCCCCTCGAGTTTATCGAGCTCTCCTCGCGCAAGGACGACTCTTCTGACGCCCACTGCGATCATTTGCCGCCAAGTCATATCGTTGCTCAGGTCCACTCTCTCTTCGGACACTTTTGTACTTCCACAGATGATGCTGGCGCTGGGGTCCCCTTCGGGTGCATCGTGACAGCTGACGACGAGATTACCACTGGTGTGTCGTCCTCCTCGGAGTCGTCGTCCCCGGCTTCCTCCCGTTCGGCTCTACGTTCAGCGTGGCTCACCCTCCATGCCGTGAACAGGCGCTTTATCCACCCTATATTCTTCTCTCGTGTTAGTGCCAGTGCGCGCCAGTCCCGTGCCCAGTGTTGTGCGAGGGAGTTTTGTTGTAAAATTCTTCTCTCGCTCCTCTGCCCGTGCCTTGGTCTTGTCGTTGTTTCGCACCCATGTCTGTACGGCAATCGAAGCTGCCTTCCCCACTACCTGTAGTTCTCTAGTTCACTCGTCACCTCTCCTGCGAGCTCCCCTCTCTTTCTTTCGGGTATGGAGTCCGTGAGTGCGGGCAGCGTGCAGGCAATCACGGGCGCTATTTTGTCGTACTCCTCTTCGGCGAGCGCTCCAAATCTAGCCACCCCATTGCCTTTAAGGAGGCTGCCCTCGCTCGTCTCAGGAATGCGGCTGTGTCTTTTGAGTCAGGCGCCGCCCGTTCGACTCTTGCTGTCGCCCTCGCCGTGTGTTTGAGCTTCCGCATGAAGTAACGCGCCTCTTCCTGATTTCCCAGCGCAGCTGCCGCTCAGTATGTGCGCCAACGACGCCTGTGGTGGAGCACTTGGAGCACTTGGAGTGCAGTCGGTAGCCTCACATCCAGGGCCGGGGAGCTAAGGAGCGCACCCAGCGGTGGCTCACTGTCTTCTTGTGTCCAATCGTCCCAGTCTCCCCGTTCTCCATCTCTCCTCCTTGCCCGCGCGCCTTTTTTGCGGCCTCATCCCTAGCCGCCTTGCACGCTCTGCATCCCCAAAACGCACTCCTCGTGGCGGGCCCCTCATTCCCCGTTTCTTTTCCCCTTCTAGAATGGTGTGGTATACCCCGACCTAAAAAAGAAAGAAAACAAACAACCCAACACGCCGCCACCACACACCTCTCCTTACGTTTTTCGTATTTCTTTGTTTTGAAACGTTCCCCGCGCGCGTTGCACAGGGCGGCGGCGGACTCCGCCGATCGCGGCGCGGGGCGGCTTGCTCCGTCGACAAAGGTCACAGCCAGCGAGGCCCTGCGCGAATATGAGCGCGGCGGCAGCGGCTCTCGCGGAGCAGGGAATCCACGCCGACAGCGACGGGCTGCATCTCCTTCCTCCTGGGCAGGCCAAGGCGTCGGCGGAGCTGCAGGAGGAGTGCACCGAGTTCCTGAACCGGACGACACAGTTTAGCGCGATCGTTGCGGATTTTGTCTCCGTCATGGAGAGCCGCGCCACGCTCATCGAGGCGGAGAAGCTCCGTGCCATAGGGCTCGGCAACCGTGTGGAGGCAGAGCCAGAGACGCGGAAACGCAAGGCACTGGAGATGCAGGCGCCCCCTGTTGCGGCCGTAAAGAGCCATTTCCCGCGTTCCGGCCACAGACACCAGATTGCGCCTCTCAGGCGATGATCAACGAGAAGAAGGCGCAGCTGGACAGGCTGACGGCGCAGTGTGACTCGCTCGCTCGCGTTGACGCCGAGCAAAAGGCGCTCCTAGAGCGGCTGACGAACAACGAATCGTGAGTGCACTTTGTCTTTGCCTGCTCCCCCCACAGAACGGTAAAACAAGAGGACGCGTGCAGCTGGCTCGGGGTGCACGTGTGCGAGTTGTATTATAATACGTTTCACGCGCAGAGCCGTTTTTCACGCGCCTCCTCTGCTGGCGGGTGCCGGGTGCTGGCGCCTGCTGTGGTGTGCATGCGGCGTGCGCACCATATGCTACGGGTCCCAAGTATGGGTTCGGGACGTATTCACACCAGTGTGGAATGGTAGGCCATATGGGCGTGCGCAACCGTCATGGCAACCGTTCGCACCCCGGGCCGCAAGAGAGGAGATGCCTCGCTGGAACGGCCCCACGCTGGCCCCCGGGCTGCTGCTGAGTCGCGTCAGGCCTGCTTGTACTGCAGCACCATCTCGTCGGCCGACTTCCATACAAAAGCGCGCACCGCGCCGAGGGACATGTCGGGCGCGAGCGGCTTGCCGCTGGCAAAGAGGGCGAGCGGCTTGCCCGACGGGACGCGCTCCTCGACGTACGCGATGACCTTGTCGAGGCGGAGAGCGGTCGCGGCGGCGAGCTTGTTGCAGTCGGGCGGCAGCAGCGGCAGGCCCGAGGCGGGGTGCGGCTGCAGGAAGAAGGAGAGCTTGAGCGGTGCCCTCGGAGAGAACTGCGCGTGCAGCACGGCCTGCCCCACCCACGACGGTACCGCGCCGTCGGGCAAGTCGCCGAGACGGGACGCCCTGCTGCGCGCCGTCACCACGCTGCCGTCGCATATCAACACCGGCGTCTGCTCCAGCGAGCGGAACGCGCACTGGCCGCCGCCGCCGTCGCTCCCCGCGCCGCCAGAGTTAGCGCCGCCAGCGCCGCCGCCCCCGGCGCCGCTGCCTCCCGCGCCTGCAAGAGAGGGGAGGCCGACTCCGGCGCGTGTGCGACGGCCTTTGCTGGCGGGCAGGTGGCGTGGCGGTGCGGGGGCGGTGCGGGGGCTGCGCTGGCGCGCCGTTGGCAGCGGCACGGGAGGGCTTTTGGCGCTCGCGCCAGCTGGCAAAGAGGGCGCACAAGAGCTGCTCGCCGAGGTTGACCCGAAAGTCCTCCTGTCGGCAGGCGAGGCCCGAGCTGACCGGAGATGGCGGCGGAGGCCACTTGGGTGCCGCTTGGGTGCCACTTGGGTGGTGGCCTCTCGGCGGTCTCTCGGCGTCATCTCTGGGACCTGTCCGGCGATGCCGAGCTCAGAGGCGTATCCTACGGCCGTGGGGCACGCGTGAGGCATGCGGAGAGGGGAAGGGGGGGAAGCGGCGAGAGGAGAAGCTGCCCTCGGCGTTGAAGGTGCTGCTCGCGCACAGCGTGAGCTCGAGCGCGCCCGAGCGAGCCGATGCGGTGAACCACGAGGCGCTGTACGTGCCTGGCGGGGAGGAGGGGAAGCACAGAACACCCGCCCGGTGAGACACGCGGCGTTGCATGTCCGACTAGTCGATCTCTGTCTGTCTGCCCGTCCCCTCGACTGTCCGTGCTCTAGCCCTCTCGGGCGGCGGCGCACGTTGCGCCGTCGGCTCGGCCAGCTCGGCGAGCAGCTTGTCGTACTTCTCGCCCGCGTCGAAGCGGCGCACGCAGCTGCCCCGCGGCAGCACCTTTGCAGACGCCGCAGCCCGTCACACGGCCGCACTCGCAGCCGCACCCCTCTGCAGCCGCACCCCTCTCCCCCGCTGAGAGACGACTCGCGGAGGAGGAGAGGGCAGGGGGGAGAGGGCAGGGGGGAGAGGGCAGGGGGGAGAGGGCAGGGGGGAGAGGGCAGGGGGGAGAGGGCAGGGAGGAGAGGGCAGGGGGGAGAGGGCAGGGAGGAGAGGGCAGGGGGGAGAGGGGGAAGAGGCTGGAGAAGCGCCTCCCACAGCGCGCAGAGCCCGCGCGTGTCCTCGGTCAGGATGCGCCGCTTGCACGGCAGCACCGCCAGCCGCTTCACAGCGGCGCTGCCTCGGATCGTTGCCACCTGCAGTCGGCGAGAGGCGGCGGAGGGGTGGGTCTCGAGGCGGCGGCGGCAGATGGAGAGGGAGAGGGAGAGGGAGAGGGAGAGGGAGAGGGAGAGGGAGAGGGAGAGGGAGAGGGAGGAGCGGCAGGGAAGGGGGTGCGGGAGAGGCGGGGAGGGAGAGGGGGAGGACGAGGGAAAGGAGGAGGGCGAGGCTTCCGCTGGAGGAGAGGCGCACCCGGTGGGAGGGCGGAGCCTCGCTGCAATCTCCGCTCCCGCCTCTCTCGTGCCGCCGCGCCAGATCGCCGCCCGCCGCCGCGCCGCCCGCGCCGCCTCCCGCGCCCGCCGCCGCGCGCCAGCAGGAGAGGGACGAGTCCGAGGTTGCCACCCAGAGCAGCTCTGGCGCCCAAGCCGGGCGGTGCAGCCTCAGCGCCGGCGCGCCGACCTGGCAGACCCCTCGCGGCGGCGGCGGCGGCGGCGGCGGCGACGCGTGCGCGGCGAAAGAGTCGTCGAGGACCAGTCCGTCGCGGCCGCCGTAGAGGACGCGGGAGCACGACTCGTCGACGTCGATGCAGAAGACCGAGTCGCTGTGCGGCCTGGCGGGCGGGGCGGAGGGGTCGCGGGAGGAGAGGCGCCGGGGTGCGGGAGCAGCCGCCGCCGGCGTGCGTCGCCTGAGCTCGGCCTAGACACTTCCTAGACACTTCCTAGACACTTCCTAGCCGGCGTGCGTCGCCTGAGCTCGGCCTGCACGCGTCGCTGGCCGATGCTCCAGAGCTTGACCGAGCGGTCCGAGCTGCACGAGACGAGGCAGCCGCCGTCGGCAGAGATCGCGATCCCGCGCACCACGTCTGTGTGGCCCACCAGAGAGCCGACCGCCGCCGCCTGCGCGCGAGGGTCCCAGAGGCGGAGGGTCGCGTCGACGGCGCCCGTGGCGATGAGCCCGCCGTCGAGCTTCACCTACGGCGCCACCGCCCCGCTCAAGCAGCCGCCTGTGTGCGCCGGCGCGCAGCGCCCGCCCCTAACCGCCAGCGCGTAGATGGAGTCTCCGTGCGCCCGCGCGCCCTCGCTGCCGCCGATGACGACTCGCGGCGCCAGGCGCGCCACGTCCCACACGACCACGCAGCAGTCGCAGCCGGCCGAGGCGAGTGTGCCCGCGTCCGCCGCGTACCCGAGCACCTTGACAAAGTCGGTGTGCTGCCGCAGCGTGTAGCACTTTGACGGTGTCCCCGTCTCGCCCTCGGGCCGCCAGAGCTTGATCGTCCGGTCGCTCGAGGCGGAAACGACAGCAGAGGTCAGATCGCCGTCCGTCAGCAGCGCGAGGTCGTTGACCCAGTCTGTGTGCTCGTCCACGGTGAAGCGCAGCCGCGGGACTCCACCACCCTCGGGCTCGCGCCAGCAGCGCACCGAGCCGTCACGGCCGCCGGTAAAGAGCTCGCGCGACGATCCCCACGCCGACGCGCAAGTCGAAGCCAGCGCGTTGATGCCAAAGCGGTGACCCTCAGACGCGCCATCGTCGAGGAGGGTGAGCGTCACCGACTTTCTGGACGCCGACATGCACACCCAGCCCAGCCAAGGGCCGAAGCCAGAAGAATTTAACGCTTTCTTCATTTACAACGCGAGGTGACCTTTGAAGTTTGAACGTGTGGGCGGCAGCTGTCTGTTTACAGGCGCTGGCCGCCCGCGCGCGCGCCGGACCGGCTCCGGCACGTCCGGCGCTGGGCGGCGCGCGTCCACACTGCGCGTCGCGCAAAAGGCGAGCGCTCGCCGCCGCTACGGCGGCGGCGGCGGCCGACGGCCGACGGCCGACGGCCGACGGCCGACGGCGGCCGACGGCCGACGGCCGACGGCCGACGGCCGACGGCAGACGGCATACGGCCTAGGGCTCGGCTGGGCGCGCACGCGCACGCGCGCGCGTCGCGCGCCACGCGTCGCTCCGCGAGGGCGCGCGCCAACCGCGATTCGAACCGGGGCCAAAAGGCGCCTGGAGCGACCGCGGTCCGGTCGCGCCACCGCGGCTGCGGGGCTGATAGAGCAGGCCGGCTGCGGCTCCTGATGTACCTCCGCTTTTGGGTGGCGGTCGCGCGCTGCCGACGGCGCTCGCCGGCGCTACGGCGCTCGCGGCGCGCTCGTGGCGTTCAGGGCGGCTCGCACACGCACACGCACACGCACACACACACACACACACACACACACATGCACACACACACACACACACACATGCACAGACACACAGCCCCTTCCCCTCCCCCCTCAAGGGCGAGGACACGCACAGGCCGCACCTCTAGTGAGGCCCGCATAGTATGTGGGAGACTCGTGCCGCCGCCCCTGCCACCCCTGTGTCAGTGTGCCTGTGGTAGGAGAGACTGCCAGTGAGAAGCTGGAGGCAGGTCGCTAGACTGAGATGAGACCGCCAGTGGATGTGGGATTCCACCGTGCACCGCGCTGCGAGCCTGTCGTGTCCCTTGTCAGGAGCAGGAGAGCCCCACCTGTCCCCCTGATCGTTCTTCCAAAATCCTGCTCGTGCAGGTGGGGACCCTGTCCTCGTCCCATCCCTCGTTTGGCGTGTCTGTTTTCTTTCTTTCTTTTTCCGTGTCGCGATGCGCTCCCCACTTTGGCCTGCATCTCCTTTTCCGGCAAACAAAAAGGAAAACAGAGGGTCCCCAGCACTTTGGTCTTTGCGTTTCCGGAAATTTCCAGGGAAAACAGAGGGCGTTTGGTGCTCCATTCTGGAAACTCGCGAGTTTCCCTGAGTCTGAGAGCTGGTCTGGGGCAAAATCTGAGGCACAATTGTCAATTGAGGAAATCGCGCCTGCTGAACAAGCTCCTCTTGTAGCTCGATCGGTCACACCGCCATCACCGCCGACGTCTCCCTGTAAGATGGTGGAGAGGGGGGACGACACTGCTTCTCAGCAGCGTGCACCTCGATCCTGTGCCGTGTTTGTTATGACCCCCCCCCAATGAACACACCAGTGAGGGAGGGCGAGACGATCGAGGGGTCCCGTACCATGCGGAATCGACCCTATCCAGTGCTCAAGTGCTCAAGGAAATCGGCACGATACCCAGGCGGTCGCAGGGTATTTTCCAGGTATACCCGGGTTTTTCCAGGTACCTGCATCTGGTACTCTCCCACCTGGAAGAGGTGCTGCCTCGTGCACGGCTTCGTCGTCGCCTCGCGGGCAGCTCGGCCATCGTCCGCCGGCTCGCCTCGGCGCTCGCCCTCTCGCTCGCCGCCCGCTGCGCCGCCTCGCTCTGCCCGTGCGACGCGCTCTCCCGCGCCGCCTCGCGGCCCGCCGCCCGGCCGGCGGCTCCTGCCGCGTCCTTCATCCCGCCGCCGCCGCCGTCGAACAGCGACATCACCTGGTTGGTCACCAGCCGGCAGTACTGCCTCGCGTCGCTCGGCATCGCCGGCCAGATCTCGCGCCACACGTGGTTCTTCATGTGCTGCAGCGCGACGTACACTGTGTTCTCGCCGTGCGGGGAGCACCGAAAAATTGCCTCTTTTACGTGTAATGTAACGTTCAGCCCGAGGCGCACGCGCGCGAGATCCACCCCGCTGCAGCCCGTACCTCCCCCGCCGCGGTCTCGTTCGTTGGTTCGCGCGTTGAGAGAGAGAGTTTCTTCGCGTTGATGGCCCGCACGCAAAACCCGGAAGAACCAATCCGCGTGATCGTGCGGGTGCGCCCACCCCAATCTGGTCGTGACGATCTAGACGTGGACTCGCTCGCGATCAGGGGCGACACCGTGCAGCTGATCCGGAAGCAACGCACCTTCTCCGCGCAGTTTGACGCGGCCCTCGACGGGGAGGCGGATCAGCGCTCACTGTTTTCGCACATTCGGCCGGCCTGTGAAGCAGCGCTCGACGGCATAAACGCGACGGTGCTTGCCTACGGGCAGACAGGCTCCGGTAAGACTCACACCATCTTTGGCGGTCTCCTGCCCGACGAACAGGAGGGCGAAGAGCGCACCGGCATCGCGGGTCGTGCGCTCCATCAGATCTTTGAGCATGCCGCGTGCGCAGCCACCTGTGGGACTCGCGTCATGGTCAGCGCGTCGATGCTCGAGGTTTACAATGAGACTCTTCGGGACCTGCTCCTGCCGAGCGTGGACGGCGGGCACGAGAGGCCAGCCCTGGCGCTCCGCGAGTCTGAGAGCCGAGAGACGTACGTGCAAGGCCTGACAGAGGTGCCACTGCATGACGCAGCGGCTGCCGTGGCCTTGATACGTCGGGCTCTTCGAATGCGAGCAATACGCGCGACCGACGCGAATGCGCGGTCGTCCCGCTCGCACGCCGTGCTGCAATTTATCGTCGAGCAGCGAGGCGGTTCCGCGAGAGGCGGCCTTCGCTCGCGCTTCTGCCTCGTCGACCTCGCCGGCTCGGAACGTGCCATGGCTGCAGAACTGCTCGCTCGAGACCACCAGCGCGAGCGCTGCCAGATCAATACCTCGCTGACGGCGCTCGCCAAGTGCGTGCACGCGCTCTCCGTCTCTACGCGTGGCGAGTCACACATCCCATTTCGGGACTCGGTGCTCACGCGCCTTCTGCAGCCGGCGCTCTCCGGCAACTCGCGCACGGTGCTGCTCGCAATGCTCTCGCCCACAGCCGACGCGGTAGAGAACAATCTCTCCACCCTGCGCTTTGCCGACCGTGCCAAGCGCGTGACGTTGACTGCGGCCCGAAACCCGGCGGATGTGTCCGAAACACTGCAGCAGCAGCGAGAGCGGTACGAGGCTCACATACATCGGCTAAAGCAGACCGTCCAGCGTCTCCGACTGGCGCTGCGCAGCGCGGGCCACCGAGCAGAGAGCACCGCCATGCCCCCGCCCGCCTTCCGCTTGTCGCCGGAGGCGCCGAGGAGCCTCGGCCCCGATTTCGCCTCTACCCGAGAGGACGACGACGTGGCGGAGCTGCGCCAGCAGCTCCGAGAGGCGCGCGCCGAGAGTGCAGCCCACCAAAGAGCGAGCCACCGGTTGGAGAAGGCCTTGGACAATGCGCTGGCGGGGCGAGTCGACCGAGCGCTCTCTTGGGCGAATGGGGGGAAGCGCATGGAGGATGACCCTCCCGGTCACGCGTCACAGCCGGAGGGCGGTCTGCTGGAGGACATTGAGACGGATGACGTGCTCCTGCAAGCAACTCTCCAGGAGTTGCAGCTGCAGCAGGCGCAGCTCGATCGCATCCGGGCGGAAGAACAAGAGGTGCAGAGCCTCTTGCGAGGCGCGACCGGCGGAGTAGCCTCCACACCGCGCCGGTCGCGCGCTGCCAACGTGTGGACGGCTCCGCGCGAAGGCAGCGATCGAGGAGACGGAACCCGCTCGGCGCCGTCGCCGCGGAGCGTGCATCCTACCGCCGGTCCATACAGCGTCAAAAACGCGCAGACACCGAACAGCGGCCGCCGTCACCGCCGCACGGCGAGGCAAGCTGGCGACAGCCACCCCGCCTCCGGTCGGAATGTGCGACCCAATGACGGCAGAGCTCTTGGTGGGTCGCAGGACACGATCGCGCAGGCTATGACTCAGACGCTGCTCGGCGGTGGAGCGACGGTTGGCGCTGGTGGGGTTGGCATGGGCTCGCTCTTTTACATCCTCGGAAGCCACACCTCGGCGCGCCGTGTGAAGGAGCTGAACGACCGCCTCGTCCGCGAGCAGCAGCAGCAGCAGCAGCAGCAGCAGCAGCAGCAGCAGCAGCAGCAGGAAACGTAAACCCCTTTCCGCGACGAGGTCTACGGCACGTGTGTGCCCGTGGCCTCTGATCCTGAGACGTGAGAGACCAGACGACGCGTCCCCTGGGCCCTGGCGGCCCCCCCGCCGAGTCCGCCGCCCGCCCATGCGCGTTGGCGCATGGGCCCCCAGTCGCCAGTCCCAGACGCCAGAGCTCAGATAGACACTCCTGTGAGTCTCAGATCTCCTTTGAGCTTCAGCCGTATTTGGAAAAAAATCTGATCATTCACAGACCCACACCTTGTGGCTCCCCAACACACGTTTTGACCCGGGGTTAACACTGCGCCGCACACGGACGATTCCAAATTCCGAGACGGTCGTGACCCTTTTCACATCCAACCACGCGCAATCGCTCACCTCACAAAGACACGCGCGGACCGCCTCACGGCGGCGGGCTGCTTGCGAGCGCTCGAAGCCGCTGCGTGCCCTTCAGCGGGCGAGTGGGCTTGGCGGCGGCGGCCCGCGACGCCCCGGCTCCATTCGGTCGCCCGGCGCCCGCCTCGACAAGCTCGCGCAGCGTGGCGTTGTACGCGGTGGCGAGGGCCTCCTCCATGTCAGCTCGCTTGCGCCTCTCGGCCACCAGCGCCGCCTCGAGCTCCGTCACCTTCTCGAGGAGCTGCCGCTTGTCCTTGCTCGTGTGGCGGCGGCCGTGCTCGAGCCGAGCATTCTCGCGCTCGAGCTGCGCGCACCGCCGCTTGAGGTAAGACGCCTCCTCGAACAGAGCGTCGTACTGCTCCTGCAACTCGGCGCCACGCCCGCCGCCCGCGCCACCCAAGCCGCTGCCGCCCGCGCCGGCGGTGAAAGCGGCGCCGGGGGGGGCTGGCGGCGGCGGCTGCTCCTCCTCCTCCTCGGCCGAGGCCACGCCTACGCGCCGCGCAACGAGACGCACGTTGGCCCGGTCAGTAGGGGAGAATGGCCTCCTCGCAGGCACGCGGCACGTGCGAGCAGCTCCGCCGCCGCCGTGGCCGCCTTGCGCGACTTTTTGAGCGCGTGCGAGCGGATCTTACTCGCCATCAGGGCCGCCTGCGGGGAGGTGGCGGGAGGCTTGCCTGCGGGGCCCACGCGCCATAACCTCGCTCGCGAGAGAGCGATCAGGGGCGAGCCTTGCGCCCTTTGAACTGGACATAGCTCCACACCCGCAGCTGCACGCCTCCGTCGCCGCCCCCGCCCGCCGCCGAAGCGAGCGCGACCCACCGCTCCTGCACGCGGAAGGACTCGCCATACGGGATGTCTAGCGTGCCGACCTACGGAGAGAGAGCGCGCGCTCGACAAGACGACCGTCGAGCTGGAAGGGGGGCGGGAGGGGGCGAGGCAAGGAGGGGGGAGGCGCGAGGGTGGACGCGCGAGGAGGAGGGAGGGAGGAGGAGGAGGGAGGGGGGTAGGGGGAGGAGGGAGGAAGGGGGAGGAGCGAGGGAGGGGGGAGAGGGAGGGGGGGAGGGAGGGAGGGATGGGGGAGAGGGAGGGGGGAGAGGTAGGGAGGGGGGAGAGGGGGGGAGGGAGGGAGGGAGGGAGAGGAGGCAAGCAGCGCCTCGCGCTCGAGCAGCAGCCGCTCGCCGCCTTGCCGCTGGAGCCGCTGCCGGATGACAACCTACTCCGAGCTGCGTCGGATGAGCAGACGCCGTGCGCAGCTGCTGCTGCGGCGTCCGCGGGGCAAAGGTCCCTCGTCTGGTCGGGCAGCATCGGCTTGGGCGGGCACTTGACGACGCACGAGACCTCGCGCTCGAGGCCAGACTCCTCGGACCCCTCCCACCGGCCCGCAGCTACGGGCAAGGCACCGCAAACGAGCTGAGATAACGGCGGCGATGAGATAACGGCGGCGAGGTATAGCCGAGGTGTAGCCGAGGTAGCTGCGCACAGACTCGCTGGTAGCCGAGCCGCGAGCAGAGCAACCGGCCGAAGCGGCCGTCCTCGCAGTCCATGCCGAGCAGCGCCTGCGAGAGGGGGGAGGAGGAGGGGGGGGGGAGGCACTGTTGGCCCTCGGCCCTCGGGGGGGGTGGCGGCGGGCGGTGGCGCGGCCGTGCGCCTGCTCGAGCGCGTTCAGGTCGAGCGGCAAGCTCGTGCTGAGGCTCTCGGCCATGTCGCCCCACGCGACGGCGAAGAGGGAGCCAGAGAGAGACACACCCGCGGAGCCTCCCCCTCCGCCGCCACCGCTCCCGCCCCTTCGGCGCGCGCGTCTCTCCCCGCCGCTCTCTCCCCTCGCCGGCGCCGCCGCCCCGCCTCCGCCTCCCTGTGCCGCGTCACCACCGCCCTTTGCCATGTCCGCGGCGTGCGGCGCGGAGGCACTGCGCGCGACGCTGCAGCTGCCCGTCGGCGAGCTCGGCACCTGAGGAGCACGCCACACACGGACGCCTCACCCGCGTCTCTCGGCCGCACCTCGCCACCGCCCAGACCTCGGCCGCACCGACACCGCACACGCCTCCCCGCCGCCGCCGGCCGTCTCCTCCGCCCCAACCTGCCGCCCCAGCCGAAGCAGGCCGCCGCTGCCGCCGCCGCCGCCGCCGCCAGCCCCGCCGCCGCCGGCAGAGAAGGCCGCCGCCGCCCGCGACAGCGCGTCCGCCGCCTCGCCGCCCGCCTCGCCGCCGCCTCCGAGATGGTGCTGCTCTCCTGCCCTCGCGCTGTCCGCGTCGCCGCACTTTCGCCTCCGACCTGCCGCAAAGCTCGCCGCGCGGATGGCCGCCCGCGCCGCCGATCCAGTGCGCGTCCTACGGCAGGCTCCCGCAGCCCTCAGGGGCGGGTCGCACGCCTCGTGGGGAGGTGCGGACAGGCTGCTCCTGCGCCGATCGCTCGCCTCGACGTCTGACCGCTCCGACGCAGCAGAGTCGTCCGAGTCGGCTCCGCGCTCGGAGAGGCCGCGCTCGGAGAGGCCGTCCTCGTCGCCGTACATGGCCGACGAGGCGACCGACGATCCGATCGACGACTCGGACGCGGCGGACGACGAGGCGCCGTCCGAGTCGTCGCCGCCGCCCAGCCCTCGCTTGAGCCAGGCGGACGTCAGCTGCAGGTGCAGCGTCGCGGCGCCCTTGGCCAGCGGGACCGAGAGCGTCGTCGATTGCCGCGAGTAGGAGGCGTGCGGCGCGAGGTCGAGCGAGCCGCTGATCTTCTTCGCCTTGGCCGCGCCGCCTTCGACCCGCACCGTCAAGTCGGAGTTGCGCGGCTCCAGCCGCATCTGCCCGTGACTCGTGCTCGAGTAGACGGAGCACGCGAGCGAGACGGGCTCGCGCCACTCGGCCGCGCGGCCGTCCGCCGCGGCGCCCGCGCGCACGGCCCCACCGTACGCCGTCTTCTTGCCCGACTTCCAGCTGAGCGAGAGCGTCGGCGGGACGCCGGGCCGAGCGGGCTGGAGGAGCGCGCCGCCGCAGACGAGCCAGGCCTCCTCGACAGTGAAGAGGTAGCGATGCTTCTTCTTGCCCAAGCGCAGCGAGGGCTTGAGCGCGGGCATGGCGGCGGCTTTGGGAGGCCGTTGCGAGCAGGAAGAAACCCTGTGCGCGAAGAGTGGCGCAGCGGAGCTGGGAATAGGACCGCCGCAAGCGGCGTGGCGTGGGGCGGTTGAGCATCCCTCCGGGGCCCCCTCTGCGCCGGGGAGGCGTTGTTGGAGGCTGGACGCTAGCGTCCTTCGCCTTTTTCAAACTCGGGAGGACCCACTCCGCTACGGCAGCCTACGCTCCGACCCGAATTTGGAGGGCCATGAGTTTAAGGTGTTGCTGCGCAAAAGGGGCGGGGCGCGGGCGCGCGTACGGCGGCAGGCCGAGAGCTCTTTTTGGAGATCAGACCTTTCGATGGTTCATGCTTTCTAATGTCTATCTATCATGCTTCATGACACGACACGCGGTGGTGGGAGCTGGTGGAGCTGTCAGCTGATCGATCCAAGCGGGTGGGGAGTGGGGGGCATGGCTGGGCATGCAGGCCCGCCAGTCGGCCCGGCCTCTGACGTGGTGCTGCCGCTGCATTCGCTGAAGAAGAGAGGTGCGACTTGATTGGAGGCACTGGAGGCGAAACAAGAGCCGTGGGTTGCGGGCGTCTCTCGCAAGGGCCGACAAAGAGAGCAGATCGGCCTGACACGTCCCGCACATGTCCCCGTTCACAGTTGAACTAATTCTCACGGCTGTACACTGTTTATTAATCGGCCGTCCGCGAGCCCCTAGCTCGCCGACGGCGAGAGAGATGCCACGAGGGGTCGCGGTGGCGTCCATCGCCAGGCTCCCTAGCTCAACCGACGACCCTCCTGCCTCGGGATCGACGGCCGATCGTCATAAGGGAAGGTTGGGCCGGGCCGTGAGGGGCTGATGGCGCTGGCCAGCGCGGGGTGTGAGATGTCGTCGTCATATACTGCTGGCCCTCGAGTTGCCAGGGCTGTGGGCTGCAGAATTGGCGTCTGTGGCGTCTACGCAGGCTCTGCAGCGTGATGGCTGGCGGGACTGCGAGGCCGGCGGCAGCGGAAGGAGAGGCTGGGCACGAGCCAGGAACAGGCTGCGTGGCCAGGTCCGCAGGTGGCTGCGTCGGGCGAGGCGCGCGCGCGCATGGCAGGCCGAGCAGGCTCGGCATATGGTCCCGAGACGCGCGTCCACTGTGGGTTCCCCTCCCTGAGGGGTAGGGGATCCCTAGCACACTGGAGCCGAACCCTGGGAGATTGCGATCTCGGGCGTGTCACGCTAAGTTTGGATGAGCGTGTCACGCTCAGTGTGAGAGCGTGTCACGCTAAGTTCTAACGGAGTAAAGAAATGCCCAAGCGCGAGAGGTTTGATGAGCCGTCTACCGACTACTCACGGAGGGTCATCAGTAGACTCGAGACGTTCCTCGGCAGGCTAGCTTCGGCAGCCCAATATGTTCCGGAGAGAGAGAGAGATTTTTTAGAGCAGCGAGGGCATGACGCATGTGGGACGGCGGTATCGGCACAACGCTTACACCAGTGTCCAACCTCGTGAGCGTCGTATCAACCGATGGCAAATTGCTAGTCGCCTGCTTGCGGCAGCAACGGCTGGGGCTTGTCACGTTGTGGGGAGCGGCGGGCTTGGCTGTCAGCGGGCGCCTGGGCGGTGTCGAGCACCACCAGCGTCCAGGGTGTCGAGAACCTCATCGTCGCTACCACCGACGACGAAGGCCTTTGTTCCAACCACCGCAGCGGCGTCTTGCCCACTTCTCTCCGATTAATGAGCGAAGCCCCAGCTGCCAGCCAGTGTCAAGGTCGGCGGTGTCGAGAGTTGCAAGCCATCCAACCTGCGTTCGTCACGCTCCGGCATAACGTGGGATTTCATGTGCCGCGGTGTAGATTTTGCTGCCGATCACAAGACGGCGAAGAGTTGCCGCTGTGGATTGGATCGGCGGCGGCGGGGTGGCCGGTTGCGTAGGGCCCATCACTGCAAGGATCGGCACCGCCTCCTCCTGCGGGCGCCTCCCGCGGCGCCACCGCCTCCGCCTGCTCTGCTGCAGCCGCACCTGCTGCCGCCACGTTCACCTCCTCCTGGGACGCCACATCCGCCTCCTCATCCGTCTCTGCCGCCGCCGCCGCCGCCTCCTGCGCTGCCTGTTTGCCTGTTTGTCTGAGCATCTCCGAGCACGCGTGCTGTAGCCCTGGCGTCGATGGAGGCTCGCATGGAGAGGAGGGACCGGAGGGCCTCCTGCATCAGGTGGGCCAGCAGCTGCCGTGCGGGGAACGATCCGCCAGCCCGCCGGAGGCTCCGGTCAATCATAGGACGTTCGTGCCGGTCTAGCTTCCATCAACATGCGACCATATCACCGTGGGCTACCGCTTCCCATCCGAACAGCGAAGTCAAGCACGGTCGAGCCCAGGTAGTACTCCCATCCGGGAGGGGGGGGGAAGGCTGGGTGTTGCATGTACCTCGTCACCGTGGTCTAGTGGCATGATGCTCGCCTGCCACGCGGGCGACCCGGATTCGATTTCCGGCGGTGACACGTTCTGTCCGTATGGTCTAGTTGGTCATGACGTTCGCCCAACATGCGAAAGGTCCCCCGTTCGAACCGGGGTATGGATAGATTTTTGCGGCACTCCCTTTGTTCTCTTCTCATAAAATCGGAGGGTCGGCCCACGGGGGGACTTCGTGAACTGAAGCGACCCAACGATTTTATGAGTGGCAGCAAAGGGAGTGTTTTTGCGGGCGCGTAGATTTTTGCGCGGGCAAAGCAGGAATTCTTTTTTGATGGCGAGAAGAGATGCTCCTCACTCTGGCCTCTCCTTCGGTAGCTCCTCCGCCTCCGCCGCGGCCCGACCCCGTGCCCCTCGCTCCGCCGCAGCGTGTACCGCTTCGCCGCCGCTGCTAGTCATCGACCGCCGCTCCGCTCGTTCCGCCCGCTCTGCAGGTGGTGCTCGGAGGAGGCGTGCGTCTCGGCGTCTCGTCTCGTGCCGGATTGGCTCTCATGGCGACGCAGGACGAGCTGTAGAGAGTTTACTGCATACTGTACTGGTTGGCTAGTAGTTAAGTTCTGAGCCTCGAGGCTTAGCGGGTCTAAGTCTTAGAACTAAGTGTGCCCTGGCTCGCTGGGGTGCTTACGCGGTCTAAGATCGGCGGCAGCCTCTTATGCGGGCTAAGTGTGCGTGGCACGGCCTGGCTGGGGCCAAGAGGCTCCCACCGTGATCAACGATACGGCGCTAGCCCCCAAATTTTCTTCGCCTGGCGGCGGGCGCCTTCTAATCCGGATCGATCCTTCTCATGGGGCTCAGCAATCGCCGCCTAAGCATCCTCCTCTTCCGATTCTCGTTGCTCTTCTTGAGCGCAATCTTCAAGCCAAACAGTTCTCACAAAAAGCCTCAAACTCAAACAAACGCATCCAGCTTGTTGCGCTGCTTCGTTGCGATGAGCTGATTGGGATCGCAGAAGTGCATGCCAAGCACCGCCACGATCTTGAAGCAGAACACATCGCAACCGCATCGTCCGCACTGCCATCGGCATGCCGTGCCCGCCGCGCTTCGCCGCAGCCGCCTTAAGACACGCATAGCGGCAGCACATGGTACGGTGCGCGTACTTGAGCAGGCGTTGCGCGCCGCAAGTAGCGCATGGCCCTGGGACAAGGCGATATGGCGTCGTGCGCGGCATACGTTGGTCGGGACGCGTCCAGGTATTTTTCGGGTAAACCTGGACTTTTGCAGGTATACCCGGGTTTTACCCGGAGTTGGCCTTGTGTCGTCTAAGTTCATGGCCCCCGACCATACAGCGTCTCAGTATGAGCCCGGCTCCGTGCGGGGGCTAAGTTGAGCGCTCGCTCGCTCGCTGCAGAGGCTAAGTGTGGAGCGACCCTCTAGCAGGCAGCCCTACTAGTACTACCCAGCTCCATTCTCTGGGGTGGCGCGGGGGCCCCCGGAGGCACCGTGCGCCGCGCCGCAGTGCGGAAACGGGGCCTGAGCCCTGGTCTGACAGCCTGACAGCAACCCCCGGACAGCGCCTGACAGTGCCCGACAGCCTGACAGCGCTGACAGCACTTTCTCCGACAGTCTGACAGCACGTCTCTGACAGCCTGACAGCAGAGCCTGACATCAGAGGCGTCCCGTCGCTGTCAGGCCCTAACGTGACAGCCTGACAGCTGCCCGACAGCCCGACAGCACACAGCGGCCTGACAGCAGCGCTGACAGCCCGACAGCCCGACCAGCCTCACAGCAGCACAGACCGTCTCAGGCCGTGCAGCCTCTTTCTTGTGTCCCATGAGGGTATAGCAAAACTATTACATGCAAAGACATGTGTATGTGGTCCGCGCCTTCGATTCTGTGGAGTCCGCGCCAACCTCTGTGCACAGACCGGCTTCTTCAAGCAGCTGTGCTTGCACTTTCCTCTGGCTGACACCTATGTCCAGGGTGGCGCGTTGCTGGAGGAGCCGGGAGAGAAGGAGGATGATCCAAACGGCACACCCGATGCTGAGCCGGCCGAGCTGACCGCCATGGGCGCACAGGATGCTGCAGATGCCGAGGCCGTGCTGAACCAGCTGATGCGGACGGGGGCCAACGTGGCGCCTCCAACCGGCGGCGAGGAGGGCAGCAGCGCAGAGTTTTTTGAGGAGATCCGTAAGCTGCTGGCAGATTTCAACGTCTCCATCCAGGAGGAGTCAAAGGATCGCAAGCTCCGCTTCCACGTCAAGCGGCTCATCAAGTCCCATCAGCAGCGAGGCGAGGATGTGGATGAGGAGCTCGACTTCTACATGGATGATGATGACGGTGACCACGCCCTTGCCGCCTGTCACACACACACATAAGACGTGCATTCTCATCTCTCCCTCTTCTCTTTCTCTCCGCAGTTGCGGTGCTCTTCACCATGGAGGATAGCTCCAAGGTCTTTGCCATTGGCAACATCGAGCAGGTGGCCGTCGCCGACGGCACGGTAGACGCGCGCCGCGCCACTGGCAGCTCGAGCGCAGAGTACCTGCGCCAGCTCTCGATGAGTCAGCGCAGCAACGGGGTCTTCATCAACGACCCCAAGGGCCTCTTTATCCTCCGGTGGTACCGTGAGGTGGAGGGTGACGGGACCCCCCCAGACGGCCCGCGCTACCAGAACAGAGCGTGCAAGTACTACAAGCTGACGAGCGACAACGATGGGGAGGCCTTCCGCTGGACCAGCAACTACCAGATCATCAGCAAGGTGTACCTGAAGAAGCACTCCCCCCTGCCTCTCTGCTATTCTCTCAGTGCGGCAGACAAGAAGATGGTGACGTCCACCATGAAGAAGATGGTGGGACCGGAGGCAGAGTAGAGACTAGAGTATGTGCAGCAGAGTCCTGCTGGTCTCCTCTTGATAATGTCATAAGTGTGGCTGGTGTGTGTCAGAGCCTGACAGCACCCCGACAGCACCACCTAACAGCACCTGACAGCAACAGCCCAACGTCTGACAGCAGCAGCAGCCTGACAGCTCTGACAGCTCCGACACTGCTCCGACAGCGTCTGACAGCAACACCCGACAGCTCCGACAGCACCCGACAGCTACAGATCCCCTCTGATGTCAGACACGCACCCGACAGCACCCGACAGCACTGACAGCACACGACAGCTGGTCTGACAGAGGCACCTGACAGTGCCTGACAGCTGCCCGACAGCCCGACAGATCACCTGACAGCACCTGACAGCCTGACAGCCAGGGCTCAGAACGGGGCCCCGGCTCCGTTAGTCTCCGTTAGCACCAACTTCCCGATTAAGCTAGGTTAATCAGAGGGCAGATTTGGAGAGATCTCGAGGAGTACATACAGATAGACCCTCCAACCATCAGAAAACTCCGACCTGATCGGTCGTATTGACCGCCGACAGATCACTCCAGACAGCAGACAGGCCGACGTCTGCACACGCGGCCGGCCGGGCGAGAGGCTTGACAGATCCGACCCTTCGACCCTGATGCTGCTGCTCTAGCTATCCGACATGCACTACTGACTGCTGCCACAATGTGCGACCGGTGCTGGCCCACTTGGCGGCCTTTCCGGTCAGTGGTGAGGCGCAGTTCAGGGCTGTCGATGGCGCAATGCCGCACTGGTCCCACATTGGTGACACGAGACCACCAAGTTTGCCGGTCCAAGAGAGAGGCACCGGCGCTGTCCTGAGAAGGTGCGTGGTCCCTCTTGACTGCCCATGCGCGCGAGGCTGTGTAGGCATAGCCTCGAGAGTGCCAGCAGCCAATCCGAGGCGACGCGCATTGCGCCAGAAGCGTGCACACGATCTGGAAGGACACCCTCCTACTGACCGTAGGATCAGGTCGTCACTGAATGCTTGATACTAAGGCCGCGAGCTATGCAGGTGATCAATTGTGCATCATGGCACGGTCAGCAGCGCCGACAGGCTGTCGCAAGGCGTGATAGCATGGCCGCAAGAGGCAAGTCGGCACCTGCGGCGGGCCATGGGACCCCATCTCCCCCCCGCATGGACACCCTCTAGGGCCCCCGGCCCCCGCGGCCGCGCCCGGCCCAGTCCCCAGAGACTCCATATCTGCCATTGAGAGCGCTACCGACTTCTTTACGTCAGTTGTACACAGTACGTACGTGTGTCTACTGAGTACTGTCTGTGGGGATCAGAGTTATTGGTTAGAGAGTTATTTAATGTCTCTCCACCTCGTGGGACACGTAAAAAATAAAATATGAGGCAAACAGGGACGGCCGGCAAGGCGGGGACGCGACCGAGAAACATGCGAACACACAACGCGAGGCCCGCGGCTCCGCGACCTCACGGCTTCTGGCTGATGCCGTCCTTGCCCGCAATGATGACCGAGGTGGTCATGCCGCAGAAGAGGCCGTGCTCGAAGACGCCGCACAAGCCCTTGAGCTCGGCCGCCGCCTTGGGGGGGAGGGGGGCGGTGATGGACGCGTCCACATCCCTTGTGCGCGGGCATTGTCCCGTCGGCGCGGCGCGCGGCGCGGGGCGAGGGCGTGGGGCGAAGGCGAGGGGTGGTGGGGTCCCGCCGCCTTTGGCGCGTCGGCGATCGGCGTGTCGAAAAAGACGTCGACGATGTAGAGGCCTGCGGGAAGTGGTCCGGGGAGGGTCGAGGGGAAGGGCGGCACCCTGCCGGCGGATGAGACGCGCGTGGAGGCCGTTGTCGGTGACCGCGGGGTCCTTTCCGTCGACGGCGTTGTTTGCGGACGAGCCGAGGCGCAGCTGCGGCTTGCCGCCTGTCCACGCCAGGCGGCGCGAAGGGATGTGAGGCGGTCTCTCGGCGGTCTCTCGGCGGCCTATCTCGGCGGTCTCTCGCCCTTGAGCGAAGGCAGCTCGGCGATGGCGCGCATCGTGTGCTCCCAGCAGAAAGGCGCGATCTCCACCGGAAGCGCAAACGACGGCCCGAGCCCGTCGCACCTGCGGCAGGCACGGCCCAAAGGATGGTGCGGCAGGCACGGCCCAGACGCCGCTGAGACGGCGCTGAGACGCCGCCGAGCTGGAAGTGAGGCCAAAGCGGAGGCGAGTGACCATGCCCCACGGCACCGTCGAGGTCGTGATCTCTCGACATCTCGGCGACATCTCGGCGACTCTCGGCGACTCTCGCACATCTTCGAGTCGTCGACGATGACGATGAACTTGTCGGCGCACTCCTCGACAATCTTCTCGCGGAAGAGGGCGCCGCCGCCGCCCTAAGAGAGGGAGAGGGGGAGAGGGAGAGAGGGAGAGGGAGAGAGGGAGAGAGAGAGAGAGAGAGAATGGACGCCTCATCTCGGCGCATCTGGGCGCATCTCGGCGGATCGGGGCTCGGCGCATGATCTGGGCGCATGATCTGGGCGCATGATCTGGGCGCCATCTCGGCGCATCTCGCGCCTTGATCAGGTTGAGCTGCGGGTCGACAGCGTCCGCGCCGTCGATGGCGACGTCGATCTTGGAGAAGCGCGACTCGGGCGTGCCGAGGGTCTGCCGAGGAGGGGAGAGGCAGGAGTGAGGCGAGGGGCACACGATCTCGGCCAATCTCTCGGCCAATCTCGGCCAATCTCCGCACCGTCAGCGGAATGCCGAGCTCCTCGGCCTGCTCCTTGGTCCGGACCTGCGCACCGAGACCGAGAGGAGCAGAGATGAGCTGAGATGAGCTGAGATGAGCTGAGATGAGCTGAGATTGAGCAGAGAGCCTACGATGCAGCCGAGATGCAGCCGAGATGCAGCCGAGATGCAGCCGAGATGCAGCCGAGATGCAGCCGAGATGCAGCCGAGATGCAGCCGAGATGCAGCCGAGATACAGCCGAGATGCAGCCGAGATGCGCGCCGAGGTCGGGATGGCGACGATGTCGGTCAGCTTCCCCTCCTTGAGCAGCTGTCCCACCTGCGGACGACATGTGCCGAGGCGTGCTGAGATGTGCCGAGACGTGGGAGGCGGGAGGTGCCCTTGCGGTGCCCCTCTCTCACCCGCTCGACGGCAAAGGCGGCGGTGGAGCCAGTGCCGAGGCCAACCACCATGCCAGACTTCACGTAGTCGTCCACCGCCTTGTACCCCACCTGCGCCGCACGCAGGTGACACACAGGCAGGTCAGCGTGACCTCTGCACGCGGCTCAACGCCGCCGAGGATGTGTCCGCGGCGCGCGTGACGGCGCGGGCCGTGGCTGGGCTGAGTGCTGCCGCCGACGCGCTACGGCCGCGCTGCCGCGGCCTCGCACCTGCTTCTTCAGCTCGTCCTGCGTCGCCATGAGAGCCAATCCTGCACGAGACGAGACGCCGAGACGCACGCCTCCTCCGAGCACCACCTGCAGAGCGGGCGGAACGAGCGGAGCGGCGGTCGATGACTAGCAGCGGCGGCGAAGCGGTACGCGCTGCGGCGGAGCGAGGGGCACGGGGTCGGGCCGCGGCGGAGGCGGAGGAGCTACCGAAGGAGAGGCCAGAGTGAGGAGCATCTCTTCTCGCTATCAAAAAAGAATTCCCGCTTTTGCCCGCGCAAAAATCTACGCGCCCGCAAAAATCTATCCATACCCCGGTTCGAACGGGGGACCTTTCGCATGTTGGGCGAACGTCATGACCAACTAGACCATACGGACAGAACGTGTCACCGCCGGAAATCGAATCCGGGTCGCCCGCGTGGCAGGCGAGCATCATGCCACTAGACCACGGTGACGAGGTACATGCAACACCCAGCCTTCCCCCCCCCCTCCCGGATGGGAGTACTACCTGGGCTCGACCGTGCTTGACTTCGCTGTTCGGATGGGAAGCGGTAGCCCACGGTGATATGGTCGCATGTTGATGGAAGCTGGACCGGCACGAACGTCCTATGATTGACCGGAGCTTCCGGCGGGCTGGCAGATCGTTCCCCGCACGGCAGCTGCTGGCCCACCTGATGCAGGAGGCCCTCCGGTCCCTCCTCTCCATGCGAGCCTCCATCGACGCCAGAGCTACAGCACGCGTGCTCGGAGATGCTCAGACAAACAGGCAAACAGGCAGCGCAGGAGGCGGCGGCGGCGGCGGCAGAGACGGATGAGGAGGCGGATGTGGCGTCCCAGGAGGAGGTGAACGTGGCGGCAGCAGGTGCGGCTGCAGCAGAGCAGGCGGAGGCGGTGGCGCCGCGGGAGGCGCCCGCAGGAGGAGGCGGTGCCGATCCTTGCAGTGATGGGCCCTACGCAACCGGCCACCCCGCCGCCGCCGATCCAATCCACAGCGGCAACTCTTCGCCGTCTTGTGATCGGCAGCAAAATCTACACCGCGGCACATGAAATCCCACGTTATGCCGGAGCGTGACGAACGCAGGTTGGATGGCTTGCAACTCTCGACACCGCCGACCTTGACACTGGCTGGCAGCTGGGGCTTCGCTCATTAATCGGAGAGAAGTGGGCAAGACGCCGCTGCGGTGGTTGGAACAAAGGCCTTCGTCGTCGGTGGTAGCGACGATGAGGTTCTCGACACCCTGGACGCTGGTGGTGCTCGACACCGCCCAGGCGCCCGCTGACAGCCAAGCCCGCCGCTCCCCACAACGTGACAAGCCCCAGCGGTTGCTGCCGCAAGCAGGCGACTAGCAATTTGCCATCGGTTGATACGACGCTCACGAGGTTGGACACTGGTGTAAGCGTTGTGCCGATACCGCCGTCCCACATGCGTCATGCCCTCGCTGCTAGGGACCCGGGCGGTGATGTGGGCGATGGGCACGCAGGCAGGCAACCGCAGTGGCTGATGGGGCATGCTAAGATCTTCGCTGTGGGCGGGTACGACAGCCGCCACCACCATCGGCGGGGATGTTCAGACACGGGCGACGTTGGAACAATAAAACATTGCTAAAAAATCTCTCTCTCTCTCCGGAACATATTGGGCTGCCGAAGCTCGCCTGCAAGGTCCCAAGGAGGAGCGTGCCAAAGCTCTAAGGTTACCACGAAGAGGAACAAGCAAGAACGACAGATGGAGCACTTTTGGAGTGCAGTTGGTAACCTCACATCAAGTGCCGGGAGCTATCGCGTATCGGAAGCGCACCCAGCGGGCCGGATGATCGGCATCGGGCATTCGGGCTGCGTGCCCTTGGAATGTGCGTTCAGGAGGGGCCAAATAAATAAAACCCCTTTCTCCTAGCGATGGAGCGCCCCCTCCACTCTCTCTCAATTACGCCCGACAATCGCGCGAAAAAAAATCCTGATCTCAAAGCACGGCGCATGCGCGCGCTGAGGCGGAGCATTCTGAGGCGGAGCATTCTCTCCAGTCGACCGGACTCGCTGCGGTGTCTGTGTGCCGTGGCAATGGCGCACAAGCTGGTGTTGGACCCTTTCGTCCTCCGCAGCTTCGACGAGCCAACAGGCTGCCTCTACCAGTTCGACAAGGCCGCCTTTGAGAGCTCCACCTCGACACACCATCGCCATCGTCTGCCTTCGACTGACGCTCCCCGCGCTCGCCTGTCCTCCTTCTCAGAGCCTCTTTGAGAAAACGGTCAACGCGGCGTTCGAGGACGGCTCCGCGCCTCTGGTGGATGGCTACGCTCCCTTCTGCAAGCACGTTTTTGTGCCAAACTTTACGCCCGCCAAAGTCTCCGCCCTCGCCATCTCGAAGGAGAACGAGGCTCTGCTGCGGAGCGCCTACGAGGCGAGGACGGAGCAGGAACTTCCAGTGCTCGCGCGCTGGTTCCCGAAGGAGGCGGTGGGTGAGCCGCCGGTCGCCAAGTTCCTGGACGTTATCCTCTACTCTCGCGAGCAGATTCGCAAGGAGGCGACGGCGATGGGCCGCCCGGAGGAGCTCGAGGAGGACGCCCCGTGGGGTATCATCTCCGTCAAGCCGCAGGCGCGTAGTAGCGCCGACTTCCGACCCGCTTGCACGCGCCATCAGAATCTCTCTCTGCTTGCAGCGGCCACGCCTCGCCCGCAGGACGTGGACTACGAGCTGCCGATGCAGCCAATCACGATGATGCGCAACACGATGGTCGAGGAGGGCGGCTCCGGCGTGCCGCTCGAGCGCGAAAAGTACATTGCATCCGTCGAGTTTTGGGCCGGGCACGCCCTTATCAAGTAGGGGACTTCGCAGCGCGCGTCTTCGTCACTCTCCCCCAGGTGACACAGTATGTTCGAGGGCGGCATTTTTGCTGAACAGTCGCATGCATGGGCACTTGAACAAAGAAGGGGGGTGGGGGGGGGAAGGGGTCGATTCCTTCTCACACTTCGCGTTCTCTGGCTGTCGGGTCCGCCCGGTCCGCCCCGCCGCCGCCGTCCACGAACCATTGACATTTATTTCTCACGCGCGCCGCGAACCGGCAACCGGAACCGCGATGATATGGAGAGTGAATCACAATTTGGCCGTTTGACAATGGTTTCTCGTACGTATCTCTCGCCTCTACTCCTCAAAACGCGGTACCCGCTCGCATAATCCACCACGGTCGCACACCCTGCGACTCGAGAGACACTCTTCACAGGACAAACGCACACGTTTAAAAGCAGTGCTGGCAAGTCGACTGAGTTGTCTCACACCATCGCAGGCGACACGGCTCGCTTCCCTTCTGCGACTCTGCGCGGCTCGACGCCGCTGCGCGCGCCCAGCGGCGGCGACGCCCCCGCACTGCTGCTGCCGCCGCCGCTTCCGCCGCCGAGGTTGGCCGGGGCACCGGTGGACTCGAGGGACTCGAGGGAGAGGCCTAGGCAAGGCAGCAATGAGTGGTAGGCAGGAGAGCGCCGTGTCGTTCTACGTGCAAGGCCCGCCTCGCGAGCGAGTGCTGCGTGGTGTGTGAGTGCATGCACGCGTGTGTGGGGAGGTTCTGCGGTCGCATGGGGCGCCTCGCGAGCGCATTGCATCCGCGGCAGTGCGGCCGAGGAGCGCTGCGGCGAGGACGGCGGCGACGGCGCCGAGAAGGAGAAGCGCCGGGTCGGCTGGCGGCCCGCCAGCCACAACCACCTTTTGATGAGCGTCGCGCCGTCTCTCAACGCAATCTCGTCGGAATCTCGGCAGCGCAATCTCGGCGCCGCCTCGGCGCCCTCCCGGCCATGGTCTCTCTCTCTCTCTCTCTCTCTCTCTCTCTGGAGGACGCCTCTGCCCCGAGGGCGCCGCTCGAGACGTATGCGAGCGAGTTTGGCGCGGATCCGATGGCGGTGGCGGCGAGGAGGCGGGGCATGTCGGCGTGCGAGAGGCCGACCAGGTAGGAGGACCACGTGAAGGGCACAAACGTGGAGAGGCGCAGCAGCAGCACCAGCCGGAAGGGCTCCGTCCCGAGGGCGGTGTTGAGGGCGGCGAGGTGCGGCGAGCCGCGCAGCATGCGTCGCTCGTAGCGGGTGCGCGCCATCGCGCGCGCGAGGAGGCTGCAGAATAAGGTGGAGAGGGTCGAGCCCACCACGACGAGGAAGGTGCCGTACTGCACGCCGAAGGCCGCGCCGGCGAGGAGCACCTGCGGAAGTGGCAACAGGCAGGCGGAGGTGCAGGGAGGACATTGCAGCGGGCCGTGGGTCGCACGACAGACACGCCGCAGGGAGGTGTTGCGGCGGGCTGGAGGCCGGAGGCGTCAAGCGGTGGAGTGGTGGGCGGTGGACTCCACTCGGGCGGGCTCGTCTCGGGAGCGTCTTTCCCTGTCCGTCCTCTCTCCCGCACCAAGTAAAAGCCGGCTGCGAGAGGAACCGTCTGCAGCGCGGCCAGCAGCGCGACGTAGGCGGCGCCTCCGAGGACGGGGCCGAGCGAACGGATCGCGTCGATGAAGGCGGCCGTCGCCTGCAGCGGCGAATAGCCCGTCCGCCACTGCACAAAGAGGAAGACAAGCGCCAGCCCAACAAACTGGACGATCTCGGACGCCACGGCCATCGTGGCGCAGCCGCACGCGGCCCGCATATCGCTGCTCGAGTCGACGCCTCGCGCATCGGCTCGCACCGCAACGCTCGCAGCGGCTCCGGCAGCGGATCTCCTGGCACAGCCGGCGCACCCGTCGCCGCCATCGCTGGAGCTGCAGCAGACGGCGCAGCCGCCGGTGGCGTCGAGATCGCTGCTGCCACCGTCTGCACTCTTTGATGAAGCAGCGGCCGACACGGCTCCTGGGAGCCACGGCATCTCGCTCGGAGGCAGCTTTAGCATGCGGCGAGCCAGCCCACCAAAGTCGTGCAGAATTCGAAAAAATAATTTCGAAAACGACTCTGAAAGGAAGAAATCGGGTGTCCGGAAGTGCCGGCCTGCTCAGCTAAAAGCCCGGCTGCCTCGGCTCCAGCCCGCGTAATCGCGACAGAGAGATGACAGACAAGAGCAAGGCGGAGTTGCAGGCGGAGGGCTGGGTGTTTAGCGGCAGCCAGGCCACCGCCGACGGTGCCGGCAACGCAGCCGCGGCCTCCTCGAAGCCCGGCGCAGCGCACTTTTACGGCTCGGCCGGCGTGTCCGAGGAGGAGAGCGAGGGCGAGCGGCTGCTGGGCATCGTGGTGCAGCACGGGCTGCAGGTGGCGCAGGAGGTCCTCGACACGATGGCAGTCGACGGCCGTCCCACAGTGCAGGCCAAGGGCTGCAGCGCCATTGCCATCCTCGCAGAGAAGGACGCCGGGAGGGCCGCCGTCCTCGACGCGAACGCCGTCTTCGCCGTCACGAAGGCCATGGAGGTGCTGGCGGCGGCGGCGCAGGTGCAGGCGTCCGGCTGCTCGGCGCTAGCCAACCTGTGCCAGGGCGACGGGGCGGCGGCGGTGCTCGAGGGCGGAGGACTCGAGGCGGTGCTGGCGGCGATGGCGGCGCACGCGTCAGAGCCGGCCGTGCGCTCAAGGGCTGCCTCGCGCTTGGCAACATCGCGTTCGGCGCCGAGGGCGAGGCGCGCGCGGTGGAGCGGGGCGGTGTCGGCGCGATCGCGAGCTGCCTCCGGGCGCACGGCGCCGACGCAAAGGCCGTAATCTCGGCTACATCTCGGCTACATCTCACAGAGGCTTTCGAACCTCATTCGGCTGCATCTCGGTTGCATCTCAGGTGTGCGAGGAGGCGTGCGATGCGCTCGCCAATCTCGCTGCGGGCGAGGCGGGCCTGAGGGCGCTGTCGGCGGAGGGTGGAATCGAGCTGCTGCGAGCGACGTCGCGTGCGCACCCGAGCCTCTCCAGCGCAGCCGAGGTGCTTGCAGCACTCGAAAAGTAGAGGAGAAGGCCACGGGCTGCTGGGCACATGCGCCGTGGCCGCACACCGTGGGGTCCGAACCGCACACCGCTGACGGGCGGGGTCCGGGTCGCGGGGTCGCGCGGGCGGCGGGGACGCCACAGGATCTTCCATCTTGTAAAGGACGCGCCGGTAAAGCAGCCCTAGCCTAGGGCCTAGCAGCCGTATCTAAAAGTGTGAACAGAGAAGAGAACACAACTACAAAGCCGCCCCACGCGCCCGCGGCACCCTCTAGTGCCCCTGGCCGGCCAAAGAAAGAACATAGGTCGTAACGTACGCCCCAACACCTGGCCACGACGGCCCTCTCCCTATCGCCCAGCCCCCCACGCCCCTACACGCAACCGAAAAGTACCTAAGTACCACCTCCAGACGGGAAGCAGAACAGCACAGACTGAAGCAACGACAAAACCGGGCATCGCACGCAATCGCGACGGTACGTACTCACCTCCGGCCAAGCGCACACAGCACGCACCCTCCAAAACACCCCTCACAAAGCACACCGCACGGAACCTCTCGCTCTCCCTCTCTCGTCCAGGGGGGGGGGGGGGGGGTCTCGACCACCCCCCAAATAACGTGCGGCCATGCCTGTGTCGCGTCCATGCACCCATGCGCCCGAAGAGGGCTGCATGCACATGCACACGAGAGCACACGCCCACACGGCGCCCACACAGCGCTCACACCAGCGGCAGAGGCGGCGCGGAAGCCGCAGCGGCGACTCGCCGCCGCCGCAGCGCGAGCACAAGCGCGGCGAACGCGGTGGCGCAGAGCGCGGCGGCGGCGGCGAGCGGCCGGGCGCCGGAGCGCGTCGCCGGCCGCTCCAGCGCCGCCGCGTCCGCCTCGAGTCCGAACCAGCTCGAGAACCAGCCGGAGGAGGGCGGCGACGGCGCGGAAGCGACGTCTCGCCGGTGCACCACGTAGCGCGAGTTGTCGATGAGCGCCTCGTCAAACGAGTACGTGAACGCGCCGCCGTCGCCGTCGCCGCCGTAGCTGGCCCCGCGCCCCTCGGCGCCGCCCGCCATCAGATCGCTGCCGCCCGCCACGGCATGGGACCCGCCCGTTCGCGTCGGCTGCGGCACCTGCCGGAGCGGAGGGGTGTGTGTGTGTGCCAGAGCCGGGGGGGGGGGGGAGGGGCTCTGGGAGGGGCTCTGGACGGGGGGCAGGAGCGGGGCGACAACGAGCCAGAGGCTGCAGCGTGCAATGTGGCGGCGCCTCGGCTGTTTCTCGGCTGTGTCTCGCGCCTCGGAGATCGAGCCAGAGGGCGCGCTCGCGCTCGACTCCCACGCCACGCGCCCCTCCGAGATCGCCTGCTCGATCGAGTCCCGAAACACGCAGCAGTGGCGGCTTGAGCCGCACGAGCCCGCCGTGAAGGCCGCCCCGGCGGGCGCCTGCCAGTCGTGGACCGGGCAGTCCTCCTCCTGGTGGCCGTCGCGGCAGCACGCGCCACGGTGGCCGCAGAAGGAGGGGCAGGGCCCGCCCTTGCCGCCGCACTTGTCCCAGCAGTCCTCGCCGTAGTGCGCCATCGGCACGCCCGGCGTCTGGCCAGACTCGTACTTTTCGGGGCTCGCCGGCTGGTTCTCGATGTAGACGATGAGCTTGCCTTGGCCATACCCGTCCTCGATGGCGACCGTGTGCTCGCCTGCGGACAGCTCTCGGACACGTCGTGGACGTGTCCAGGACATGCCCCGGACATGGCGTGCGCTCGCCGTCGGAGCTCGAGACGGAGACGGCAGCGTAGCCCAGGTAGTCGGACATGCCGTAGAGCGCGTCCTCGTCGAAGAGGGAGACGACGTAGATCTGGCCCTCGCTCGCTCCTGCGGGGCCGGCTCGCGGACGTGTCGTGGACGCGCCCCTCCCCTCGTGCTGAACACACACACACACACACACATACACATAGAGAGAGAGAGAGAGAGAGAGAGAGAGAGAGAGAGAGAGAGAGAGAGAGAGAGAAGGGGGGGGAGAGAGAGGGAAGAGAGAGAGGGAGGAGAGAGGCCCGCCGGTAAATTCGCAGCAGTGCTGCCAGCGAGGCGCATTCTCGTTGTCGCGCGTGGCCGTGCGGCAGACGCCGTCGGCAGAGGCGGTCCCGCCGGCCGCTTTGACGAGCGGGTCAGCGAGCTTGTGCAGGTCTTGCAGCAGCTCCTCCTGCAGGGTGGCGGAGAGGGAGGCACGGTCGGGGGCGGTGGAGGGGCCGGGGAGAGCGGGGTGCGGTGGGGCGGGAGGGGCGGGAGGGGCGGGGTGCGGCGGGGCGGGCGAGGAGAGGAGTGGGAAGAGTGTTCGGACGTGTCCCTCGCCTGCAGGTTCTCGGCGAGCATCTTCCACTCGAACCCGCTACTCGGCTTGTCTGCCAGAGTCACCTGCCGGCGGGGGCGGTGGGGCCGAGGCGGGAGTCACGCCCTCCCGTCTCCAGCGCGGCCGGCGGATGGACAGCGCGGTGGGCGGGTGGGTGGGGAGGGGCGGCGGCGAGGCAGCAGCAAGGGGGCTCGCGGCGCGGGCGAGAGAGGAAGAGTGTGTGTGCATCGGACGCCTTGGCCCACGCGTCCGGCTTGAGGTCGTTGCCGCTGAGCGGGAAGAAGTCTGCATCCGGCAGGTCGATCGCAGACTGCACGCAGATGAAGCGGCGCGCGGGCGGCGGCGGCGGCGGCGGAGGCGGCAGCGGCGGCAGCGGCGGCGGCGGGTTGGCAGCGACGGACACGGTGAGCAGCGAGGGCTTGCCGGTGGAGTCCAATGGCACCTTGCCGTCGATCTGGAGCTCGAGGTCAAAGGTGCCTTCGACGTCGGCGAGGCGGAAGCCAGACGAGCCGAGATAGTCGCCGTACCACTTGACGTTCTCCGCATCAAACACAGAGAACCAAAAGTAGCCGTCCGCCTGAGACTCGCTCACCTGGCAGCAGGCGGGCTCCGAGTACTGTCCGTTCTGCTTGACCCTTTTCCAGAGCGGATTCTGCTTGTTTGGAATGTACTCGCTGTGGCACAGCTCTTCTCCGTCCACCTCGACCTTCACCCATGGGTCGGGCGCCGGGTCTTTGGGAAGCTGGTCGGTGTACGGCAGGTTTTTGGCACCGATCACACAGACCTCGCGCCACGCAGCGGCCGGAACCAGCGCCAGGCCGAACGCCAGAATGGCGGCTCGACCGCGCATGCACGGGATACGCCGCCTCGTTTCGTGCAAAGCGCCGTGCCTCGATGGACTAACACGTCCTTGGGTGATGCAGTGATCCGCTTTAAAGTGTGTTTTTCTTTTCCGCAAAAGAAAGGGAAAGGGAAAGGGAGTTGAGAGAACGACGAGAGTGCACTTTGAATGCCGTGGGGCTCCTGCCTGGGTCCTGCCCGTGAGAGAGAGAGAGAGATTTTCAATACCAAACAACTCTAACACTCACGTTTTTGTTGCCCGTGTGTCCGGGTGTGGAGAGGATGCGGACGGGAAGAGACGTAGAGCACGCCCGGGAGCCCCGAGGTGGGCGACGGGGCTAGCACCACACGACACTCCTCTCCTTAAAATCACTGTGTCGTGTGGGGGGGTCGCGGCTAGCGGGTCGCGGCTCGCGCGTCGTCGCGCGGCGCGTGCCGTGCTGCCGTCCTCTCGCCGCCCCCTCTGGGGGGAGGCGGGGGCCCCCGGAGGCACCATGCGCCGCGCAGCAGTGCGGAAACGGGGCTCCGGCTCCGTTAGTCTCCGTTAGCACCAACTTCCCGAATGATCACGGTTGATCAGAGGGCAGATTCGGAGAGATCTCGAGGAGTACATGCAGATAGACCCTCCAATCATGAGAAACCTCCAACTTGATCGGTCGTACTGACCGCCGACAGATCACTCCAGACAGCAGACAGGCCGACGTCTGCACGCGGCCGGCCGGGCGAGAGGCTTGACACGATCCGACCCTGCGACCCTGATGCTGCTGCTCTAGCTATCAGACATGCGCTGCTGACTGCTGCCACAATGTGCGACCGGTGCTGGCCCACTTGGCGGCCTTCCCGGTCAGTGGTGAGGCGCAGTTCAGAGCTGTCGATGGCGCGATGCCGCACTGGTCCCACATCGGTGACACGAGACCACCACGTTTGCCGGTCCAAGAGAGAGGCACCGGCGCTGTCCTGAGAAGGTGCATGGTCCCTCTTGACTGCCCATTAGCACGAAGCTGTGTAGGCATAGCCTCGAGAGTGCCAGCAGCTGATCCGAGGCAGTTTGTGACGCGCATTGCGTCAGAAGCGTGCACGCGCTGGAAGGACACCTTGGGCCTTCCTACTGGCCGTACGATCAGGTCGTCACTGAATGCTGAAGACTAAGGCCGCGAGCAATGCAGGCGGTCAGTTGAGCAGCATGGCACGGTCAGCAGCGCCGAAAGAGGATGTCGCAAGGCGTGATAGCATGGCCGCAAGTACGCCGAATTCCCATGAAAACAAAGTAATAACGCACGGGCCCTCAGCGGAGCTGGGAAGAGGACCGCCGCAAGCGGCGTGGCGTGGAGCGGTTGTGCATCCCTCCGGGGGCCCCTCTGCGCCGGGGAGGCGTTGTTGGAGGCTAGGACGCAAGCGTCCGTCGCCCTTTTCAAACTCGGGGCCCACTCCGCTACGCTCCGACCCGAATTTGGAGGGCCTGAAAGTTTAAGGTGTTGCTGCGCAAAAGGGGTCGGACACAGGGCGCAGCTCATGCTAAGAGCTAGAAGAGGAGCTAGAGAGAACGACTACCCTGTCCCGTTATTGCGTACACCAACACCACAAAAGCTCTCTCTCTCCTGTCCTCACTCAGAGGGGGGTCACAACTACCAAGTCCCTCGACTAGCTGCCACAGGGCGCAGCTGCCACAGGGCGCAGCTGGAGACGCTCTCCCTCAATCGGCATCCACCCCCACCCGCTCCAGCCCCACTTCTGCTGCCGAGAGAGCTGAATCGAAGCAAGCGAGCCATTGCATCTTGGCGTGCTCCTGGAGCGCGGCTTTCTGCTTGGCGGCAACGAGCACGGCGGAGTCGGCGTCGTAGCGCGCATCGTTCCCGCTCATCGCCCATTCCTCCCACGTGACGTGTGTCGGCCGCGATTCGATGTCGCCACCTTCATCGCCAACGAGGACTCCCTCGACTGCAGGGGGCTCCGGCGCGGGGAGGGACTCCGCCTGCTGCGCTGGCCGACCGCGCCCTCCTCCTCCATGGGCTCGATCCGATTCCGCAGCGTGTCGTCCCCAGCGGCGGTACTGCGCGGGAGGCGGCCGCGGGCACGCTGGGCTCGATCAGCGGCTTTCCCTCAGTTGCTCCGAAAGCACGGATTTGGCGGCCGTTCTTGCATCTTGGCTTCAATTTTACGAATGTCTTGGCACCAGCTGAAGGCTTGCGTCCCAGATCGCCCAGTTCGTGCACGGTATTCGGATTTTGCTATTTGTTCGTGTGGGGGTATATTGCAGATTTGTCAATGGTACCGCGTCTGCGACGCGGGCGCCTTGCGAGCAGAGCCCTTAGGACACCCTTTATTTATATCTTGCGCGGTCAAAAATCGCGCAAAAAAGAAAAATCAAAAAAATCGGCGCCTGCGGCGGGCCGCTGGGGGACCCCATCTCCCCCCCGCATGGGTACCCCCTAGGGCCCTCGCCTCCCCCCAGAGGCCGCCCCATGGCCCATCTCCCAATCCCTCCCATGGAGGATGGAGATTGTCTGTCTTCCCGGTTTCTTTCTTTTTAAGACTCTTATACTTACCCAAGAGCAGCAGCTCCGTCAACTCGCGGCGGCGCCGCTCGCCGCCCGCTTCGCGGCCCCCTGCTTGCCCGCGACCCGCCTCTCGGCGGGGTCGAACCCGCCGTCGGTGGCGAGCGGGTCGTAGACGGCCCACGACGGCGTCGGGGCCGCGTACTCGGCGGCGGTGAACTCGGTGCCGTTGGCCTGCCAGTCTTGGTACAGGTCGAAGAAGCGCTCGTAGTCGATCCACGTGTGCCACACGCCGTCGCGGCAAAACGCGTCGGCGGCGATCAGGACGCAGTTGGAGTGGGCGTGCTCGGACGCGATGGTGTAGCCGGGGCCGGCGGCGGCGGCGAGCCGCTCGCAGTAGGCGCGCACCTCGTGGTGGAAGGGGCACTCCTTGATGGTTAGGGGCGACGCCTGTGGACCCACGGGGCCGGTGTGAGCAGGAGACGTGGAGAAGAGGCGCGGTCGACTCGTGCGCGAGGGGCGAGGCCTTCGAGTCGCCGCAGTAGGTGACGCCCTTGACCTCGATCAGGTCCGGCGCGCCGCGCCGCACCAGCTCCGCGTACGCGTCGAGCTCGGAGTCGTTCCAGCCGTTGACGAGCGTCAGCCGGAAGACCGTGCGCTGCCTATGCACTCGCGCCTCATCGTCAGTCGCTGTCACCCGTCGGGAGCGTGGCCGGAAGAGCGTGCGCGTGCCGCTTGCGCGCGAGCAGGCCGACGCACTCGTTGAACCGCTCCCAAAAGTCGGAGAAGAGCGGCCGGTCCACCGCCTTGAGCTGCTCGCGCGTGGGCGCGTCGATGGAGATGTAGAGCTGCGTGCACGGAACGAGCTGCTCCATCTCCTTGGGGAACTGCGCGTTGGTCACCATGAAGGTGGAGATGCGGCGCCGGTGCAGCTCCGCGAGAAACGCGTTGATGCGCGGGTAGATGATCGGCTCGCCGACCAGCGAGAGGGCGCAGTGGCGGACGCGCCGGAGGGCGTCCTCGAGCCGCTCGGGCAGGATGCCTACCCGCGCTCCACCTCGGTCCACCCCGGCCCAGCCTCGGCCAGCCTCGGCCAGCCTCGTCCCGTCTCGTCCCATCTCAATCCCGCGTCGTCTCGAGCCGCTCTCTCTCTGGGGGGGGGGGGGGGTAGTGCCTGGCACGCCGCGCAGCGACTTGACCATCTTGAGGTGCTCACGCTCGAAGCCCTCGACGAGCTCGTGCGGGTCGTCGACCTCCCAGCGGAAGGAGGTGCCGACCGGGTTGTCGTGGTGCCGCCAGCAAAAGACGCACTTGTTTGCGCACGCGAGGGACGGTGTCGCCTCCATGCACGAGTACGAGGCGATGCCTATCAGATACTACTCACAGCTGCCGCACTCCGCTCGCAATCCCCTCCTCCTTCTTGCGGCCAGCAGGCGGGCGGGGAGGAGGCGCCGTAGAAGGTGTGCTTGTAGCAGCCGCCCCGCCCGCGCAGCATCGCCTTTGTCCACCGGCACAGCTTGACCCCCGAGTGCGAGCCGACGATCTTGTACCCCTGCTTCGTGAGCGACTTGCGCAAAGACTCACTCACCATCTTCTTGCGACCCTCGCCTGGAGCGCGAGCACGCAAGGCTTGAGGCTGCGAGCACGGCATCGCGGACCGCACTCTTGCCGACTCGCGGACTCTTGCCAACCGCTACGCGCTGCGTGTCGTCTCGCGCTCGCTCTTCCACAACGGCGCTGTGCGAGGCATACGTCGCACATCTAGAGCCCCCTCGCCGCCGGCCGCCGCCGCGCGCTTGCTCATCCGCGCGCCCAGGTCCTCGACGTCCACCAGGCCGCCTATCAGCCAGCCATTCATCCATCCCTTCGCAGAGCCTCGCAGGGACGCGCCCTCCGCTTGCACTGTGGTGGACCGCTGTCCGACAGCCCGCCCTGATCTGCATCCTCCTCCTCCCCGTCCTCCTCCCCCTCCCCCTCGTCCTCCTCGTCCCCGTTCTCGTCCTCCAGGCCGACGGCGCGGCCATCCTGCCCGCCCGCCGCCTGCTCCGCCCCCGCGCTCCCATCCCGCGCCGCCCCCCGCTTTGCCGCAGCGTCTGCGCCGCTTCGCGGCCTCGCCGCCGCCGCCAAGCTCGGGACCGCGCGCGCGCTCCACTCGCCAAACTGCTCCGAGAGCCGGTTGTCGATGTCGTCGCCCCAGCAGGAGCGGGCGACCCGCACCCCCCCGAGCCGCCGGATCGACCCGTCCAGCCGCCGCGCCGCCGCGTTGAAGTCGCGGCGCGGGTACTCGGAGTTGCCGCACCCAAACACGCTGAATCGCAGCGAGCGCAGGTCGAGATCAGTGCCGCGAAAGTCTGCGGCGGCGCTGGCGAGCGAGTCCACCGCCGCTTCGCACCCCGGGGGCGGCACGCCGCCCTCGTACGTGGCGATGACAAACGCGGCGCACTCCAGCGATGTGAGGCCGTCCGTGTCGTACCCGATGAGGCTCACCGTCTCGGCGGCGACGCCCGCCTCGCGCAGCGCGGCGGCCAGCCGCTCGGCGAGCCGGCGGCTGCCGCCCTTGAGCGTGCCGTAAAACACGACCACCGGCTGCCTGCCACTGGCGGGTCGGCCGGCGGCGGCGGCAGCGCTGCTGTCGGCCGCTGATGCTGCAGCGCTGGCCTCGGGCGGGGACGGAGCGGCCCCAAAGATGACGTACACGAGGGTGAGAGCAAATATCGAGAGAGCGGCTAGGAGGGGTGCGGGCAGCAAATCGAGGCGGAGCAGGCTCATCAGGTGGCCAGGTGGCGCGCCCGGCAGCCGTGCAGCGCGTGTCTTTGAGAAAAGAAAACGATTCCGCGCCCGAAAAATTCTTCATCAACTGCGCCCACACGTCGAAACAACTACCATGGAGACAACTCCCATGGTCCATGCCACACTACTTCTGTAACGCCGCTGCAGGCACGACGCGCCGCGCTCACTCGTCCTCGGCCGAGATTGCGATCAGGTGCATCTCGGGGCGCGGGAAGAAGGGCAGCGCCTTGAGGCCGTACTGGCCGCAGTGGAGCGGCACCTGCCGGCCGGCGGGCGCGGGGAGCGTTGGGGGCTAGGCAAAGGGGCAAACGGCGGCTGGCGAGCGAGGGTCAGGTGGGGGCGGCGCCTGCATGCCAGAGTGCTCGGTGCCGCGGCAGATTGCGGAGGCGCTAAAGTCGAGCTCGTCTCGGACCGCTCTCACCAGGTCGCCCAGCGTGAGCTCGGCCGAGAGCTGCAGCGAGCCGAGCAGCGCCTGCGACGCCGCGACGCGCACGCGGTGTTGGGGCACACGGCGCACGCACCTCTCCCGCGAGTGCCGCGCCGAGAGCGCGCGCGCTCTCTCTCTTCTCTCTGCGCCTCATCGCAGCACTCGGTGTGGTACACCATGAGCTCGCGCTTCCCAGTGCTGCCGAGCGAGGCGGCGAGCCCCTCCACCGAGAGGACCGGCCGCGCGCCGCCGCCGCGACCCGCTCTGCTCGTCTCACCGCGCTCTGGAGCGCCGTTGCTCGATGCGGGCCGGCCGCTGCCGTCGCCACTGCCGTCGCCACTGCCGTCGCCGTCTGGGTCGTGCGAGGTGAGGTCGTGGATCCGCTCTGGCCCCGGCCGCCCTCTATCTACCACCCGCGCGCCGCCTTCGACTAGCAGCGCATGCACCAGCGGGTCCGTCTCTCCGGCGTCGCGTGCGCTGGCGTGCGAGGCTGGCGCGAGCAGCTCGGTGAGAGCAGGGTTGGCGCGCGCGGCCAGCGAGCGGAAGCAGCCGCAGCGTGGCAGGCCAGCGACGAGGACCGGCTCGCCAGGCAGGCCGTCCAGCCGCATCACCGGCCCGACGCAGCCGCACTCCCGGCAGTGGCTTCTCGGCGAAGCGGGCTCCATACGTGTGTACACACTGGCGAGGTACTTCCAGCCTGCTGTGAAAACAGGTGACCAGTCTCGCCGAGGCTCGCCCCAGCACTCTCGGGTTGACTCGGCCAGACTAAAACCTCGAGAGGCGTGGGAGTACCTCGCCAGTGTACACATAAATTTTTTTCCAACAATATACCTAATATATTCAGTCCCTGCATGCACGCGGTGCTCTTCTTTATTTCTTGGAAAGAAAAATAATCTTCAAAGTTTCCCGGTAATCTGCTCGGGGCGGCGGCTGGTCCCCCGGTCAGTTGCAACCGTGTGCCGAAATAGATGCTCGCGGGCAACCAGCGGGCCTCGCTGCTCTTGCTCATCGAGCAGAGCGCGACTCGCGCCGACACAACGTTGCGTCGCGAGCGGGCGGCAACGAGCCTCCAGGCTTGTGAGCGAGGGAGGGTCGCCCGCGCCCGCGTCGCTTCGCCTGTGAGTCAGCGGCAGGTGCGGATTTCCGTCTCGCCTGGGACCTTTGCAGCGGCGCCTGCGACCCCGTCAGCGACCTCTGCAGCGGCGCCTGCGACGTCGGTAGCCCCTGCAGCGGCAGCCTGGACGGCGGCTGCCCCGACAGCAGCGGCGGTTCCCGCCACCACCGTCTGCACCACCGTCGCAGACAGGGCGAAGCTGGCTCACCTGGAAGTTGTGACGAAGCTGGCTACCCTGGAGTGGTGGTGCTTCGGCACGCCCTACACTGCCTTCCGCGAATCGAAGACGCAGAGGGTCAGCACCGTGGCCACCCCTCGCACGGCAGGGGGGAACCGCTCGCGGGTGGCTGCCCCCGACGCCACCGGCGACGACGACGAGATGCCGCGCTTCCTCCATGACGCAGAGGCGCAGCTTCGCCAGTTCCAAGTGTGAGGTGGTCACCCCTTCATCCAGCAGCGCTCGGCGCCGGCGGTCCCGTGCTCTCCAAACAAACTGTGCACAGGACCCCTACTCTCAGGGGTCGTGATCTGTGCGTACCTGTCTCTGTCTCTCGGTCTGCGGTAAGTACGGGTCTGGTCCGTCTGGTAAGGGACCTTCTTTGCCCTATTATTTTGTATACAGGGAAAACATTTTTCTTGAAAAACTGCTAAACGGCAACGCGCACAGTTTTATAAAATAATAAAAGTTTTCCCATTTCCGAAAACGGTAAGATGCATAAGAGGACGCGGGAAATACCTCCAAATAACACAATATGAGAAAATAACTCGAGGTGCAGGGGCCACCACCGTCCACGGTTCAGAGGCTCGGATGTTCTCTTCTCCTTAGACGAGCTTAGTCGCGACCCCGACGCCGAGGAAGAAATAACGCACTTTCTTTTCGTTGGACGTTGCATTCTGAGTGCATCCTTTCAGTGTGCCGCCTGTGTTAGTGCCAGCACGTGCCAGTCGCAGTCCGCGCCTGTGTCGAGCCTGTCTGCTGTGTGAGAGAGTTGCTTGGGGGCACTTGGAGCACTTGGAGTGCAGTCAGTAACCTCACATCCAGGGCCGGGGAGCTAAGAAGCGCACCCATTGGGTTAGTTAAATTCTTCAGCAGCGTGGAATTTTGTTATCCCCCCCGCCCCCAATGAACACACCAGAAGAGGGAGGGCGAGACGATCGAGGGGTCCCGTACCATGCGGAATCATCCCAGTGCCGAACAGCGCAACAGTTAAATTCGCGCGACCAAAATAGGAGCGTCATTTTGTACCCCCTTTTCCCCTACTTCGTGGGGACCCCCCCGCCGGTCGGATACACCGTCGCAGGTGGTCTGCCCCCGAGGTGGACCGGACCCCCCCTCCGGTCGGTCGCTCTCTCGGCGACGGGAGATGTGACGACCAACCCCCCCCCCCCCCCTCGGTCGGTCGGTGTCCTTGCCGTGAGCCCCCTCAAACGCTCTCCCTCCTTCTCTCGCGAACCGCCACGGGCGGTTCAAAATCGCCGCCCGGTTTTCACTAACTATGAAAACTAGTTACGCAGCCAAGCGAGGAGACTTCTTCGCCGAGGCCCCCGCGAGCGAGCCCGACTCCACCCGGGTGCACCGGGACCCAGCTGTGAAGAGTCCGCAAGGGTCCGTGCCAAAATGGCCAAAATCGAGCCTGATTTTGCCGACTCTGCAGTGGCCGCAGGCGGTGATGGCGGACGCCGACGAGCCTCACGCGCCGGGCCCCACCTCAGACAGTACCTCCGGTGGGCTGCATCCACTCACCGCGGGGCTGCTCGCTCGCCATGATCGTCGATGTGCACCGACGGCGACCGCCCTCTCGAAGCGCCCGGCTGACTGGCCAGCCGCCGAGCAGGAGCGAGCAGCCGTTCGAATCCGCGGTGCAGCGCCGCGGATGGCGAACCTCGAGCCGGTGGAGAAGACCGCGGTCGTGTCGGACTCGTTCGGCGCCGATGCGGCGCCAGCAATTCGGGCGCGGCCGACTCGCTCCAGTTCGGCGCAGCTCGCCTTGGAGCCCACCGCGCTCTTAAATCGCCTCGAGACCATGCTCCTCGGCAACCAACCCGTCCCCGCACCCTCCAACGAGGTCAGCATCGTCGGCGAGGTCACCAACGGCATCATCATCGCCGCGAAAGCTGCCGTAAACACGCTCTTTTTGTCGCAGCGGCGCGGCGCGCTGATGGCTCTCCAGATAAAGAACCTGAAGAAGGCTGCGCTGGCGTACCTTGTGTGGGACCTACGCGGCGAGCTGGCGGGCGCGCGACTCGAGCAGGCGGTCGTGTACGGCAAGCGGCTCGAGACACACGCGAGCGGCGTGGACAAGGAGTTGGGCAAGTGCAAGCGGCGGCAGGCGGGCGCGGAGGCGCTTCTCGCTGTCGTTCCAGAAACTTTGCAGGACGTGCCGACGCCAGAGGAGCCCGCGGTCGAGGAGGAGCCGGCGGTCAAGGACCTGCCTGCCAGCGACTCCCGTCCCGACGACGCGTCTTCGGACAGCGATCGGGAAAGCGTCTTCGAACGCCGGGTGACCCGTCGGATGATCGACGCGGGCCTGAACGAGGCGCAATTCGATGATATGCGGGACGTTTACGGGATTCAGCTCGCCCACGAGGACAAGTGCCACGAGTGTGCCAAGCTGCAGGCTCGGGCAGTGAAACTGTATGATATGCTCCTCCCGTACCTCGAGCGCGACTGGGTGCCACTGGAGGAGGCATTCCAGCGGCTCGACCTTGTAGACGCTCGTAAACGCTCGGGTACCCTGGGTCGTGGGTATGATAGTGACATAACATACGTGTGATACACTACCAAAACAGGGCCGCGGGGGGGGCGTTGGGGGCCGCTGGAGGGCCGCTAGACCCTTCCCGGGCCCCTCCGGGGGGGTCCGGGTGCACCCGGACACACATATGTGGAGTATCCACGCAGTCGCAGGCCTGATCCTGCTTGCCGTCGCTTTGTACCTCGAGGTACAAGCTCTGGCAGCGCTCCAATTCTCCACAGTAACGCGCGCATCGTCCCTTCCCTCCCTCCAGGAGTTCTACTGCATGCTGGGCCCGTGGGCGCGCGGCCGGCAGAAGGAGGTGCTGGCCGCGCTCAAGCGGCTCGTACAGCGTGTCGCCGGCGAAGCTAATCGGACGACGACGACCAGAGCGTGCTCATGGACGACGGCTCGTGTTGCGATCCAATCCTGAGCGTCTCGAGCTCAACTCGTCGGACGACGAGGATTGATTAATAGGCGGGGAGAGGGCGCTTGCTGTCGCTCGAGTAGAGAACTAATTTATTCACAGCTGCGGCGAGGGTGTGCGGTGTGACCCTCGAGCCAACCCGACCCGCGACCGACCCCCCCCCCCCACCCCCACCCCCCCCCCCTCGGTCTGCGGACTGCGCTCCGACCGACCGGACCCCCCCTCCGGTCTGCGGTCTTCCGCGGCCGCCGAGCGGACCCCCCCCTGCGGTCGGTCGGTCTGCGCTGGGCGCTCAAACCGCGAACTCGGCCTGTTCACTACAAGCCTTCATAAAATTCACCCTCGGGTATGTATGTGTTTCTCTCTCTCGGGTATGTGCTTTTAGCTTACTGGGTGGGAGAAAAGAGAGAGGGGGTTGCGTTCTCTAGGCCCCTAAGGGCCCTCTCTCTCTCGGGTATGTTCGTAAGAGCTACATACACTGACAGCGTCGTCGGACTCCAGCGTAGAGCTCTTGTCCCCACCCCTTCGTCTCAGCCTCGCCCTTTGCCACAGCCACCATGCCACCGCGGCAAGCAGGATGGTGGCGAAGGCGGCTATAGCCGCAACGCCGATTTTGATGAACCGCTTCCCGATGGCGCCGATGGCGCTGCCCGCCTGCTCGAGGTCATTCGCACAGCCGGCGCAAGGCGGCGAAGGCGAGATCGACGGCGGCGGGGAGGGTGGTGGCGGCCGGCTCGGAGGCGGCGGTGGTGGGGTTGGGGACGACAAGGGGGGTGGGTCCGGCGACGGGGTCGTGTCGTTGCTCGGGCAACCGTCGCATCCGGGACAGGCCTCATTCCAAGTGCCACAAACGCCGACCGGGCCGGGCGACGGCGTCGGCGACGGCGACGGCGTTGGAGAAGCAGGGTCGGGAGCGGTGCCGCCGGTGAGCTTGCTGAGGTAGCCCTCGTAGTTGGCCCTGCGCACCGCCGCGCCGGAGCCCGTCCAAGTGCCGGGGAAGGGCGCGCTGCAACCGCTCTTGATGCAGTTCATCGCCGTGTCGATGCGGTGATCCTGCAGATAGTAGGGCGAGACGCTCATCATCCAGTAGGCGAGCGAGCCGGCCCAGAAGGTCTGGCCGTCGTTGCAGATCGAGTCGGGGTCGGCGCAGATGTCGATCTCGAGCCCAATCTCACGGAGCAGGGTGTTGGCCTTGGCGTAGTTGCAGTTCCAGGTCAGCTGCAGCGCGCCCTTGCCGTACCAGCAGCTGTCGCCACTGTGCGGCCGCCCGTCCCAGTCCACGCACGTCACCTGCCCCGACGTGCCGCACGCGTCGGCGGGTAGCGAGCCCGTCTTGTCGAAGTTGTCTGTTGTCGGCACCGGCACTTGATAGCACTTCCCCCAGAGGGCGTCGCGGTAGTCCTCCGCGTTGCCGCCCGAGCAGACGCCCTGGCATGGGTTGATGTACTCCGCACAGGCCACGAAGTCTGCCGACTCCTGCGCGGCATTGCCGAGGAAGGCGGCGAGCGTGAGAAGGTTGTTGCCGGCGTCGGCCTCCGCAAGGAAGGGGATGGCGGCGAAACGTGCGTTCCACGCGACGACCACCTCGCAGAAGTCCTCCCACGTCGCTCGGCTCGACCCGAGGAGTAAATCCGCGTCCGGGTTGATCCCCTGCTGTTGGATGGCGGAGTGAATGCTGAGGCTGCTGCAGGCGTCGGAGGACATGGGGACAGCAGACGGTGACTTGCGATGCGGGGGACCCTTGGCCTGTGGTGCCCTGGCTTCAAAGAGGGGCGCGGAGAGGGCGGCTTCAGCTGGTTGTAGAAAAAACTTCTTCGCGCTTACGCAGTTTTCACACACACACACACACACACACACACACACACACACACACACACACACACACACACACACACACACACACACACACACACACACACACCACACCACACCACACCAAACAAGAAGGAAGGAAGAGTTGGTCCCATGTGCATGTCCGTCTCCGTCTCTGCCCCACCCATCGGCCCCATAGCCACCCACCTATGCAAGCGTGCGAGCAACGAGGCGCGCCGGCAAGCGCGGCAGCTGCCATCAGTCATGGTTCATGGGACATGGCAGACGCTTAACACAAGCGCGTCACGCTCCACGATCGGACTCCTACTTGCAAGTGTGGACGGCCTGGCTCGTGCACACGTCAAGCTGTGACAGGGACACGATGCCGCCGACTAGAGCGCCAACTGCGTCCATCACTTGTCGCCGTGATCGATGACCGTATCCTCATCGATGAACATCCCAGGAAGGAGGACCACAAACATAAAGGCGGCCATGACAGCCCACGCGACAAACATGGCTTCGCCCATGTCATCAACCTTGAAGGGCAGCTCAAACCAAAGGAACGACGTAAGAACAGTCGCGCTCGCGGCGAGCGCGTAGGGCAGGCGGTCAGAGAACTTGGGCGGCGTGTAACGCCGTGTAGCCGTGGCCTCCAGGGGTTCCGCAGCGTTAGAGACTCCCAGCTTTCCCGGCTTTCGAAGAGCCATATAACCACGTGAGGGTGATCAGCTCGAGGCGAGTCGTGAAACGCCGCGGGCACAGTCGTGAACGCCGTTCACAAGAAAATACCTGGGGTGGGGCTTTGCGCTGGTCTGTGAGAGGTTGAGGTGCGAGTTCACATAAGAAACAAGAAGTTCACATCTTCACAGAATCAATACATAACGAAACACTCTAAGAGAGAGAGAGAGAGAGAGAGAGAGAGAGAGAGAGAGAGAGAGAGAGAGAGAGAGAGAGAGAGAGAGAGAGAGGGAGGGAGGGAGAGAGAGAGCGCGCGCGAGAGAGAGAGCGAGCGAGCGAGCGAGAGCGAGAGCGAGAGAGAAAGCGAGCGAGAGAGAGAGCCTGACCGTATAAGAGAGCAAAAAGGGCTCTGAAACTGCTAATAAATGGTGATGCGAGAAGCGAGAGGAGGGGCAGGGCATTCGAGGACCACGGTCCACGCCAACGGCGACGCTATCACGACTTTGTTGCCGCTGGGGCCGCTGCCTGGGCCGGTTTCTTTGCTGCAGTTGGTGCCGGCGATGGCGCCGCGCTGTTACTGTCTACTCCCGCCTTTGCCTTCGCCGCGCTGTGAGCTGACGTCGGTGCCGGCGCCGGCGCCGATTTCTTTGCGGCAGCTGCTGGTGCCGGCGACGGCGACGCGCTTTCCACCCTTGCCTTCGCCTCGCTGTACCTCTTCTGCCTGTGAGCGACAGCGTGGCGCAACTCAGTGGCGATAACACTTTAGAATCTGGGGCGCCTCCCTTGGGGTCCTCGCCTCGCGGGAAGCAGCGTCTTCTCGACGTACTTGCGACACGCGTCGTGCGTTTTAGTGGGGACGGATAAGCCACCATAGGACCCCGGCTGGTCGCTCGTGCCTTTCCCTCTCGGCTCGATCTCTTCGATCTTGTCACCCTCGGCGACGAACATGACCCACGCGCTGCTTAGCTTCTTGGCCCGGGCGTCCGCAGCATCTCTGTGGGCGAACCGCGACTCTCCTGGCGGATTGTTGATGAGCACGTACTCCTTCTTGGCAAGCTTGGCGAGAGTGACCTTCGCCTCTGCCGCTGCAGCCTCAGAGGCCCCTGGCGCCGCTGACGCCGCGGACGCCGCTGACGCCGCCACTGCTCGACCTGCTTTCTTGTTGAGTGCCTCCCCCTTGACCTGAAGCGCCTCCATCGTGAGCGCGTGAGCCTGCTCCATCATGGCGATCACATCCGCGTCGGTGAGGCCTCTGGTTTCCAAGCTCTTCATCTCTAGAAGAGCCTGAGTCGTGATGTCGATTCTCTCGATGTCCTCCGCATTCTTCGACTTGAGTGCCTTCATCTGATTGGACGCGAGAAGCTTTAGTTGACGGATAACGTGATGGAAGACATCGTCAGGAAACGGCTTGAACTCGGCGAGCGCGTACGTTACGAACTCGTGGCGCTGGACTGTGCTTACTGCGCCGTCCTTGCCTGCAACCTCTTTAAATTGCTGCTGCACCTCCTTGCCACCGTCCTCAGGCGGCAGGTACAGGGAGCTCCACGTGGAAAGGGTCACTGCGTCCTCCGCCCTCGGGTCGATCACGTCGTACAGCTGCCCGAGCAACACCTCACGTTTCCCCGCCTGGAGCTTGCCCGGCTGTCCGGTCGGACAGAGCCGCATGGGCAGTGGGAGGACTCCGGGCGGCCTCTCTCCACTCCGAGCCAGGGCAACCGCCGCGCCAAAATCATTCTGCCGCGACGGCGCCGTGCTGCTGTGGCCCAAAGGCGCGCCACCGACGGCGGCACGAGTGACGAACCGAATGTTCTCAACGTTGATGTTGCTCGGGATGTCTGCAGCTTCCTTCGCTCGGACTCCGACGCCCACGTCAAACTGGATCGAGTAGCTGCCGTCTGCATTCTTTTCGAGGATAGTGCCTGGATGGAAGTCTTTTCCCCCAACATTGGCCATGACATGCGTGCCGGCCTTCAGCTTACCTTGCGCTTCCGCCTCTGCACCCCCCAGCACATGCTCGACCACCTTCTTCAGGGGCATCGGTCGGTTGTGGAGTGGACGGCCGCGGCGCGAACCCATTTTTCTTTTTTCCCGTAGTGATCGCAAGGCTCTTGTACCTTAAGCGCGGTCGTCCGCGCTACATATCGCCTCGGCCGATACGTATCGCTGGAGGGTGCTATGCAGCGCCCCTGTGTATAGCGCCTGGCTGGCGGTGATACCAATCGGCGCCGCTCCATATCACCTGGTGCGCTTTAATCGGTCAGTGCTACCCATATCGCTGCCGGGCGACACGTATCGGCAAAGCGCTGCGCCCGCTCAACGAGGCAGGCGGGGAAAGAGCAAAGAGACACACCTCTCTCGGCTGCCAAGAACGTCGAAGTGCAAAGACAGGCGGTGCGTGAATTTCAATTTGCGTCTCGACTTGAAAACGTATGGGGTGTCTTTCCAGCACAAGCGCGCTGTTACGCGCCACAAGGAATGCATACGCATGTGAGCGTGTGTGCCACTATCCGGATACTTTGTACTCACTTCTCGGTGGCAGCGGCCCATGCGTCACGAAAGATGCGAATAGGTGCTATGGCGGTGCGATGCTGGCACGTCGAGACAGTTGGCGATGCACCTGACAAATCTAGATCGCCAGCCGCCGGCGGCGAAGGTGGAGGCCGACGTTACCACTAGATGTGCGAGCCTCTTTGGGTGTAGCCGCAGGTGACCGTTGCCATCTGGTGCCACGAGGAGGAGCGCCCCGTCGTTGCTCACGTCGTCGTGCGTGGTAAAGTAATTGCGCGCGGAGAAGAGGTTGGTGCGGTCGAGGTCTCCTGCGACAAAGCAGGCCCGCGCCGCGCGCCGGTTGAGCATCCAGTTGTGTGAGGCGGTCTCCACAAAGAGCTGCACGTCCATCTTCCCTTCGAGTGAGCCGGCTGCAAACTTGAACTCTTCATCCGACTCCTCACGCAAGCGTGAGCGATCACCAAGAAAGCCGAGCTGCCGCTCGAGTATGTCAAAGTCTCGCTTTGCAAGAGCTCGGTCATCCGCCTTTGGGGACTCGGCCGCCTGTGGCGGCCGCTCCGGTATCAGCGCATTCTCCGGGCCCTTGGCGCCGAAAGCGTCGTACATGCTTCGTTCGCGACGCTTGAGACCCGAAAACGTCCGTCCGTACCGGCGAGCCGAGTTCCCCCACCCGTATGTGGGTATATTACCCGTTAGCTCGGCCTATGGGTTCTTGTTAGCAGGTCAAGACACAGAGCTCACACAAAATCACAGCGGGAGGAAAGCGGCGAGTCGCATTCCAGGGGTCGTTGTGGCGGGCCACCCTGTCCAGAGAGGCACGCGGGTAGGTGCCAAAATCTGGGGTCTTTTCGACCGAGTCTATGATCACCGAGCGATGGAGATGGTGCGGGAGAGTACGGGTGTTCCACGACACGCACCGACCCTTCACGAACCGAACGGCTGTGCCCAGGCGCCAGGGAAGGCACAGTCCTTGGCGCCGGATTGCGTGTCCGCCGTGTCAAGGCACAATCCCAAGGCACAATCCCAGGGAAGGCACACGTGTTCTTGGCGCCGGATTGCGTGTCCGCCGTGTCAAAAAAACTGGGACCAGGAACCGGACAAAGGTAGGTAGGGTATAGCTATAGGAAGGTGAAGAGCAGTCAGGCTCGGACTGGACACCAGCGCGGTATGGGTGGACGCTGGACAGAAGAGGACGGCACGCGCGAGCGACGCACAGACACACACAAGCTCACAAGACACTCAGCCAGCTGGGCTGCCACACATCCCGAGTGACCGTACGGCACTACGCCACTCGGGGCCACGTGCCCCCTGTCGCCCCCCCCCTGCACAAAGGCCCAGATTGAAACAGAAAAAAAGCCCCGCGATAATATCTACCCTTATAAGTCTCTCGTGTCCGCGCCGACGCTCTTTTAACCGTAGAACGTCCCACCTGAACACCGCCCGCCGACGATCGCTTGATCGGTCACACCGCCATCGCCGTCGGGGAGAGGGGGGACGACACTGCTTTGGCAGCGTGCACCTCGATCCTGCACCGTGTTTGTTATGACCCCCCCCCCCCAATGAACACACCAGTGAGGGAGGGCGAGACGATCGAGGGGTCCCGTACCATGCGGAATCGACCCTATCTGAGGGAGGGTGTAGAGGATGTAGAGTGTAGAGCGCTGTAGAGCTGTAGAGATGTAGAGCGCTCTGGAGCGCTGTAGAGCTGTAGAGCTCTACATCCGCCGCGTGACGAACTGCGTGCGTTGTAGAGCGATGTAGAGGCGCTCTACAACGTGAAATCTCTACAACAAACTCTACATGATAAGCGGCGAACGAGGCACGGTCGCTCTCCGACATGAGGCGCGTTGCACTTGCCAGTGCTGCCCTGGCCTTCTGTCTGCCCGCCCAATGGGTGGCAGGTGCCTCTGCTGCTGTGGCATGCCTCACGGCTGCGACTGGCCGGCGCCTCGGCGCGTCAGCTCGGCTCGGCGTAGCGATAGCCGATAGTGGCCAGCGCAACTCGCTTGGACTCAACGCTCAGGCCAGGAGCTCCCGCACGCGCTGGCGCGAGTCATGGCGCATGCAATGCGCCTGAATGCTCGCCTCGCCTCGCGCAAATGCGACCGTCCTCGCAGCCGACAGTCCACCGCCTGCTAAAGAAGCACAGCGACGAATGCGGCACCGGCGACGTATGGCAGGCTGGTCATGACGAAGTTATAGGGTGTTGTGTGCCGTCAGAGTGCCTCTCTGTGTAGTCAGGGCCGTCCATCAGAGCTCCAGTAAGCTGGGAGACACCCCATTAGCGCGGCTCGACCTCTTTAAGCCACTGCCTTCCCGGCGGTTTGGCTGTAGAGCCTCTACAACAAACTCTACAGCAAAATCGCGCTCTACATCGCTCTACAACGCACGCAGTTCGTCACGCGGCGGATGTAGAGCTCTACAGCTCTACAGCGCTCTACATCTCTACAGCTCTACAGCGCTCTACACTCTACATCCTCTACACCCTCCCTCAGGACCCTATCCAGTGCTCAAGTGCTCAAGTTTTAGGTATGTTGTTGTGGGTTGCGGGAAGAAAACGTCGCATTAGAAACCACGCCGAGCGATTTCCGCAAAAATCTAAGAAACCACGGCGCGCCGCAGGCGCGGCCCCGGAAAAGGCCAGAAACGAGTGTGAACCCCGGGGTTGTGCGTTTACGTGAACGGGAGCCCTCGCCCCGGTCTGGTCGTGGTCGAGACCGAGGTGTCGAACTGAGAGCCACTACTGGAGGCTACCTCCGGCCACCGCTCGACTACCCACGCACATGGCCGGTCCTGTGGCTTGCCTGGACTCGCTCAGAAGCCTCACTTCGTGCACACCTTTGCTCTCTGGCTCCCGCGAGTGCGTTCAGGCCACTCAAGCAGGCGACGCCGAGCACCCGCAGCGCATCTCGCCGGGGCGCCACCTATCGACCCGACTGATTGGCAGCATCAAAGCCGACCCCATGACGGTCCTTCAGCCCACGAGATAGGCAGATGCGCCCTGATCTCGGTCCAAGACGGCCAACGCTGTGTCCGGCACCTGCTGGCTGCTTCACGGGGATGCACCCCCCCGGACACATGCTGCAGCCCCGAGTGGATGTATTGGTCGATTGTGGGTCCTACAAGACTACTCTAGTAGGGGCCGGGCGCTTGAGCGTCGGCGGTACACCTGTGCAGATGTTGCACGGGTGAAATGGCTCCTCGTACAGGGTAGGAGGCAGGTGGTGGGTTTGAGTGTCGTGAGTGCTTGCAGCCGCGAGTACAGCACCGTTTGTGACTCCCATGGATGCAGTTGGGTGGGGCACGGTGCTGGGGGGCGGTCTGGTGCGCCACAACAGCCTCCCCGGCTCACCCCCATCCAGTTCGACACCTCCCTCCATCCCGACCGTGGAACCGGTCATATCTCGGGCGGACTGGCACCTCAGGAGCTCATCCTGGGCGGTTTTGGGGAGTGTTGGGGGTGTACTTGAAGGTGGGAAAAAGAGTTTTGCACGAGATCTTAACCGGGAGTCAGCCTGACGACCGTGAATTCTCTTCTCCTGACGCAGGTGCGGACGGCGCCCAGCTGCTGGACAGCGCCGCTGGACAGCATGGTGCTTTTTCGTTCGGCGCGCTTACTCCCGCGGCTCTTCAGGCCGCAAGCCGTGGCGCGCCTGGCCGCAGCGCGCCGCTTGAGCACAAAGCCGCCGCCCTCCGAGCCCGCTCCGCCGCCGCCGCCGCCGCCAGCCGATGAGCCACCGGCCGGCGCAAAAGACGATGACAGTGACGCTGGCCTGCGCGAACGGCTGCTGGAGGCCGCGCTGAAGGAGGTTCCGGCGCACGGCTGGAGCGTCGCCGCGCTCTCCGCTGGCGCCGTCACGCTGGGCCTCTCTCCCACAGCGCACGGCGTCCTGCCACGCGGGCCTATCGAGCTGGTGCGCCACTTTTCGGCGCAGTGCGATGAGGCACTCAAGAAGGAGATCGAGGCGAGGAGCGAGGAGCTGGGGGCGCTGGAGACGCACAATCGCCTCATTATTGCCATCGAGACGCGCCTCGCGCTCCTGCAGCCGCACGCTGCGACGTGGCCGCAGGCTCTGGCGCTGCGTGCGCTGCCGACCAACCTCCTCGAGTCGTTGCAGGACGCGCAAGCGCTGAGTGAGCTCCTGCTCACGGCGTGCGGCGACGCCGCCGCCACCGAAGTGGCACCGAAGTTGATGGACCCGCACCTCAAGCGCGCCTCGCTCGCCGCCGTCTACGGCGCCGCTGAGCTCTACATGCTCACCGACCGCTCTCCCGGCTTCACCGACACGTCGTGCTTTGTGGAGCGAGAGGTGGCGGCGCTGCAGCAGGCGGCGGGCGCCGCCACCTACCTCGGCGGCCTGAACCCGGCCTCCATTTTGGCGTCCCTCCTCCCTCGCAAATAGTCCAGAGCTTGGCGACGCCCCCGCGCCGATGAGTGTGTGCAGCATTAACAATTCGTCTTGAGAGATGAGAGGCCTGGTCGCCCTCTTCGTGTGTCTAGTCTGTTAGGAGGAGCAGTTGGTTGGTCTTGTTGTATGTGGTGGTGGAGCGCGTTGTTGCTACGAGAGCGAAAAAAAGCTGGAAAAATAGCAAAACGATCCGCTGCGACGCCCCCCCGGCCCCGCAGGACACGCAGCGGACGAGTGGCATTTCTTGCATTATTAACGCACAGTATATACCTAGCTGAGATCCTGAGAACACGGCGAGCGAGAGGCGGCAGGCGCGCACTGCGAGGGCGAGACTCTTGTAGACAGAGCCGTACGTGCAGACGTGTGGTCGGCGCAAGCGCGAAGCGGACGTACGGGGCGCAAGTGTGGCGACGTATGGCGTGGGCGGCCGTGTGTCGTGCAAGCAAGCAAGCCGGCCGCCTCGCCGTCGCCCGTGGATGCGGCCCTGCGTCTGACACCGGCCGCAGCCCGAGCCGGTCGGTCAAGAGAGGAGCACGATGTTGCCGTCGTCGAGCCCGCAGAAGAGGGCCGTCCCGTCCGCGGAGGGGGTGAGGCAGACCACCTCGACGTGCATGCCCTGCGGCTGGTCGAGGGGCAGCGAGTGGACCTGCCGCAGCTCGGGCGCCTCCCCCTCGAGCGTCGCCGTGTCCCAGAGGGAGACTGTGCCGTCCTCTGTGCCAGTCGCGAGGCAGTGCGAGGCGATGTGCCACGACATGGCCGAGACCGCGCAGCCGAAGCCGCCGACGTGCGCCAGGCAGGCGCCGGAGGGCAGCGCCCACGCGCGCAAGCCCTGGCCGTCGTTGGACCCCGTGAATGCGATTCGGCGGGAGCGGCTGAGCGCGAGGCACATCACGCCTGTTCACGGGCGCGCAGCTGTGAAGAGGCGCATGTCACGCGCGACCCACGTGGGAGAGAGAGACGCGGCGACGCAGCGGCTCGGGGGGCGGGAGGGGGGCGGGCGGGGGGGGGGGCAAAGCCTGCGTTATGCGTCAGCGTGACGCGATGCGACCAGCCGCCGCCAGCCCCTCCGCCGCCCCCAGCCCCTCCGGCTCCGGCGGCGGAAGCCCCGCCGCCGCCGCCCCCGCCGCCGCCCCCGCCCGGCGCACGCATCCACACCTTTGCGGTGGAGTCGAAGGAGGCGGTGAGCAGCATCCCGTCCGCCTGCACCTCGTCGGGCGGCTTCGCGACGAGCAGCGCCATCACCCAGTCTTCGCCAGTCGGCTCGTGCGCGTTGAGCGCCTGCGGCCGGGCGAAGAGGAGTTGGTGGAGAGGTGGGTTGATCACTTGCGCCCGCAGCAGCGTCCTGGTTGCTCTTGGAGGACGTCTCATGACCCTCGGCGGATCTCGGCGGGTCTCGACGGGTCTCGGCGGGTCTCGGCGGGTCTCGGCGGGTCTCTGGCTCCTCGCCTGCAGCAGCGTCCCGGACGCCGAGCTCCAGACGCAGACGGAGCCGTCCTGCGCCCCGGACACGAGCAGCGGCGCGTGGCGCGAGGCGCACACGGGCGTCAGCGCGACGCACATCACCTGCGAGGGCGTGCCGGTCGGGTCACAGCAAGAGAGCTGCCGAGGCGGCTCTGAGAGGGCTACCGAGCCTCGTCGCAGGCACCTGCGAGGGCGAGCTCAGCTGCGGCACGTGCTGCAGCCGCAGCAGCGAGTACAGCAAGAATACGCCCGCGTCCTTGTGCAGCCGGAAGAGAGCGACCGACCCGTCCTCGCACCCACACGCCAGCGTCGAGCCAAGCAGCGCCACCGAGTTGACCTCGCCGCCGCCGGCCGGCTGGGAAGACTGCCTCGACCACTGCTTGGCCGACTGCAGCGTGGTGCCGAGGCCTCCTCCGCCAGAGGCAGCCTCGCGCCGTGACCACAGGTGGAGGTGCCCGTCGAGCCCGCCTGCTCACACCCTCCCTCCTCACGCCACCTCTCTCTCTCTCTCTTCTCGCCGCGCAGCCCGTCGAGCGCTGCCACTGACATCGCTCGGCTCGATCTCGGATGTATCTCGGCTGAGTGCGCGCCCGCGACGAGGCCGGTGCCGCAATCGGTCACCACGATGGCCTGCAGCGGCCTGTCGAGCGGGTTCTCGAGCAGCGCGACCTGCGGACGTGCCGTGGACGTGCCGTGGACGTGTCGTGGACGTGCCGTCCCTCCTTCGGCTCCTCGAGCAGCGCCCACCTGGCTCAGCTCCGGCAGCGGCGGCGGCGCCGGGTCGTGGGCAGCGGAGCCGCGCGTGTGCGAAGCGGCGCTCGGCGGCCCCGCGCTGCGCTCGTACCGGTCCGACGACTGGCGGCGGGCGAGGCGAGGCGCGTTGACTGGCGCCGAGTGGCTCCGCTCGCAGCCGTTGTCGCCCGTCAGCGAGCGGCGCGGCGGCGGAGGGCGATCAATGCGCGAGGCTGCAGCTGCGGCGCTCGCAGGCGGAGGCGGCTCGAGGTTCCGGCCGGGCGGGTAGAGGGGCCGCGGGGAAGAGTTGTTTGAGCGGCGCTCTCTCTCGCCCACCGGCGAGGCGCCTGCAGCGCGAGAGAGGCGCGTCTCAGCCGGGTGCAGCAGCGTCTCAGCCGGGTGCAGCAGGAGGATGCAGCTGGGTACGAGGCGGTGTCGAGTGCGCGTCAGAGCGCTGGGATCCGTATCCTGCATCTAGAGGAGCCGCCGGTAGAGATCGGGCGCGTGAGGAGGCCGGAGGCAGTCTCCCCGCCGGCGGCTCTCCCGCCTGCAGGAAGGTTCCGAGAACGCTCCGAGAAGGCTCCATTGCTAGACTCTGGCGCCGTCGGCTAGCGTGCCGTTGCTGCCGCCGGCGCCGCCGCGACCATCCTCGGCGACCGCGCGCGGCGGGCGGCGCAGCCGCACCTCCTCCGAGCGCGGCCTCTGGGCTGGGTAGCGGGCCGACGCAGGCGGCGCAGAGGAGACGCCTCCAGCAGAGAGGCCTGCCGCAGTGGAGGGGAGGAGGGCGAGGGTGAGGGTGGGTGGGGCGAGGCGCGAAAACTGCCGCGCGGCAGCGCACCGGCGTGGGAGGTCGGCGAGAGCGGCGGCGGCGAGTAGGCGTTGGTGTGCTCCGCGCCCTCCGACGCGTCGCCCTCGCCAGTGCCGGTGGCGGAGCCGGCAGCAGCTGCAGCCGAGGCGCCGGCTGGTGCGCCCGCCTCTGACACGCGCAGCTGTAGCTCGTAGCGCTCGGCGAGCAGCCTGCGTCGCGGAGGGGAGTCAGCAGGCCGGGGCGGGGAGGGAGTGGCGGCAGCGACACACCGCGACGAGTCTGAGAGAGCAGTCACGCGAGGCGCCGTGGACGGGCGGGCGAGGGAGCGCCCGGCCAACGCGCCCGCCGGCGTGAACCGAGTGCCGAGCTCGGAGAGCTCGGACGGGTCCAGCTCACTGCCTGGCACGCGAGGGGGTGAGCTCCTGCTTCGATCACTGAACGCACGGAGCTCGGCAACAGCAGCCTCGAGGGCGACGATGCGTGACTGCTGATCTCTGATCTGCTCCTGCTGCGCCTTGATCTGCTCCTGTTGCCGCAGCAGCCGCCCCTCGACCCTGTCTAGTCTCGAGTCTGACGTGGATGCTGCCATAGAGAGGAGAGAGAGAGGCACAGCTCTGACGTGGATGCTGCCGCGGAGGCTGTGCCGCGGAGGGTGTGCCGCTCTCCCTCTCTCAAAAAAAGAATGGGCGCCAATTCCCATCCCTCCCGTGTAACTGTTTTCTTTCTTTTGCAGCTGGGTGAACAAGACGCATGTTAAAAAAGACTGGCAGCGGCCCCCTTCTGCGCGGTGCCATCTGTGTACTGACAACCCGGGAAGCGAACCTTGCGCACGTGCTAACAAACTGAAATCAGACGAACTGAGACCCCTTCCTCGGCGCTGCTGGCCCACGCCGGCACGCCTGGGCACCTGAGTGTCCAGAGCTCGCGGCGGCCCCGGGGTGCCGTCTACGCCCCAAGCCCCAAACACAGCTATATCTCCACTTTGGCCTCGTCTTCTGCGTCCGGGACGGCGTCACTCTCGGCGTCACTGTCCGCCGCCGCCGACCCGGCATCACCGCCTGCGCGCCTCTGCTGCCTTTCCACTGACCGCTTGCTTCTTTGCTGCCGCTCCTCCGTCGTGAGACACCGGTTGAACTTCTGCTGGCGTTTGGTGTCAATCTCGCCCGGCTCGAGCTCCTCGGCTCCGTACACTTCAGCATAGCAATGCTGGCTCTGGCAGCGCAGCACGCAGTTTGTACGCTCGTCGTCGTGAACGCCGCGGCACTCACCACGCTCGCACTCACGGCGTTTTACAGCAGCCGCGCGCGACTGCCGCTTGCGTGCGCCCGATACTATGGCCAGGCCGAGGAGAAGTAGTGTGGCTGAACGCATTCCGTCAAGTAGGCGCGTGCCGGCACGGCAGCCGGCCGACTGTCGTAAGCCCGAGGAAAGAGAAAGAAGAATTTTCCAGCAACTCACTCGCACGACACTAGGCACGGGACTGGCGCGCACTGGCACTAATACAGGTACACCAGAGAAATAAAAAGAAATTCTGGTTACTCCGCCTCGTTTTCTTTCTTTCTTCCCAATGTTGATGAAACTGAAGCCCAACGAAGCCCAACCCGAGCGAGAGAACCCAGCAGGACCAGGTCTGACGCACTACCTCACTGGGCCTGAGATCATCGAGACAGCGCCCGTCACCGTCACTCTCGGGTTTGTGTGGAGTCGAACCACTCCGGGATGAGCGAGCTCATCGCTTTAAATTGCGCTCTTTCTCACACCTGTTGCAGGCAGCGGAGGATATGTGCGCCAATTTGTTGGAGCAGGGCATGAGGGGGGGGGGGGGGGATTTTAGCCGGTTGGAAAAGCCGAAAAGGTAGAGTAGCAACTGGAGACGTACTACACACTCGAACCTCGCTCCCCACGCATGGTACCACGCGAACTTATTAAAATTTAAATAAATCAATAAAACGGTCAAACTCTGAACGAGATAAAATAAATAAAAACGGACACCTCTCTACTGTGTGATGGGTAAAAAGGAACAGGCCCCCGCCCTTGCGATCTTTGTGCAGGGTTCTTTGTGGGTGTGGTCGGCGACTAGCCGGGGTCGTCCTCCCGCCGGGGGACTAGCTGGACTAGCTCTGAACGAGATGGGATTCCTTGACAGCCATTTTATGTGTGTAAATCGCGTAAAGAGGTTTCCCCCTTGTGCTTGTGTGCCAGCCAGAGCCGTTTGCGATAGGTCCAATCGGGCGGCATGCACTTGGAGCACTTGGAGTGCAGTCGGCAACCGCACGCCCAGGACCGGGGAGCTAAGAAGCGCACCCGAGAGGGGGGACACCGCTCGATCTACTCTCTGGGGTCCCTCAGCGGCGTGCACCTCGATCCTGTACCGTGTTTGTTATGACCCCCCCCCCCCCCCCTGACCACACCAGCGAGGGAGGGCGAGACGATCGAGGGGTCCCGTACCATGCGGAATCGACCTTATCCAGTGTTCAAGTGCTCAAGCGCACACAGTTGGCCAGCTAGTTGGCCAGACGATTGGTATCGGGTTGCGCGAGAGTTTTCTTTTTTTGGCGACCGCCGCGGTAGGACGGTACCGCTACGCCAGGACAAGGAATCGAACGGTTCAGCTGCTGCTGTTCGAGTCGTTCGGCGGGTTCCGGGAAGGAAGGGGGTCTCGGCGAGGGATCCTCTGGTGCTCTGGAAGGCGGCGAACGTGCTGCAGAACAAGCTGACGCAGGCCCAGCAGTCGCCAGTACCTCGACGAGGTGACTTGCACCACCAAGAATTGGCTAGGGCTGCAGAAGCAGCGTATCTCATACGTTCTTCATTCAGACAGACAGACGGCCATCGCAGAGCAGATTGTGAATGAGCTTGCCTGTGGCTCGAGGCCTGTGGCGGGGGCGGTCGAGTCGAGTGCACGGAGCTAAGTGCCTCGCCGCCCTCGCGGGAGTCGCTTGGCGGCTCCCGTTGTGTACCTGTGTTAGCCCAGTGCGCGCCAGCCCACGGCATTTTTTTTTCTTGCCTGGACTTCGGCGGTGAGTGCGGATCTGTGCCGTCGGCGAAGGAGCTGAGCGCGCTCTCGCTCAGATGTCATCGGAGCCTTTCGCTACTTCCGCACCCCTGGAGCCGAAGCTGTACTTTGCCAACGAGCGCACCTTCCTCCACTGGCGCGTGCCCCCCTCCCCCCCCCTCTCGCTCGCGTTGCTTTCGTGCGTCATCTTTGCAATCAGCTGTTGTGCTTCCTCCGTTCGGCAGGTTGCACGCGTGCCTGACGCTCGCTTCAGTTGGCATGGTTCGCACCCTCGCGCCGCACCTCGGCTGCCGAAGCTTCTCCTTGAGAGCGCGCACCGCGCCGCCTCAGGTCCTCACCTCGGCCGCTGATCGCGACAACCCGATGCTTCTCTGCATCGGCGTCGCGCTCTCCGGAGTGTCTCTCTTCCTCATGTGGTGCGATGGATAGTGAGTGATAGACGCGCGACCGCGCGGCACCCGAGCTCTCCCGAGGAGAGCTTCAACGCCCGCCAAGAGCTGCCCACTTCCCGCCAGGTACGCGTATCGCACCTTCCTCTGGCGCATGGCCCGCATTCGCTCGCGCGCCGCCGAGCGCGCCGACGACCCGGTCTCACCGCTCGAGGACGCCGCACCGCTGCTCGCGCCTCTGACGCCGTCGGACGGGACGGTAGGTGGGCCCGATTGTTATCTCCGCCTCGGTGGTCGTCGCTCTCGCCGCCTCGGCAATGCTCGCCTTCTCGTCGTCTCTCGGACCGGCCTAGCCCTGCGGGATCTCGACACCGCCAGCAGGTCGCTCCCAACGTGCCACGGCAAGAACACAGGCGGCCGATCCCTCCGACACGTTTGCCAGCCGGGTGCCCTATACCTGCTGGCCGCTACGGAGAGGACCCGCCTCTGAGGATGTGCTTGCTAGCACTCGAGTGCACATACACAAATTACACCGTGACTGATCTCTGTCCATCTCCACTGTCGACTCTCTCGTGTAAAGGCGTACGTCCTCGCTCACATACTCTCCCGCGCGCCGCACACACCGACACGTACCCGGCGCAGATCCTCTCCCTTTGTGTGTGTTCTTTGTATACACTATTCATCCGTGAGCTCGAGGTGTCAAGCCCCACGCCTCCTCTCGGTCCTGCAGCTTCTGAAGCAACGCTGCCGCCGCACCGTGGCCCCGCTCGATCGCGATCTCCAGCGCGGTGCGGCCCGCCGAATCGCGCGCCGTCGCCTCGAGCCTCAGGCGCGACTCGCCGCAGCGCTCGATGAGCAGGCGCAGCGCACGCACCTGGCGGCCGGCGGGCGGCTCGCGCCAAAGACGAGAGAAACGTGTGCTCCGGGGTGCCACCTCGCCGGAGAGGGGACTGTGGGCAAGCATCTAGGTCCAGCCGCGCCCCTCCCATGTCTGCGACGAGGTGCAAGGCGGTGGAGCGGTCGGGAGTGGTCGCGGTGAGGTCCGCCGCGCTGAGGTGCGGCAGGAGGAGCTCGAGGAGCGCCGGCTTGTCCCACGCGCCTGCGAGCGGGGGGGGGGGGGGGGGCTGGGCAGCGAGGGACCCTAGGGGCGGCGAGTGAAGTCGCTGCGACGCTGCCTGCCACCGCCTAGAGAGGAGCGCAAGAGGAGCAGACGACAGGCGAGAGAGGAGCCAGAGGAGCGAGCGAGCGCAAGAGAGGCGAGAGGGGGCGACAGGGGTCGAGAGGGGTGTAAGGCGGCAGCGTACAGAACTTGTGGTGCGCAGAGAGCCCAAACGCGTCCCTGCCCGCCGGCTCCACGCTGCCGCAGGCGAGGAGCCGCGCCACCTCGGCCTCGTCGCCAGGCCACTCGACGAGCTTGCTGAGAGCGGGTCTGCGCCCCGCCGTTGCTGGCGCCGAGGGCGGACTGGCGGCCGCACCAGCGCCGCTCGACGGCGGCGCCTCACTGGCTGCTGGTGCGGCTGCCCGCCGTGCCGCGATCCGCGCAGCGGCAGCGGCGAGCTGCTCGCTATCGCCGATTCCTCCATGGCGCGGTGGCGGCGGTGGCGGCGGTGGCGGCGGTGGCGGCGGTGGCGGCGGTGGCGGCGGTGGCGGCGGTGGCGGCGGTGGCGGCGGTGGCGGCGGCGGCGGCGGTGGCGGGATTCCTCCCGCCCCTCTACCCCGCCTGTCGGCGATTGCCTCGGCGAGGTCGTTTGCCAGAGCCACTCGCATACTAGCGAACGCGGCGTGGTCCGGCTCCACTGCAGCGGCCGCGCCTTCGACAGACCTCGTGGCTCTTTTGGGCAGCGACTCGGCGTCCGGGAGACCGAAGCGGGCGGGATTCGACCCTTGCTGCTCGGCGACAGCCGAGGCGGAGCGGCCCCAACGGTCGACTGCGAAAGCGGAGGCACCGGCGGAGAGGAGTGCGGCCACGCAGGAGCTGCTGTCACCCGCCACGGCCACGTGCAGTGGTGTCTCTTCCCACTCGTTGCGCTGGTCCACGCTGAGGCCGGCTGCGAGCAAACGCAAGAGGGACGTCAGTGCATTCGACGACGCGGCCACGTGGAGCGCGCTCATGCCATGTGCGCTCTTCGCACTGACGTCTGTCCGCCCATCGCACAGCAGAGCATCGACACACTTCGCCTCGTCGGAGGCACACGCCCAGTGCAGCGCCGGCATGGCGTGGCGACCGTCGCGTGCGTTTGGGTCGGCGCCGCCGGCGAGCAGGGCTGCGAGCGCTTCAGCGTCGCCGCGCATGGCGGCGTCCAGGACAGCGTCGGCAGTGTCCTCGGCCGTGTTGTTGTCGGCCGTCATCCCCGGCCAGCGTGCGCTTGGGTTTGGTCCCAGGAGGGAGGGGAGCCTCCGCCCCCGCTCGAGACAAAGAAGGAGAATCCCCCTGCCTGTCTCGCGTCCACCCCATACCGCGTTGGTGTCCACCTCCTTCTTCCCACATTCATGTACTTACTTGCAGGATCTCTGCGGGAGACGCGCGGCGAGGCTAAGTCCTAAGACCGGCTGACGTGGTGACCGCTCTAGAGAGCCTGCTCCTCATGCCCTGCTTGCTCCCGCCGCGCGCCGGACACCAGTCACCACACACCAGACGGCCGCGCGAAGGTCCATCCATCTTTGTTTTGTTCCAAGGCTGCCGGCCCAGTGTCGTGCAAAATCCCTGTGTGGTGGCGGCCGTCCTCCGCCTTTATCTCTAACGCTCTGTTTTCTTTCTTTCTGGCGCGCACTGGAACAACACAAGTGACAAGACATAAGTACACCTACAGCTACACCGAATTTTACACGAAGAACCTGTACACCCGACAGAAACACAAACCCGGCCGCGGTCGAAAAAAGGTTGCTGCGAGAATTGGCGAGCGCAACGCCGGGGGCGATCAGCTCGTCGCCCGCGCCTCGAGCTCCAGCAGGAAGGCGCTCCAGTCCATCGGCGCCTCCTCCCCGCGGGCGGCACGCGCATCGAGCAGCCCGCTCACCTAGTCGTGCAAAGGGGTCGGGGTAGGTCAGCCTCTCCAGCACCCTAGCAGCGTGGAGCGAGCTGCCACCCCAGCTCGCCTCCCCCAGCACGCCGTCCAGCACCGGAAGCGGAGCCCCCGGGCGAGGCGGATCGGGCGAGGAGTTGGAGGAAGAGCCGCCCGCCTCGTCGACCAGCCCTCGCATCAGCCGCAGGTCTTTCTGCGCCACCTCGAGCGCCGCCCCCACCGGCCGACCGTCGCCGCCGAAGCTCCTGCTCACCATCTTGTCGCAGTACAGGTCCACCAGGTTGGGCGCCGGCAGCACGTGAGAGGTCCAGTCGCGCAAAGAGTCGCGTGGCAGCCCCGCCGCGTCGAGGAGGAGGAGCGTCTCGCCGAGCACCTGCCCGAAGCCGTACACCATGAGGTTGGTGCACAGCTTGTACAGCGCAGACGCGCCCGCGTCGCTCTCCGACAGCACGCGCGCGTGCTTGCTCCAGAGCGGCGCGACGCGCTCCGCGAACACGCGCGCCGGGTGCGAAGAGAATAGAGCGGCGTCCGCGCCCGCAGCAACCCCCGGAGCCTCGCCGGCTGCTGCCACCCAGCTGCATAACTGGCCGGCAGCGGCGTGCGGCGGCCGGCCTGTGACGGGCGCGTTGACAAAGGCGCCGCCGGCCTCGTGGACCAGACGCGCCAGCTTGCGCGCGACCGGGGCAGAGATGGTGGCGCAGTTGGCGAGGAGGAAGGGTGGGGCTGCCGCCGTCTGGTCGCGGTGAAGAAGCTTGAGGCACGCGGTGAAGAAGCCCTCGGTGGAGTCATCGCCAAAGAGCATCGCGACTATGACGACGCCACTCGGGTTTCGGAGCGCCGCAGCGGCAACCTCATCCACCGTGGCGGCGACCGTCGTGCGCAAGGTCTTGTCGCCAGATGCCTGCTCGGAAACGCGAGCCGCAACATATTCCGCCTTGGCCGGCGTGCGGTTGTACAGGACCAGGTCGGAGAAGATCGCCCCGCCGCTCGTACCGATTCGTTCGGCCATGGCGGCGCCCATCGCGCCCAGGCCCACAAAGACCGCAGTGGGTCGAGCGGAGTCGTCGGATTGCGACATACAATGCCGTCAGCCTCTTTGGCACGAGCACAGGGGAACACGCTCCGCGGCGTCGCCAGAGAAGTTCAGAGAGATCGGGCCGCCCGACGTTCTTTTCTTTACCGCCACGCTTTACATGTGTTCCCGGGGGCATAACTCCCCCACAGCGCAGACGTTCACACTTCCACACCCACAGTGCCCGTCCAAGACTGCCCGTCCAAGACTTGTCTTGTTGGTCCTGGACCTGTCTGTTGTAACTGCTTGATTTTATGTCGTTTCGCTCCATCACGCTCTCGTTCCCCTCGATGCTGGCGTTCGCCGCGCTCCATTGCCTCGCGCGCGCGTCCTCTCTGCCGATGGCATCGTTCATGGCTTCCCCTCCCGCGGAATTCGTGCTCACTGAGCCCGCAAGTGCCGAGTCTTACGCTCCTCCGGACCTCACCGTGTCCTACGAGGTGAATGTTGATCTCGCAAACCTCGCCTTCGACTCGCTCTCGCTCTTCTACGAGAGTGAGTCGACCCTCTCGACGTGCTCTGCATCCGCCGCTGGCACGCCCTACGCTTCTCGGATCGCCGACAGCAGCATCGGCTCCAACGTGCCGCTGACGCACCGTCGCACTACCGGCAATCCGATCCTCGAGCCGCCCACGCTCTCCTCGACTACGTGGGCGACTTCACGCACCTGTCCATCGTCTCGCTCCTCGATGACGACGACACCCTCGCCTGTGGCATCTGGCTCTGAGCTCCTCCACGGCTTCACTTCCAGCACGCCTCTCTCCGACGTAGCGTCAACTGGGACTCGACTCGTGCTCGTACCCGCTGAGGCCACCAACAACGTCTCGCAGATCGACCTTGTCTCTCTCACCGGCGCGCCGAGGGCCCTTGCCACCTGCGCCTCCTCCAGCAATTTCACCGCTGGCTCCCTCCCTGGCAGCTAACTGGCTGTGCTGTCACCAGCTGTCACCAGCTGTCCCAGCTGTCGCCAGCTGTCGTTGCTGCTGTCGTTGCTGCTGTCGTTTCGCAGCCGCTGTCACGACATATTGACCACGTCGCGACCGTTAACAGACAGCCGTTTTAACCGTCATGACGTGAATAGTCTCTCACAACTAGACCAGCGCGCTCGCCAGCTCAAAAGAGAAAGATACAAACAAGAACACAACGCACTCTCTCATGACTAGTGATGACAAGAGGAAGTAAGCTCATGCATGAACTCGAATCAACGGTACCCGGTACCCTCTTCCTACCCCATGCTTCGCTCATGCTTCGGCATGAATCACGCCCGCTGGAAAAAACATTTTGCGGGGGATTTTTTCGCCAGTCAATAGAGCATGAAAATACCTTTCAGACGGTACCTTTCTGTCCTCCAGAGTCGAAGAACTCGTCCGGTGGCTGGCCGCCAAAGTGGCTGGACGGCGCCGCGGCGCACACTGCTCACTGGTTGGTGAGCGCCGCGGAGCACACTGACGGAGCTGTCCTCGGCGCAGCCGTTCGGGCCCCGCGGCCTGGGTGGTGGCAGTGGCACTCCCTGAGGCTCCCTGAATTTTTCTGGTATTTTCTGGTCTGTGAGTCGGCCACGCAGAGTCGCGAAACCTGGGTAGGAAGAGGGTACCCGTAAGCTACTCCAGGAGTATTCTCGCGCCACACACACTCTCACGATGGCCGCACTCGTCCACTCGAGCCGTGCGACTGCTGCTTGCTCGCGCTGCCACCTCGTGCTGCGCCTTCGCGCCGGTGCTAGGGGCCTCTCCTCCGACGTCGCTGCGCGCTACGAGCCGCAGCGTCTGCACCCGCGCCTGTTTGAGCCTTCAGAGGTGGTTAGCTCGTGGCTCGACCCTGCCGCTCTCGCGTTGCTGCAAGACGTGGAGCTCGCCGACCTGACGGACACCGACCCCTCGTCCGTCGCCCTGCGCAGCGTTGCGACAGAGGCGCGAGAGATCTACTCGTTCCCGCTGCTCAGCCCGCAGGCCTGCCGCATGCTGGTCGAGGAGGTCGAGCACTTCCAGCTGTCAGGACTGCCTGCCCGTCGGCCAAACTCGATGAACAACTACGGCCTCATTCTCAACGAGATTGGGCTGCGCGCGTCGCTGAGCAGGTTGCAGGCTGCCATCGCGCCGCTGGCACGCGCCGTGTTCCCCGCCGAGGGCCGCTCTCTTGACGACCACCACAGCTTTGTCGTGTCGTACAAGCCCACTGAGGATCGCGGCCTGGACATGCACACGGCGTGCTCCGAGTCCAGCTCCACACACCGACCCCACCGCAGCCCTTCGAGACGCGTCCGCAAACTAGGACGACTCGGACGTCACGCTCAACGTCTGCCTCGGCTCTGACTCGTTCGAGGCGAGCGGGCTCACCTTCTGCGGCGACATGGTCCGGACGGCGAGTCGCGCGGCGCCCCCCTCGCGCGGCCTGTCTGAGCGCCTGAGAGCGACGCGTAGGGGTCGGCAGACCACCGGCTGCGCTCGTACAAGTACGCCCACCGGCTCGGCCGCGCGGTGATGCCGCCCAGATGCGGACCAGAGACCGCTGCCCTCCAACTAGATCTAGCGCTCGAGAGGGCGTGCCACGCCGCGGCATTGTGTGTAGCAGCCCTCCTCTTTCGTACTGTAGGTGATGCACTTGGGGAGGCGGCGGCACGGCGCGGACGACATCACCAAGGGTCACCGCCTCAACCTCATCATGGTCACCGCCCGCCGCTGCCCTCGCCGCGACCGCCGAAACTACGCCCAGCCCGCCTCTTGCCACCGCCGCCCCCCCTTCACCGTAGAATGCCTCCAAGATGCCGCGCCCTCGCAGCCCTGCTCAGCCCCAGCCCCGGCGTGCCCGCGCAGTGGAACTACAACAAGGAGTTCCGCGCCTCGCCCGAGTTCCGGGCACGCTCCTTTGCTCGCGAGGGCTCGCCCCCCGACGCCGAGTGCATCAGCTACACACACGACAGAGATTACGAGGCCGTCAGCGGTGTGCAGCGGCCCGCGCCGCATTTGGCGTCCTCGGCGTGGTGTCCGCCACCGCCCGCCGAGTACGACGGATTTGTCGGGCTCGAGGGCCGCTGGGCCGGGCACCCGCGGCGGCGGCCGGCGCCTTGACGCAGTGACGCACGCGCCACCTACGACCTACGGCGTACACGCTACCGGGCCGTAGGTACGTTAGACGTGGAGACGCGAGGGTCGCCCCCCCTTGCCCCACCACCTCGTGTGTGTGGAGAAGTTTACCTTACCGTACCTTACGCTACGGCGGATGATGCGGAAAGAGACAGGGGCCGAGCAGCAGTAAGGACCGACTGGGGGTTTATTTTTTGGCAGGGATCTCACAACAAGTAAAGCCTGGGTTGGGCCGATGTGCCCGTCGTTCGCCTAAAACAGAAAGTTAGCGCGTCGGTAATCCTTTCGGATATTTTACCTTGCGGCTTGCGCTAGGAAAGATTCGCCCAGTATTCGCCCGCTGGCTCCTCCCTCCCGATCTTGCTTTGGAGCAGAGCCAATGCCGGTGCTGTGCTTGGTGTGGATCTTTTCGCTAAGCTCACGATGGATCAGCTCGACTGAGATCCGCCAGGCCTACCTCCGCAGGGCCGCCGCTCTCGCTCGCTTACCTCCAGTACGTCCGTTGCGAGCCGACGCAAGCTGCAGCAGCGGCAGCGGAGGAAGCAGTGATGGGGGTAACTACGGCGACTGCAGCAGGGATGGCGATACAAATCGCAACAGCTCGCGGCGGATCGGCCACTCGGTGTGCACCAAGATTGTGACGCCGATGATGCCGTACTACATCGCCACTCACTACCTCGGCTGGGAGGTGTGCCAGCTGCCCTGCAGCCTGCCACGCACACGGGCACACGGAAAGCGCTACTGCCGGTGGGTGTCCACGGGACGCACGTGCACCCGCTTGAAGTGGCTCCCTCTGGGACATCTCCGCGCACGCGGCAGGTTGCCTGCAACAAGCTGCGCGGCGTCAAGGCGAGGCCGCTTGTTGTGTTTGACGAGGAGGCGCGACGCCCCCTCCCGGCCACACGCGTTGCGGTGCTGCAGCCGCCCGCAGTCCCATCCACCTTCGCCCATCCGTCGCTCAGGCGTCCATCACATCCCAGGAGCTGCACCACGAGCTCTGCCTCCGCAGCAGAAACACGTCGCACCTAACGACCGACCAGCTCGCGGAGGCCAAAAGCGCCGTGCGGATGCTACCGGTCGGGTCGGTGCTGCACGTGCAGGCGCGCCACGCGCGACAGGAGAGGCCCCGAGCGGACGTGATGGATCCCTGGCGTTGGCGCACCGTAGGTGAATCTGTTCCGGCTGTTCGTGACCGAGCTGCTCCCGCTGCTGAGGACGAAGGTGATTCTCCTCACGGGGCAATGGCTCAAGCCGGCGCTCGAACTGCTCGCGCCCGGCCGTACGAAGCTACCCGATAGCCACCAGAACCGGCTCGGGTTCGTCACCTCGGGCGACGTCGAGGCGACCCTCCGCAGCGACAGGATTGTGCGGTGGTATTCGCAAAACATGTTTGCCGTCCCAAAGACGTACCAAGACAAATATCGCGGCCTGCCGTACGGGATCGACTACACGAAGGCGGAGCAGTACCGCAAGTGCCTGCGCGACTTTGGCAACGTGCCCAAGAAGGATACCCTCTTCCTCTCGCCGCTGCGCAACACCTCCAAGGTGAGAGAAGTGCTGCTGAACCTCTCAGAGTACAGAAACGCGATGCGTGCCTTCACCGGCAAGAACGGCGCCCGGCGCATCGAGAACTACAGCTACTACTGCGAGCGGCTTGCGCGCGCCCGCTTTGTCATCTCACCCGAAGGCGACCGCCCAGACTGCTTCCGCCACTGGGAGGCGGCCGATGCCGCGCGTCGCGCCCCGTCCGGGTCGAGACACGTCCACGACTCACAAACCACGACATACCCCACAGGCGGTAGGCTTGGGCGTGGTGCCCGTCTGCAACTGCCCCGAGACGCTCCGCCCGCTGCTCGGCCACGGCACCCTCGTCTGGAGGCAACCCGAGAGCTCGCGAAAGGCTGCTCTGAGCCGCCATTGCCCTAGCCGTAGGCGCCGACATGGTGTACGCATCCGAGGCGGAGTACGAGGACTACGTGCGCTTCCCCTTGCTGCTCGCCTGGCGCTTCCGGGAGGCGCGCCCGCAGCGGGAGAAGGTCTTTGTCGACTTTTGGAGGAAACGAGTCGACGAAGATCGTAGGAGCTTGTGGGCACGTGAACAGTCAGTCCGAACGGGTAGAGTAGGTCAAGTAACTAGATAACTGGTCAAGTAACTAGAGCGCCGTAGAGTCCAGTTTGCAGCTAAACACTGATAAACTAAATCAACAAGGTAGAGATGGGTTGTAAAATTCGCATTCGATGTACGTGCGCTCGAGCGAGAACAGAGACGTACACGCACACACACACACAACGCTGGGGCTCTGTGGGCCGATGTACGGGGCCCCCCCCTAGGGCCCTACGGGCGTACCCATGCGGGGGGGGAGATGGGGTACCCGGCCCGCCGCAAGCGCCGTTTTTATTTTTTCGGCCATTTTTACTTGTGTGGTAGGTCGCCGGCGGCCGTCAACCAGCCCCGACGCTCTCCCAGCCGTGACCCGAGTCTCGGTCGAGTATATAGGCGGCGCCGAGCGGAGATGCTGGGTCCACCGCCGCGAGCCGCGCGGCGGCGGTCGCGACGCAGCCGGCGGCGGCTCTCGGCGGCGTCTCGGCGGCGTGCAGCGCCGTGCTAGGTCGCCGGCGGCCGTCAACCGCCCCGACGCTCTCCCAGCCGTGACCCGAGTCTCGGTCGAGTATATAGGCGGCGCCGAGCGGAGATGCTGGGTCCACCGCCGCGAGCCGCGCGGCGGCGGTCGCGACGCAGCCGGCGGCGGCTCTCGGCGGCGTCTCGGCGGCGTGCAGCGCCGTGCTAGGTCGCCGGCGGCCGTCAACCGCCCCGACGCTTTCCCGGCCGTGACCCGAGTCTCGGTCGAGTATATAGGCGGCGCCGATGGGTCCACCGCCGCGAGCCGCGCGGCGGCGGTCGCGACGCAGCCGGCGGCGGCTCTCGGCGGCGTCTCGGCGGCGTGCAGCGCCGTGCTAGGTCGCCGGCGGCCGTCTACCAGCCCCGTCGCTCTCCCGGCCGTGACCCGAGTCTCGGTCGAGTATATAGGCGGCGCCGAGCGGCGAAGCTGGGTCCACCGCCACGAGCCGCGCGGCGGCAGTCGCGACGCAGCCGGCGGCGGCTCTCGGCGGCGTCTCGGCGGCGTGCAGCGCCGTGGTAGGTCGCCGGCGGCCGTCAACCAGCCCCGACGCTCTCCCGGCCGTGACCCGAGTCTCGGTCGAATATGCAGGCGGCGCCTCTCTCCGCCAGCGCCGCTCCGCCGGCGCCTCCCTAGGTGCGGGGCGAGCGCGCCGCGCGGGCCAGGCCGCCGTGCTGCGCAGCGGCGTCTTATTGCGCGCGCATGACGCGCTGGCGCGAGTCGCTCCTGCGGGCTGCTGGTGCGTGCGTCGAACGGCGCTCGCCCACCTTTTCGGTCCCTGCGGCGCGTATCCCCGCCGGCGCCGCCCAGCCACGGGCTCCGTAGGCGCAGCATGAGCGCGCCGCGCGCGGGCCAGGCCGCCGTGCTGCGCAGCGGCGTCTTATTGCGCGCGCATGGCGCGAGTCGCTCCCGCCTCCCGCGTCCCGGTACGACCTGACGCACTATCGACGAGCCACTATCATGATAGTGGCTCGTCGATAGTGCGTCTTGCCCGAGTTTCAACACTCCATCACTTACTCGGTCGCCACCGCCCGACGCCCCAGTTGTCCCAGCCGCTCGGTTTGGGATACGGTTGATCCGACACTGCGGCATTTCGGCCACATCGCGGCAAACCGCCTAACCGGCGTTCCGGCGGGCGTTCCGGGGCGGCTTTCTTCTTTTGGCCGAAATGAGACATCGAACACTACACCCGGTGGCCGGTCCGGATATCTCCAAGGAGCGGGCCGCGCCGCACCCAATTTTCACCCTTCCGTCCGGAAGGCTTCCGGAGCCGGCTGCGCCGGCTGCCGCCGGCCTCCGGAACCCCCTCCGGAAGCGGCGCTGCGCGCCGCTTCCGGAGGGGGGCCTTCCGGAGCGGGCTGCGCCCGCTCCCGGATTCCGGAGCTGCGCTCCGGAATCCGGAAATTTTCATGGGAATTCGGCGTACGAAAGGGAGGATCCCCAAAGGTCCGAACGAAGTGGCGTCAAGTTGCAATCACCCGCCCGCCGGGCCGCCGCGTCCCGGCGGTCCCGCAGCTCGCGCAAATCTCCCGCTTAACCCACCTGTGATGTTACAATAGGGGATCCCTATACTTGCGGCCATGCTCTATCACGCCTTGCGACAGCGCTACTGACCGTGCCCTGCTGCACAAATTGATCACCTGCATAGCTCGCGGCCTTAGTCTCTCTTCAGTATTCAGTGCACAGCGGTGACCTGATCGTACGGCCAGTAGGAAGGTGTCCTTCCGGCGCGTGCACACTTCTGACGGGTGACGCAATGCGCGTCACAACTGCCTCGGATTGGCTGCTGGCACTCTCGCCGCTATACACAGCCTCGCGCACATGGGCAGTCAAGAGGGAGCATGCACCTTCTCAGGAGAGCGCCAGTGCCTCTCCTCTTGGACCAGCAAACGTGGTGGTCTCGTGTCACCAATGTGGGACCAGTGCCGCAGTGCGGCATCGCGCCATGGACAGCTCTGACACTGCGCCTCACCACTGACCGGGAAGGCCGCGAAGTGGGCCAGCACAGGTCGCACATTGTGGCAGCAGTGCATGTCTGTAGAGGAGCAGCAGCGTCAGGGTCGCAGGGTCGGATCGTGTCAAGCCTCTCGCCCGGCCGGCCGCGTGCAGACGTCGGCCTGTCTGCTGTCTGGAGTGATCTGTCGACACTGTCCATCTCGTTTGAGTTGACTGTTATAGCCCCCGCTACCCAGTTGATGCACTCGTGCGACGTAGCGGGGGGCCACGACTACGTTTACGAAAACATAAGTAGTCCCGCGAGGTGTGAATTTGGCCGCCCCAGTAGCCCCCTTTCCAATGAATTGGTTTTGCTGCGCGTCCCCACAGAGCGTCCAAACTTGGTTTTGGGCGCGAACCGTATCTCGCAACGAATCTCGCCGGCCTCACCGGCCCCCACCGGCTTTTCGCCGCCCATGGCGGATGCCATCTTCGGCCGGCTCTCCGTCTACGGCAGTGTGCTGCGGACCGAGGAAAGCAGCGTGCTGCTGGACATCGCCACCTGCGTCAAAACGCAGTGGCGCTCGTGCTGGTCGGCGTGCTGCTGGAGTGCGCACGCTCGCGCAGGGCCGACACTCCACGCCGGCCGCTCGAGCAGCCATGCTCCGAGTCGGCGCCGACGCGCTGCTCGCGCTCGGGGAGCCGTGCGCACCACCCGCCCCCCGGCACCACCAACCCCCCCGGCGCGCACTGTGTGCACCAGAATCCACTTCCCGGGCAGCGATCCGCGGGGCTGGCCGCTCGGTCTCGCGCAGAATAGCTGCCTCATCCAGATGGTGCTTGGCATCCCCGTCCCCGCGGAGCCTGCTATCCTGACTACAATCAGGGCTGCGAACGAGCTCCTTGACCTACCGCTACACCCGCCATTGATTGGCGCCTGCGACCGGATCTTGACGACGCTACACAGGCTCCTGCCGGAGGCGGACGGCATCCGCGCGGCACTTGACTGGACGAGCAGCTGCCGCTCCTACGTCTGATCGAAGAAGCCGAAGAGATGCTGGAGTTGGAGCCGCTCGAGGGCAGCCTTCAGTCACGGCTTGGTGCCATCCAAGACCTGCTGGCCGACGTCCCGTACTCCCGCTCAGCTCTCGCTCCAGCAGCCTGAGGGTTCCGCGTAGCGCGTTACTATTATCCGCGTTCTATGTGCTCTCCTGCTCTGACCTCTGTGACGAAGAAGTTGCTTGTCTTCACAAGAGCCTGTTTTGTTTGTTAAATGTCTTCTGAACAGTATTACTTGCGACGGTGTATCATTCACTTTATGCCACCGTTGCATATCCGGACCGTTTCATTCACTTTATGCCACCGTTGCATATCCGGACCGTTAACGGTCCGGATATGCAACGGTGGCATAAAGTGAATGATACACCGTCGCAAAACTGCATTGGGTCTCGAGTTCGAATCCCGCAGTTCGACTCGGCGCAAAAAACCCAAGACGGGCGTTGTCACTGGTTCGAAACCCACCTTAGCGTTCACCTGATATCCGCCGGTACCCAAAACCGGATGCATCTCCGCACGACCCAGGAATGCAGTTTTGCGACGGTGTATCAGTCGCCTTATGCCACCGTTGCATATCCGCCCGAGGGTGTTCCCGCATGCAGAGAAGACCAATCCGCTGGGCTGGGGGGGAAGTAACCATATGCAACGGTGGCATAAAGTGAATGATACACCGTCGCATTACTCTCGTGTTTTTGTGCGCGTTGTCGGTTGATAGCTGGGTAGCGGGGGGCCCCGCCGGAGGCTGGTTGCTGATTTTGTACTTTCTTCACCTCTTTTCAACGCTGCTCGGGACGCAGCCGCAGGTCGCAGCCCCCCGCCGATCTTCCTCAAACCCCGCGCCCAACCCTCGACGCCATGCCGTCGTACTGCGCCAGCACGAGGTCACCCGACGCCTCCCACGAGAAGGTGGAGGCGTGGGCCGCGGCGGCACGCCCCATCGCCACGCGCAGCGACCGGTTGGCGAGCAGGGCGGCCACGTGCGCCGCCATGGCGCCCACGTCACCCGGCGGGGCGAGGAGGCCCGACGCGCCGGCGGAGATGACGTCGGCCACGCCGGGCGAGTCCGTCGCCACGACGGGCAGCCCCGATGCCTGCGCCTCGAGGCAGGTGCCTCCCCACCCTTCCGTGGTAGACGGGTACAGAAACACGTCTGCGCCGGCATAGGCGGCCGCGAGCGCCTCCCCCGTCAGCAAGCCGCGAAAGCTCGCCCGCGGCAGCAGCTGCTCCAGCCGGCGGCGCGCCGGCCCGTCCCCGACGACCTCGGTGCGGAAGGCGGCGCCACGGCCGGCGCGAGCCTCGAGCCTCCGCACGACGGCGGCGAAGTCCGCCAGCCCCTTCTCCCACCGCAGCCGCGCCACGAGCAGCACCGTCGGCACGGACCCCGCCGCCGCGCGCCGCTTCGAGGGCGAGAAGAGCGCCACGTCGACGCCGCGAGGCCACACCACCAGCCGAGGGATGCCGCGCGCCTGCAGGGAGGCTCCGAGAGGGCTGCAGAGAGCTTCCAAGAAGGCGCCACCAGCGAGGGACGCCGCGCGCGCCGCCAGCTCGTTCGCCGCGCCCTGCGAGGGTGGCAGCGTCGCCGCGCAGCGGGCGTGGAAGCGGCGGAGGTGGAGCCACGCGAGAGAGGCGAAGGGGCGCAGCGGCGGGTAGTAGTCGAGGTACGACGCCCAACGCGTGTGGTGCGAGCAGAGCAGCGGCGTCCGTCGCCTCGCCGCCCACCTGTGGCGAGATGGTGGCGAGATATAGTCGAGGTGCGGCCGAGGTGCAGCCGAGGCACATCGCAAGCCGTTGCGCGGCGACGCCCATCGCGTCCGGCACCGCCACGTGCAGCACTGTCGGGCGGAACTGCTCGAGCGCGGCTCGGGCCGTGCCGCCCAAGCCCCAGGTGAGCCGGTACTCGGACCAGACGGGCAGAGGCGTGGACGGCACGCGCACGAGCAGGCCGGCGTGCTCCAGCACCGGAGGGCGCGCCACGTCGCCGGGGCAGAGGACCAGCACGCTGTGACCGAGCTGGAGGAGCCGCGCCGCCAGCCGGTTGAGGGTGAGGGCGACGCCGTCTATCGACTGATCGGGAGGGAGGACTCGTGAGGAGTGGAAGACGAGCAGAGTGAGTGAGAGAGAGAGAAGATTGGAGAGAGGAGAGAGAAAGAGAGGGAGGCAGGGAGAGAGGAGATATGTAAATGTGAGGGAGAGAGAGAGAGAGAGAGGCTTCGCAGCGGCGGGCAGCTCACCTGGTCATACGATCCGGTGACGATGGCGACGCGGTGCTGCGCTGCTAAGCGAGGCTGCTCGGTGGGCGGCACGCGAAATGACAGGTTGCTGCTCATCCGGTTCTCAGGGCGCCTCTCGCCCGACCCGCCCCGAGCCACTCGCCGGTGGACCGTGTGGCCTAGGGTCCCTAGCGCGGCACGGTAATTTCTCGCAGTTGCGAGACAAGTTTTCTCGGAGCGACAGCCTCAAAGACAAAAGGGTGGATGGGTGGGGGACGATTGCGGGCGAGCGCCAGCGCGCCCCAGGAACGGTGGGGTGCCCTCGACCGCGCGTCCGAGTCACTTGGGCGGACGAGCGAGCGGCACATGGCCCGACAAAGAGAAATCGGAGTCTGAGCACCGGAAGGTCGATTCCGTATTGGGACGTGTCTGTCCTCGACCCAGCCCTAGCTTGGGATGTCCGTTGTATTTATTTATTTATTTATCATGGTATTGTACGGGACCCCTCGATCGTCTCGCCCTCCCTCTCTGGTGTGTTCATTGGGGGGGGGGTGTCTTTTTTTGCAGTACTGTAGGAATCCTAGCGAAGGCGGTGCAGTGGCGGAGGAGCAGGCAGGGAGAGAGAGATGCTCGGGAAGCGTTCGTTCGTTGGAGCACGAGGTGGACGAGCAATTGGCGGAGGAGGAGGACGTGGTGGCAAAAGAGGAGGTGGCGGGAAGGTGGACCTCTTTCTTCCGCCCGCTAGGCCGCTAGTGGCGCCGGCGCATCTCGGACGGACGGATCGTGGTTGTAGGCATGTCTCTGGGCCGGCGCGGGGGCCCCAGAGGGTGTCCATGCGGGGGGGAGATGGGGTCCCATGGCCCGCCGCAGGCGCCGATTTTTTGCCGTTTTTTTTCTTTTTTCGCGATTTTTTAGTTGTTTTCTCATGGGAATTCGGCGTACTTGCGGCCATGCTATCACGCCTTGCGACAGCCTGTCGGCGCAGCTGACCGTGCCATGATGCACAATTGATCACCTGCATAGCTCGCGGCCTTAGTATCAAGCATTCAGTGACGACCTGATCGTACGGCCAGTAGGAAGGTGTCCTTCCAGCTGCGTGCACGCTTCTGGCGCAATGCGCGTCACAAACTGCCTCGGATTGGCTGCTGGCACTCTCGAGGCTATGCCTACACAGCCTCGCGCGCATGGGCAGTCAAGAGGGACCATGCACCTTCTCAGGACAGCGCCGGTGCCTCTCTCTTGGACCGGCAAACTTGGTGGTCTCGTGTCACCAATGTGGGACCAGTGCGGCATCGCGCCATCGACAGCTCTGAACTGCGCCTCACCACTGACCGGGAAGGCCGCCAAGTGGGCCAGCACAGGTCGCACATTGTGGCAGCAGTCAGCAGTGCATGGCTGATGGCTAGAGCAGCAGCGTCAGGGTCGCAGGGTCGGATCGTGTCAAGCCTCTCGCCCGGCCGGCCGCGTGCAGATGTCGGCCTGTCTGCTGTCTGGAGTGATCTGTCGGCGGTCAGTACGACCGATCAGGTCGGAGTTTTCTTATGGTTAGAGGGTCTATCTGTATGTACTCCTCGAGATCTCTCCAAATCTGCCCTCTACTTAACCGTACTTAATCGGGAAGTCGGTGCTCATAGAGACTCATAGAGCCGGAGCCCCGTTTCCGCACTGCGGCGCGGCGCACGGTGCCTCCGGGGGGCCCCGCGCCGGCCCAGAGAGGCATGTAATGTGGGAGGAAGGTGGGTGGGAAGGGGGGGGGGCTCGTTGTCCCGCATGCGCCGTGGTCTTACGTCGTACCTGGAAGGGAGCGGTTGTTGGGGGGGGGGGGGGGGGGTGCGATGCACAGAGGCGCAGCTGACTGAAGAGGAAGGAGTTGGTGCGCTCGGCGGCCCGCGTCCGTGCTGCGTGCAGCTTTTGAGAAGTTGTTTTGCAGCTTTTGCGGGCCCGCACGGAGGGGATGGAGGCTGCCGTCCCCGCCACTTGAGTGTCGCCATGCCGCACAATGTCAATGATGCACAGATCTTGAGAGAGAGAGAGAGAGATTTGTGTTTGTTCAGATCTTGTGCCCCTCGGCCCATGTGCCATAGCGGGACCACGTCCACGACCTCGCAAGACGTGGGGCTTCGAGGACCACGGGAGAGGGAGACAGAGTGACACAGGGGTGGCAGGGGCGGCGGCAGGAGTCTCCCACATACTATGCGGGCCTCGCTAGAGGTGCGTCCTGTGTGTGTCCTCGCCCTTGAGGTCTTGAGGGGGTGGAAGGGGAAGGAAGGGGCTGTGTGTCTGTGCATGCATGCATGCATGTGTGTGTGTGTGTGCGCGCGCGCGCGGGCGCTGTGCGAGCCGCCCGAACGACCACATGGTGAGCACGCCCGAGCACCGAAGCCCCGCCCGCGAGCGCCGGCGAGCGCATACACCGCGCCCGCGCCCGAAAGAAAGAAAACACAGGGGCAAACGAGGGATAGGGGAGGAGGACAGGGTCCACACCTGCACGAGCAGGATTTTGGAAGGACGATCAGGGGGACAGGTGGGCTCTCCTGCTCCTGACAAGGGACACGACAGGCTCGCAGCGCGGTGCACGGTGGAATCCCAACTCCACTGGCGGTCTCATCTCAGTCTAGCGACCTTCCTCCGGCTTCTCACCGGCAGTCTCTCACTACCACAGGCACACTGACACAGGGGTGGCGGGGGCGGCGGCATGAGTCTCCCACATACTATGCGGGCCTCACTAGAGGTGCGGCCTGCGCGTGTCCTCGCCCTTGGGAAGGTCTTGAGGGGGGAGGGGAAGGGGCTGTGTGTCTGTGCATGCATGCATGTGTGTGTGTGTGTGTGTGTGTGTGTGTGTGTGTGCGTGTGCGAGCCGCCCTGAACGCCACGAGCGCGCCGCGAGCGCCGTACGTGCCGGAGCCGGTCCGGCGCGCGCGCGGGCGGCCAGCGCCTGTAAACAGACATCTGTTTGCGAGGTGCGGCGGGTGGTGATGGGGCTGGATCGCTTCTCGAACGGACGTTGTTCGTTCTCTTGCAGAAAATTTTCTTTTTTTGTTCTTCACGGCGTTCACCTTGAATCAGCTGAATACCTGCCGCTCACGGTGCCCACCATGACCTCGTACCAGTGGACGCCAATACACGCCATCTACAAGGGGTCGGCCGGCAGATTCGCGATGCCGCCTCCGCCGCCGCTCCCCCGCTTTCCTTGCGGGATCGGGATCGCGCAGTCCGTCTGCTGCAGGGAACTGGCTACCGACGCCGGAAGCCCGGTCTGCTCGACGCTGGAGAGAGCGACGGAACAGGTCAAGGTGATCTCGTGCAACACGGACTTTGCGACGGGCGGGGTCTTTGAGGTGCGCTGCAGCGGCGCGTCCCCCGCGCCCTGGCAGCTCCTCGCTCCTCCGACCTCTCCACCCCTTGCGCACACTCTCCGCGCAGGGCTACTGCGACTTCACCTGCGCGCCCTACAACCTCGCGCTTGTGCACTGCGTCTACAATCCGCCGCCTGCGCCGCCGCCGCCGCTCCCGCCGCCGCCGCCGCCGTCGCCGCCTCCCGCGGCGCCGCCGGTGCCACCCACGCTGCCGTCGCCGCCGCCGAGACCGCCGCCGCCGTGGCCACCACCGCTGCTGTGCAGCTCCCTCGCAGGGCGCACAAAGGTCCCCGACCCTGCTCCCCACATCCCCGGCGATTGCGGCAGCCTCCCCTCCCCTGCCAGCGACTGCGACCAGTACTACGCCGCCGACACCTCCGCGCCGGGCGCCTTCCACTTGTGCCAGCACCCGAGACCCCAGGACACGGTGCGGTGCGGAACAAACCCCGGGCTTATCCAGGGCTGCGTCCCACCGCCGTCGCCGCCGCCGTCGCCGCCGTCGCCGCCGTCGCCACCACCGCCGTCACCGCCCCCGTCGTCGCCGCCGCCTCCGTCGCCGCCGCTGCCGCCACCGCCGCTGCCGCCACCGTCTCCACCCTCGCCCCTTCCCTCCCCGCCGCCCGTCTCGCCCCTGCTCACCGAGGCTGCCGGCTGGGGCGCTTGGTACCTGCCCGGCGGGCGCCAGGGACGCTGCCTGGTCAGCTTTGGCCCGGCCGACTCAGGCCCAGCCAACGGCTCGCCTCCGTCGCCGCCTTTGCGCCCCGAGCCGGTCGCATGGCCGGTCGTCGACCTGCACCACATGGACGCGCTCCACTGCCGCGCCGGCTGCGCCCGCCGCCCCGCCTGCGTCGCGTACGAGGTGACCCCGGCGAAGGACTCGCCGCTCGCCTCTCACCGCTTCGACTGCCGCCTCTTCCACACGCCTCTCGTCGTCGCCGCCGTCGTGCCGCAGGCGACACCTCGCCGCACCTCGGCAACACCTCGGCACCACCTCGTGATGGCGTCCCGCGTGCCGCAGGGCGTCAGCGAGAGCCGGCGAGGCGGAGGTGCTGTCTGCTACGTCCGCCACATGCTCCCCTCGCCCCCCCCGAGCCCGCCGCCGCCGCTGCCGCCGCCGTCTCCACCGCAGCCAAGCATCGTCGCCGCAGCCGCCTCCGGAACCCTCGCGCTGCTCGCAGGCTGGCCGCCGCGTGTTCGCGTTGCGCGGGGTGCAAAGTGATCTCGGGTGAGACGCGGGGAAGCTTCTGGTTACAGGCGTGGCCGCCGTCCTAGCCGCCGTGCATCGCCGCCGGCCAGACTTGGCTCACCGGGCGAAGAGGAGAGCCGCCGCCGTGGGCGCAGAGGCTTCGGCCTCCGCCTCGGCCGCCGCCCTGCTCGCGGGTGCGGCGCTGAGCGACGCGAGGCACCGCGTGTCGCCGGCGGCGAAAGAGGCGTACTCCCGCGCCGGTGAGGCGGCTCGCGGGGCGCGGCAAAGCACACGGGCGGCAGCGTCGCGTGGAAAAGAAGCGTTGCAGGCCACCGTCGCATGCGGCGAGGGAGATTGCCCGCGAGCCTGCCCGAGATCATCCGAGATCGCCGCGACTAGGCCGCCGCCGCGTGGGCGAAGGCGAGGCTCGAGCGCAGCAGCGGGATGCAGCTGCTCAGCGTCGACAAGTCGGCGGCGCCTTCGACAGAGCCCGCGGCCTCTGACCGCTGCGCGCCGCCGCCGCCGCCGCCGCCGCCGCTTGCCGCCGCCGCCACGTCCGAGACAGCGGCGAGCAAGGCGGAGCGAGTGATCCGGCGAGATTTGAGGCGAATCATCGCGACGGGGGAGGAGGAGGAGGAGGAGGAGCCAGTGATGCAAGCCGCCAAGCCGCTGTCCGAGCTCTTTGAGCGGGCCCGCGCAGGCCGCGCGGGGGAGCGGACGCAAATGGCGGTCACTCTCCCCGCCAGCAACGACATCGTGGATCTCTGAGTCACACGTTACTGAGAGCGAGACTCGCCACACAACACACATATGTGCGACATCCACCAAGCCCCGCGCACCCCCCGCAGAAACCCCCACCGACATGACGATACTTTCACACTCTGTGGCCAGCCCCGGGGGGTCCTTGGCTTGCTCAAGTACCTAGGTAAAGCCGTACGGCTTTTTTGGTGGCTCTACTCTACCCGCGCGGGGTGGGGGCGCGGGGCGGGCGGCCGGGCGGGCGGCGGAGCGTGCGACACACAGCCCTCCACGCCGTGGTCCGTGCAGCTGCACAGGCCACAGGGCGCGTGCACCGAGAGCGAAACCATTTTTTGGCCGTATATTGCAGATTACATCTCATAATATGCGAGGTCTCAAAATTACATCTCACTTCTCACTAACTCGGGGCCCACGCACCTGGGGGGTGGTGGGGGCCCTCTATGGGCGAACGGCATGCCCCCCGCGCCCCCCCCGCCCCCCGCGCACATGCACACGATCACCTCACACACACTCACACACACTCTAGACAGTGTCAAAAACAGCTGATCGCGCGGCGCAACCTCTGTGCGTGCGGCCTATCTGTGCGTGCGTCTCGGGTTAAAGCTTTTCCCGCGGCGTTTGAGCTCATTGGCGCCGGCGTCGCGGATTGGCAAGGGGCTTCCACCCACGGGGCTCAGCCGCCCGCCCGCATCGAACGCCGACGGCGGCCCGTCGCCATGATAGGAGTGGCGGGGGTTAACCTCGCGGTGCGTTTGCGCGCGCGCAAGCAGGTCACCGCCGCGGCTCGACGTCATCTCGAGCACGAGTGCCTTGGCCTGCAGCTGCTCCTGCGTGATGGGCACCTGCAGGAAGGAGCGCAGCACCGCCGCCTCGCCCGTCATCCACTGGCCGTTGGAGCAGACCTGCCGCACGTACGACTGCAGCCTCTGGCCGGCCGCCTCAGCCGCCTCGGCCGACGGCGCGCGGCTGCCGAGCGGCCAGCGCGGCTTTGCGATTGGCGGCGGCGGCACAAAGTGCATCGCGTGCGAGAGCCCCTTGTGCAGCTCGAGCACCTCCTTCTCCTGCCGCAGGACGGACCACTTGACCCCGTCGAGCTCCGCCTCAATCACAAAGACAAGCCGCCCCTCCGCCGTCCGGTTCACCTCGAGCACGGAGATGCGCAGCGCCTGCGGCGTCGCGATCTTCATCGACGCGCGCAACGCAGCCTCGGCCTGCTGCGTGTTCCAGACGCCAGGCCCGGCCGCGCCGCTTGGCCCGGCGAGAGCGCCGCCCCAGCTCGCCCCCGACGAGAGGCCGCCAGACGACATGCCGCCGTCCTGCTCGACCTCGTCGTCCCCCCCCTCGCCCGCGCCGTGCCAGGCGGAGGCGCGGTTGCCGCGCTCCGACGCCATGCTCCCCACGCGCACCGACTTGCGGTTGCCGTGCGACGTGATCGACGTCGCGCGCGAGGAGAGGGAGACGGATCGCTCCATCCCGCCCTCGGCCCCGTCCCAAAAGCCGCCCGCCTTGACAGGCCGCTGCCGCCGCCCGACGCCGCCAGACGAGCCATAGCCGCCCGAGCCTTGCCGGGGGCGGTCGGGGCGGTCTCCGAACGAGGCGCGTTGGTGCGAGCTGGCGACTGGAGACGCGTGGCGCTCCGAGTCCGAGTCAAAGGAGCGGCCGAGGTAGTCCGTGTTGCGGTCCGTGTTGCGGTCCGTGTACCGGTCGACGCGGACGGATGCGCGCCACGGCTCGGGTGCCATCGCCATCGACATGCGCGAGCGCGGCACGTCGTGCGGCCGCGGCGTGCCGTCGGGCGAGGCGGAGAGGAAGTCGGTGTGGTTCTTGGGCGCGACGACCTCGAGCACGTCGAGCAGCGCCTTTGAGAGGTACGCCTCGCGGGTGAGCGACTCGCGCATGGGGTCGCGGGGGTGATGACTGGGTGACTCGGTGGTGAGTTGGGGTGGTGTCAGAGGGTCGGGTTGGGGGCGAGGGGGGGGGAGGGGGGGGGGGGCCATGGGCGCGGTACGTGTGGCGCCTCGACATCGGGTCGGTCGGCCGGCTCCTCGCGCAGGCACTCCTCCATCAACTCGGGCAGGCGCGCCGGCCAGCGCGCCGCGTCGGCGGGCTCGAGCGCCGGCCGCTCCAGCATCCGCGTGATGACCCCGATGATGATGGTCGAGGTGTCCTGCCCTACGTACGGCAGCTGCCGCGCGAGCACCTCGTAGAGCAGCACGCCGAAGGAGTACGAGTCGGCCTTCTCGTCGTACCGGCCGCCGCGCAGGATCTCGGGCGCGGTCCACTGCGGAGAGCCGACGCCCGAGCGCTCGTTTGGGTCAAAGTTGTTTGCCGCGTCCTCCATCGAGTGCGAGAGCCCGAAGTCGCACACCTGCGCGGTGCACGAGGCCCGCGCGGTGAGACCTCTGCGGCTCGCAGTCCGGGGCGCCTCCCCCCTCGCGCACCTTTGCGGTGCCCGACTCGTCGAGGAGCACGTTCGCCGACTTGAGGTCGAGGTGCAGCACGGGAGGCTCGCAGTGGTGGAGGTAGTAGATGCCGAGCGCCACCTAGAGGAGGAGGCGGAGGCGGGGAAGGGATGGGGGCGGGAGGGTGGCGCGAGGGTGGCGGGAGGTGGCGGGAGGGTGGTGAGGCGGCCTCGCGCAGCACGACGAGCATGTAGTGCTCGTTGAGCTCTTCTCGCGTGTACGGCTCCTTGTAGAGCAGGTCGAAGAGCGAGCGCGGGCAGAGCTCGAACAGGATGCACATGTGCTGCATGTCGAGGCACGCGCCGAGGAAGCGGACGATGTTGGGGTGGCGGAGCTCCGAGAGCAGCTGCATCTCGCGCAAGAAGTCCTGCTTCCCCTTGTCAGCGTCGCCGCTGCCGCTGCCCCGCGTGAGCAGCTTGACGGCGACGTCGTTCCGCCGCCAGCTCCCTGCCCAGACCTCGCCGTACGCGCCGGCGCCGAGCCGCTCGTTGACCTTGAAGTCGGAGCGGCGGATCGCCCACTTGTACTGCTTCTCCTCGGCGCGCGTGAGCAGCACGTGCGTCCCTCGCGGCGTCAGGGTGCCGTCGAGCCGCGCCGTGTCGACCCCGTCCGTGCGCGCGGTGTCGGTGCCGTCGGTGCGCGCCGTCCCGTGCGTGAGCCGGCCGGAGGTGCGGGTGGAGATAGCGGTGCGGGACGAGTCGCCGTCGGAGAAGGGGAGGAGGAAGCCGCCCGAGGGGAAGGAGGAGTGCACGTCGAGCTTGACGGGCGAGGTGCCACGCTGGCCGAGGGCGCCGATCGCGTGCAGCTGGAGTGTCATCCTCGGCGGAGTGCTGTCGACGCTGGGCTCGGACGGCTCGGACAGCACCTCGGACGCCTCGCCGGACTCCGTGTCGGCCGACGCGTCGTGTGTCACGGGAGGCATGTTCGGCATCGGCGGGAGCGCGGAGCCCGAGCCTACAGTACGAGTACCGAGGTCAGCGCGTGAATGCGGTCTCGTGCAGCGCTGCGCGCGTCGCGTGAATGCGAGGGCTACCGAGTGCATGTGGCGAGAGCACGATGGGATGCAGCTGAGTCGTGTCTTCCCCGTGCTAGGTGGAGTACAGAGATGTGAACACCATCTACGAGCCCGAACCCCGCGCCGCCCCCCCCGCGGGGGCGACCCTCAGTGCACCGAGGTTAAGGCTCAAGCGGAAGGCAGCAGCAGGAGCGGCAGGCTCCCCACCCGAGCCGCCTCCCTCGCCGCCGCTCCCGCCGCCCCCGCCGCCGACACCCCGGCCGGCGCCGCCATCACTGCCCGGCAGAGCGATGCGCGGCACTGGCGATACAGGCGGCGGCGCTGCCGCCGTCACCGCGTCGTCGTCCGAGTCTGAGCTCGACTCGACGTCCGCAGCGTTGCCGGCGTCCGCCTTTGCGGCTTCCGAAGACTCCTCCTCGGCGGCGGGGGCAGACTCGGCGGCGGGGGCAGACTCGGCAGCGGCGGCTCCTTGCATGGCCCTGGCGGAGAGGCCTCGCTGGCTGACAGGGATGGGAGAGCCCTCGTTGGCGGCCGCGGCGGCGCCAGGGGGCGGGGTGCCCGCCGCGGCGGAGCCGCCGCCGCCACCAGCAGGCGCGTCGTTCGCGTTGGACGTGTCGGAGGTGCGGAGTGAGGGCGCCGACCGCCCGGCCGGCGAGAGGGGCGGCGGCCGGCGTGCAGGCGGGATGGTGGTGGGGCAGAGCTCGACGGGGGAGACGGCGGGGATGGAGGAGACGGCGAGCCGCGAGTAGAAGCGCACGGCGGGCCGTGCGTGCGAGGAGAGCGCGGTGGCGTACGCGACGAGCATTGCGAGCGCAACCTGTTTCATCGGGTGCGGCTCGTGAGGTGTGCATCGTCGAAGCGCTTGCTTTGGTGCATCGGCGTGGCCGGCGTGGGCTTGTCTAGCGCTGCGCCTGCCCGTTCGCCGACACCTTCGACGCCTCGCAGGAGGTCGTCCCCAAGTCCGGCTGCGCGCGCCGGATCTCCACGCACAGCTGTCGTGCCGCGAAGCACCGCGCCTGCAGCCGCACGGCGCGGGAGCGGGGCGCGCCGCCCATCTTGAGCATGGAGGCCCACCCGCCGCGCCGAGCAGCCGGGCTCGGGTCAGGGGACGACCCCTCTTGGGTCTGGAGCAGCCGCGCCGCGCTTTCGGCGTCGGTCGAGCCGCCGGGCGCGGCGGCACCCGTGGCGCGAGACTTGATCCGCCAGACCTCGGCGGCGCGCTGCACGCGGTCGAGCAGCTCGAGCGCGGAGTCTGGGCTGGCGGTGCCCACCTGAGGCGGGCGTGGAACGAGGCGGGGGTGAGAGAGGCCGAGCCGGCAGCGAGGGTCCCCGCGAGCGGCGCGCCACACCTTGAGCCTGCGCACAACCCGCTCGACCGCCTTGGTGTCGGAGGCGGTGGCGAGCTTGTCGAGGGCAGCAGTCACGTCGTTGGGCAGCAGCGCCTTGGCCGCCTTGGGCAGCAGCCGGGCGGCGGCGGGCGGCAGCTCGAGAGTCGCGATGAGCTCTTGGTGCAGCGCAGTGGCGGCGGCGTGCACCTATTGTAGTGGGTACTCTGGTTCTCATCATTAGCTGCAGGTGAAGCTGCAGCGGCGGCGGCGTGCAGCACCCGCTGCAGCGCCTCGACGAACGGCTGCGCGTCCGCGGCCTCGAAGGAGGCGCGGGAGGGCGCGAAGGCGGGGTGCGAGTGCTGCAGCTTTTGGTCCGCCTCGCGCAGCTCCTGCAGGATGGCCTGCTCGCCGACAGGCGGCGGTCAGGCGCGCGGCGGGGAGGGGCTTTGGGTGTGGGTAGGAGCGAGGTCTGTGGAGGGACACGCCCACCCTGGCGGCTGCTTTGGCTGTATGCGAGGGGGAGGGGGGGGGGGGAGGAAGGGGAGGAGGGGGGGGGCGGGCGGGACCTGCCGGTTGACGGCCGCGACGGTGCGCTCGCGCTCGGGCGGCCGCCCCTCGACAAACGGGCTGCCGCCGCTCTCGCCCTCCCGGGTGCCGTGGGAGGATCCGACGGACGAGTTGATCGACGCTCCGTTCACCCTTCCGGCCGCCCCGCTCGGGCTGTGGCCGGTTCCCGCGCTGAGCTGCGACTCTGACTTAGGGCGGCAGCCGTCCGACGGCGCGAGGGAGAGCTGGTCGCGCGAACGACCCGCGAGCGGGCCGAGGGAGAGGGCCTACGGGGAGGTTCCGAGAAGCGTCGGGGGAGGGTCCAGCCGCTTGTGGCCCCTCCGCGGCCCGAGGGAGGCTGCCGATGTGTCGGAGCGCTGCAGCACAATCGAGGCGTACCACCGCATATTGCGCTGCCACTCGCGGACGGGAGAGAGCTCGTTGGCCTTGAGCCTGTTGTCGTGGGCCTTGAGCGTGATGGCCGCCGCCTTCTCCTTCGCCTCGCCGCTCGCGTACTGCCCGAGGTCGAAGCAGCGGTCTGCGAGCTCGATGATCAGGCGCGACATCGAGACCGCCGCCGCGGGGAACTCCTTGTCATTCGCGGAGACGGCCGGCAGCGGCGGCAGCGGCGGGAGAGACTTGAGCGCAGCGGCGAGCACCTGTTCGACAGTGAAGTGCGGATGCGCGCAAGGGGGGCAACCAGCACGGGGAGCGCGGCGCGCGCGGCGCACCCGCGACTGCGGCGTGCGAGGCAAGTCTGGCAACTCTGCCAGCCGAGGGCCGATTGCTTGCAAGATGGAGCGCTGCTGCTGGCTGAAGAGGGCTGGCGAGGAGGACTGCGAGAGGAGGACGCCGCGCATGCGCTGGGACGCCCCTCGCTGCAGCCGCGGCCGCGCGCCCTCCTCTCCCTGCCGCGGGGTCGCGCCGGCCGTCCGAGGCGTCGACGAGGCCGCGCCGGCCGCCATCGCTGCTGCTGCGGGCGTCTGGTCCTTGGCGCCGTCGCCGACCTGCGCGCGCGGCGACATGGACGCCATGAACCCGCCGCGGCGCCCCGAGGCCCGGGCACGCGCCGTCGCCGCCTCCGACATTTCCGCCGACCGTGTCGAGTCGGCCGCAGCCGTGGCGCACTCACTGCCGCCGCTGCTGCAGCCGCCGCCGCCGCCGCCACCGCCGCCGCTGCTGCCGGCAAGTTCCGCATCCCTCGCCAGCTTCTCGGCTTGCATGCGAGCGAGGGCCACCGCCGTTGGCGTCGGCGGCACCGCCACCGGCTTGCCGCCCTCGACGGCATCCTGCGGCACCTGTCCAAGGTTGAGCTTGAAGCCTCGGGCGCCGGCCAGCTGCGCCACGGGAGCTGGCTCGCTCGGGCCGCCCTCATCGGCGCTCGCGCTGTCGTCGTCGTCGTAGTCGGACGATGAGGAGGCATCTGCTGCTGCCGTGGCGGCGGCAGTCCTCGCCGAGGCAGCGGCGAGGGTGGCTCTGAGAGCCGCCACCTGCGCCGCGTGGCTGGCCGCCTCTGGCTGGTTGGCTGCTGGATCGCCCTCGGGCGCGTCGGCCGCCCCAGGGGCGGCGGCTGGGCCCTCGTGGGGCGTGAGTGCTGCGCCGGTGCCGTCCTCGGCAGCCCCGGAGGCTGTGAGATCCTCCCCAGAGGCCCCTTGCTCGACCTCCTGCCCGTCCGGCGCTGGTGGCGAAGGGTCCGGTGCAGCCTCCGAGGCCTCGGCGTCGCCCAAGCCAGCAGCCGGAGGCGCGTCCTCGCGCTGCTCGCGGGGCGAGAAGTACTCGCCGATGAAGTTGAGCATGGATGAGCAGCGCGGCGCTTGGTGGTGCTCACGTTATAGAGCGCCTCGAGTCTCTTGGCTGGCGTCCGTCCCTGTGCCGACACCATTCACAGCCCTGTTTTGAGAAGAAAATACGTCTTTCGCGCTGTTCACGTAAACGCACAACCCCGGGCCCAAAATCGGCGCCACATAAACGCACCTCGGGCCCGAAATCGCACAGAGACAGTCACGCAACACGGGGTCCCAGGAGAAGGCGAGCAAAACCCTTATCACGCGCGCTAGACGCCGACTCGGAGGCCGCACCGGGAGAGAGATTTTCAGCAATACCAAACAACTCTAACACTCACTCGTCATTTGGGGCCTGGAGCCCTGTTCACGCGCGCGCGAGACGTGCAGACAGGGTTGCCAGGTGAGAGCGAATGGCGCGGTTCACGCCTCGCACAACAGAGAGAGAGATGCGCTCTGCATGGTGGGACATAAAAGAGAGCGAGTACTTGGGCGAGTAGGCCGTGCGGTCAACGCTGCCGCGCGCGACTTTGCGCGCGAGGCGGCGCAGCTTTTGTCCGCACCGGTCAGGCGCACAGCCGGAGAGAGAGGGAGGCGCTCAATGGCGCTGTTCACAGAAAAACACAACCCAGGGCCCAAGACGCACAAGCACAGACAGTCGAGAAGGGAGAGAGACAGGAACAGTCAGAAGCCGACACCATTCACAGCCTTGTAGCTTGTTATTGACAAGAAAATACGTCCTACTTCACAGACCTCTGCGCCGAGCAAACTCGAGTAGAAGAGCGACGCAACTCGAGGTTACTCCTGACTCCGGCCTTTTGTGGGTCACGTAGCCACACCTCCACTCCTCGGTGCGAGTGGCTAGTTCGACTCTGGGGAGGATGGTCGGAACATTCAGTTTTTTATTTTGGATGTCAAGGCCGATTGCGATCGTGTCTGGACTGTCTCGCGGCTGTGAGCTGTGTGAATGCTGCTGTATTCAAAGTTTCATTCTTTGTCGGTGTCGTGTGTGCGTGTATCCGGCACAAGCGCGCGGTCGATGAGCCCGGGGCTGGGGGCCTAGTTAGTCCCTAGCAAAATGTGGCAGACATCACACTGGGCACGGGACTGGCGCGCAATGGCACTAACACAGGTACAACCGGGCGCCGCCTAAGCGACTCCTGCGAGGACGGCGAGGCACTTAGCTCCGTGCACTCCACCGCCCTCCGCCGCACAGGCAAGCTCGCTGACGATCTGCTCTGCGAGATGGCCGTCGGAGTAAAAAGAATTCAACCTCCCAGGTTCGACCCATCCCCACACCCCAGAAAAGGATTTTTCCACAGCGCACGAAGGCACGAAGGGCACGGGATTTTGGCGCTTTGCCTTTGGCGCGCACTGGCACTGACACAGAGGTACTAGAGTCTACACCACCGCGGGAGCCGCCTAAGGCGTTCCGCCGTTCTTCTTCTTATCCCACCGCGCGGCTTTTCCCCCCGCTCTTTGTGAGAGAAAGAACAACAAAACTTGCAAGTATTGCTTGGCGCGCGAGAGCACCGAGAGGGGTGGAAAGGAAAGTCGTATGGCTCTAAAAAAGGTGACGCGCGCTCGTCATGTCGCTCAAATATCCTCACACGTCACACATGCGATGGGGACAGATGCACGCAAAATATTCATCAGTGAGATTTGAATGTTGCTCCAGTCCAGCTAGGCCACCGGAACTCGCGCGGCGGCGTCAATCGCGCGGTCTATCTGCCGCGGCGGCGGCGGAACGCGACTCTGCGAAACTACTGCCAACCCGCAACAACATAACTCATAAGGGCCTGCGCCGCACGCAAACCGCCGACGCGCGCTGAGCACACACGCCCGGCTCAGCCCTCCGGCGCTTTGCTGCTTCCCGCGTCGCTGATGTCGCCGCCGCCGCCGTCACCGTCGGCCTCGTCGGCGTCCGTGGCCGCCGGCTCCACGCCAGCGGAAGCTGTCTCCACGCGCGCGGCCGCGTCCCCCGCCGCCGCTGGCGGCCCGAGCACCCGCGCGGCGGCGGCGAGCGCGGCGTCCGGCGGCAACGGCGCCGCCTTGCGCGCCGCCTCGAGCAGCCCGTCCAGCCTGCTCCGCGCCGCCGCCACAGCCGCGCGCCGCTGGTCGTCCTTCGCGCCCTCGCCCTCGTAGCGCGCGAGGAAGGCGTCGGCGGCGCGGCGGTGCGGTCCGCGGGTCGAGGCGCGGCGAGCGACAAAGGCCTCGAACTCGTCGAGCGAGCGCCTGCGGCGGGGGGGGGGTGGGGGGGGGTGGGGGGGGCAGGCCGCCTGGCGTGTGGTGTGGGGAGGGTGGGCGGGGTAACGGCCTGAGCGGGGGAGGGGCGAGGGCGGGGCGAGGAGCGAGGGGCGGGGGCGAGGGACGGATCGTACTTTGCGAGCTTGGTCGCGAAGGTGTGCGGCGACGAGCGGTACGTGCGAGTGAGGCCGTGCGCCCCCGCCTTGCCGGCGGCGGCCAGGAAGTCGTGCCTCAGCGTGAGGTGCTCGACCGAGTAGTTGAGGATGCGCGGGAAGTGCTCGATGTCGCCGATCTGCCGCCTGGGGCCCGAGCCGAGGCGCTCTGAGTACGTGCGGCGGGAAATGTCGCGGGGGAATGGAGGGGGGGGGGGGGGGGGCCAAGCGTTCCTAGGAGGAGGCCGAGCTTCCTCACGGGGACTTTTCGGGGAAATTTCGGGGACTTTTTGGGGAAATCTCGGGGACATCTCGGGGAAATCTGGGGGACTTCTCGGGGACTTTTGGGGGACATCTCGGCGACTTCTCGGCCCCCAAGGG